ATATTTTTAGTTTTCTTGTAAAATTTGAAAATGCATATAGACTTGTTGCTGATTTTTCTGAAGATCAGTTAATTAATGAATTTGTGAAAAATTTTCAAGATCTAGATCCAACTGCAATTGTGATAGCTAGAGAAGAAAGCACTTTGACAGAAGTTGCTTTGTTCTTGGATAACTTAAGGAAGGAAATCAGAAATGAAGGGGTTAAAATGACTAGTGAAATGAGGCAGAGAAAGAAACTCAGACCTGACACCCCTCATTCCCCTCCTCCTTCTTTTTCTAGGACAGAGTGTAAAAGAGTGATACAGACAGCTGTATCAATTTGCTCAATTTGCTCAACTAAAAACTGTAGAGTTAACAATCAAAGGCAGAATATAACTCCTTATTTGTTTTTGGTGCAATAAACAACATTTTTTAAGATCTTGCAGATATTTAATCCGAGATATTAAATCAAAAGCAAATGAGAAATTAAATTTGTTGATTGACAATTTTGACAGAGAAAATACATGTGGAGATAAATTGATGAAGACCTTTCCTTGTAAACTGATAATGAGACAAATAAGAGCAATTTTAGCTAAATGGAAATTAGGAGACAGACAAGCAATGCAGTGTAACACAGAGAGTTATAAGAATGAGATAACTCCACGAGAAATGATCAGTGTTAAGACACTCCCGGCATAAAGGAGTGAAGAGATCTTCCCCTTTTAGAGATGGAAGACTGGGAAAAGTATGGTACATTAGTCAATCACAGTGGCTCAGGCATAAACCCTCCCCTTGGTACAAGCAAACCCCTCCTCTCTATCCTGGAATAATTGGGAAGAAATACAATTATCTCCATGGATAGAGGCAAAACGCCATTTTAAATGATACAGTAAAAATACATAAAATTCCATAACTTTAAAACTACCGAATGTATTCGATACATATAATGTATCCCCAAATAGCCTAGATCTGAGCGCACATTATTACCAAATGGTGCTCAGATCCAATACACACAGTTCAATCGCCATGGAGCCAAAGTCTTTGACACTGTTCTTTCGGTATACGAAGGGCTCCATGGGATAGCTAGACTCCCAAATATATATACATGAAACAAGGGGGGGTTGGCTGCACTCACTTGAACATGCATAAATGGGGGTGCTGCTGGGGGCCAAATAATACAAAACACAAGATCCAGCGCACTCACCTATCCACTAAACGGCAACTTCAATGTTGAAAGATTAGTGGATAGGTGAGTGCGCTGGATCTTGTGTTTTGTATTATTTGGCCCCCAGCAGCACCCCCATTTATGCATGTTCAGGTTAGTGCAGCCAACCCCCCCTTGTTTCATATATATATATATTTGGGAGTCTAGCCAACTCCTTGGTTTTGCACCCCTCCCTGTCACAGGTGCATCATCCCAGGGCCCTATTTAGCCTTGTACTGCAGAGAGCCCCAGATGGAATTTTTTTCCTCAAGTAAGTGGTTAATCTCATAAGAGCAGACATTAGGCTGTTAGTGTAGTACCTGCCAAAGATGGGGTACATTGACGTTGTGGCAGGCTTATGCAATGTATGATCATATAATGTAACTAAACCCCCATTGTTTTTGCCTAGATTAGGTGTTTTTAAAAAAAACTAATAAAATCTTTCAACATTGAAGTTGCCGTTTAGTGGATAGGTGAGTGCGCTGGATCTTGTGTTTTTTATTATTTGGCCCCCAGCAGCACCGCCATTTATGCATGTTCAGGTGAGTGCAGCCAACCCCCCCTTGTTTCATATATATATATATATATATATATATATATTATGTTAAAGTAGTTATGATGTAACAGGGATATGGATATCAATACATAGCTGAAACAGAGGGAGTTTGAAGTAAAGTAAGCAGTATGAGGGATAGAAACTCGACCTTCTAAGAACTCTCATATAATAGAAAGTTGTGACTACATCTTGTTCTATGCTCAGTGACTGTGATACGAGTGATGTATGAATGGACAGGTTAGTGACATTATGTTATTGTTTTAAGACAAACCATAATCAGAGGGAATGTAGAATATTGAATATTCTATGTTTCTATTGATTATATATGGATGTGTGGATTGACATAAGTAACAGATGGTCTAAGTCACATGGCTTTCTTTGTATGAGAGCTCTGGAATGTAAGTTGGGGGTTTTGTCCTTATATGGCTAGAGGTATAGTCTGACATCATTATGGTAATATCTATATAGTAACTGAACACGAGGTCTCTCGCTCTCTCTCTTGGCTCTCTCTCGATGTAAAGATGTAAGGATGTAACTCTCCCATCAGAAGTCCAGCAATTACCATCTGCTGTTGAACATCTATTATCCTGTAACATCCTTTGTTGTTTTATTATGTATCAGTAACTAAGAATAAACCTGAAGAAACTGTAAGTCAGATTGCGTATTAGTACTTTTCATTAATATAGACATATATTAATGTTGAAAGCATTTGGCCCAAGACTATATATACAAAAGACATATATATATATATCAATCAACTGACGACAAGAAGAAATTAAGATGATTTAACATTGACGATACAAAACCAACCAGATTTTACATGGACCTTCAATGCTTTAGTGACTAATTGCTGCCAGTCACTTTTATGATAGCAAACATGCACTGACTGATTGCTGTGTAATAGACATGCCCTTGTCTCTGGCCTGGTAGGTGTGGGTATTTTTTTGTTTGTTTGTTTAATTGTTGGGGTTTTTTTTTTTCATTTTAAAATGTTTTAATATTTGCACAGTTTAAATCACATACATCTATAAAAAAAGTGTACATTGTATGTAGTGTTTATAGTGTATATAGTGATTTGAATTGAAATAAACATGTGACAAAGTGCCCTTTGCCACTTGGTCCTGGAGAGGCCTGCTTGCCAGCCTTCTGCCCTGTGACTATGGTCTGGGGGTGTATGGCCCTTTAAAAACATTATTGGGGCTTATGGACTTTCATTGGACTGGTGCTGGCCCTTTAAGCACGTTTTTGGGACATAGGGAGAATTGGAACAATGCCCCTTTAAAACTGTGTCCCCAGAGTCCCCAGACTGTGAAAATAACTTATACATGGCTTTTTCCCCATATGGTTTGGTAATTGGGGCTTACCGAACCATTTACTGCACAGGCGGACCACACAGAAGTGGAAGCGTGGGCTAATTTACCTCCCAGTCTGGGAGGTTGCTGTAGGTAAATTGCCGACCGCTTGGTGGCCGCCATTCATACAAACGAACACGTGGTGGCGGCCATCTGTATTCAGGCGAACACGGTCAGCGGTGTGTGCAGCCAAATCTCTGGAACTAAAATCAGCTACAAAACGGCACGAACACCGCTGCCCCTTACCTTCTCCTCCACTTAGTTTTCAGCCGCAGCGTCTAAGTCCCCTTCACACAGTGAGACTAAGCTATTTGCATGAACGGTGCCCCGTTCATGCATGCGAATAGGACTTAGTCCTTTTTCTGAGTGAAATTGACAGACCGCACAGCCCAAATCTATGGAACTCTTTTGGGCAGGAAAGCATGCTTGCGGTCAGTCACAAAGGACGTCCAGCTAACTTTTTAACCCCTGGAAGGAATTGCCTGAAATTTGAGTATGTTTGTATTTGAAGTATGCTGAGTAATAGTATGTGCGTTTTATGGAGATTGGATGTATAGTTTTAAAGTTATAGTAAATGTGTAAAAAGTATATTTTTCCTGCCTGTGATAATTACATTAGCCCATTGTGTACAGTAATTATATCACAGGCTGACGGGTGGATTTTGCTGGAATGAATGGGAGTGTTTTACTGTATTGTACTTGTTTGACTGGCTGTTCTACAAAACCATGTGGGTGGTACTTTGTGTGTAAAACTTGCATTAAAAAAAGCCCTTTGATGCTAATAAACGAGATCTTCTTGACCCTCAACACATAGTCTTGTCTCGTGATTGAAGGGGACAGTTATATTCACACTGGGGATTGCTCTACTTGGTCTTTCCCACACAGTCCTGGAAGACAGAAGCTGATCCAGGGTGGAAGGAAGACGGCGAGACTATCGGTTAAGCTACGGCAGTTGTGGAGTCTGCAGTGGTTGTGGTCCTCGGCGCAAGCTAGAAAGCGTACATCAACGCAAGGTACTCGGTCAGAGTACGGGGATTTCCGTTACAGAACAGTACCTTATACCAAACTGCAATTGGAATTTGATATTTGAAACTATTCATAACTTCTGCATAATATACATGTCTATACATGTAGGGTCGGTTATAAACAAAACAAAGTAAAAGGAAGGAAAAAAAGAAAAACAAGAATAAAACATCAGAATACAAATAAAAATTAATTGGCTATGGAAATGCTGCACTCCCAATTTCACAAAGGTTAAACTATGGGTCCTACATTTTTTGAAAAGTATTTATCATGTTATTCCACCGGTGTGACATTTGCTCCCAATCTAGATGATCATTAACAATAGTCACAATTTAGAGACAGAATCTATATTGCTCAGGGTTTCTAATGTAAAATGCAGTAATATCTGAACTATAGACATGTTATCACTAGATGGCAGTTGTTTATTATAAGTAAACAAACAATATTGTGCCTGCGATATACTACTGTACCACCAGATGGCACCTGATTAAGCCTTTGTATCAGTATGACTATTAAGGATCAATAGCATGAAAAGTATGCCATGATACAAAGAGATTTGACTAAGGTTGGCCTTTATTAAAGACAAGAATAAATTATCACTATGTAACAATAAACACATTATGTTGAGACATTAAAAACCATATTCATGTGACACAAAGTACAAGAATATTTTTTGCAGTTTCTGGCATATTTGCCCATCATTTAGCATTAACTGTAAAAATATATTTTATAAAGATTTTGTATAACAATCGGTACAATATCGATACAAATGCTGCAGATAAATATAAATTGTACAGAAATGAATTTATCTCATATACCTCTAAATGTATTCTATCAGGGTTCTTCACTAAATTTTGGATTTTGTCTGGATTGATTGACAAAATACAGTGAAAGTGACCATGGTGTTTTCTGCTCTTCGTTGCGAATCAATGCATCAGCATTGGGTTTCTGCCAAGGCATTGACTGAGAGCTTGGGGAAAAACTATTTTTAAAGTAGGTTCTTCTCCTAATCTATGCAAAAGAGCATAAAGTATCCATTATGCCAAACACGTTACTTACTAAATGTGTATTTTCTAATTGTATATCTTAGTCACAATGCCAAACAGAAAATGTTGCTAATCAGAGCAAAATCACTGTATAGGAAATTATAGAAATTGTAAAACCAATTGTTATTTATTAAATTATGTTTTTGGCATAAATGCCACATCTGGTCTCACAATGCGAGCAGCACTACACAACTTAACCATTTCAGTTAATTGCACTACATTCCACTGCTCTCTTTTATACTGCAGAATGGGAAAATAAGTATGTTACAAAATACATGCTGAGGACTGCAAGCCTAGCTTTCTCTACAGACCCAACAAATATTTAAAAAATAAATAAAAGTAGGTCTATTAGATTCTGATATTAAGCAGGGGAGGCCTGGCATATAGCCTCCCTTCTACACCAGCTAGAGACACAATTCTCTGAACCCATTAATAATAGTGACAGAGCATGCCCACTCCAATGGCCCTTTAACCTGTTAGACCCTGACTCTGCCTGTTTATCTTGCTTTAGAACTATTATAGCCAGAGTATATCACAACTCAGCTGTTCCCAACTTATGGTACGTGTCATAAAATCAGTAATAGCAGTTCTAGCACCGGTGCAGCCGCACCACACAGGCTGGGAACCACAGGGCGAAGTGCGCCTCAGGAAGTCTATGCACCTAAAGCCTTCCAGTAGACACGTGTATTCGGGGGCCCTTTTGGGCGCTTTGGCGCTTTAAAAGAGTGACCGGCCTCCTTCTTATCTGCAGGAAGTGCTGGGAGTAAGTGAGAGCCTGTCACTTACTTCCAGCTGACGCAGAGCTAGCCGCGCAGGAGACAGAGAAGGAGGGCAAGCCCCTAATTCCCAACAGTCTCAGCCAGCAGAAGCCATCCCCCTGCACCCAAAAGGTAGGAAACTGTTGCGTGGATAAAATTTTGACCTGAATGTATATTTTTGTGTGTCTGTATCTGTATGTAGTGTCATTAATTTGTGTGTGTATCTGTATGTCTGTGTATCTGCGTGTGTTATTCTGTTTGTCAGTATTTATATATTCCTCACTTTGGCTGTTACTGACTTTGTCTTTATCTTTCTTACATTAAGTCTGGCCACTCTAAGGCGTCTATCTATAACCTTAGTTTGTGGGATTCGCCATTCCTGTAAGTTGGGGTACAACCTCCATGACATTATGTGCATTTGCTAAGCATAGCTAAGTTAACTTCGCATATGGTCATTCAAATCTGGCATGTTTTTGTCCAAGATGCCAAGCTTCCTGCTCTCTCCTTTTGTGCATTGCCGTTAGATTTTGAGGTATCCTAGATGGGTTTGGAAGCCCCATTGACAATGGAGGAAAATGGATTTTGTTTATAATGATTATTTAATATCAGCTTGTTTCCACATAGATTGACATGCATTTATTTACTATTAGCTACTCATATTAACTAAAATTATTTAATACATGTAACAATAGTGGTCACTGTTTTACAATAATGTTGCACACCTCCTGTGTGTGCTACTTACAGAGCTGGATGCATTTGTATCAACTCAACATTATATTTATTTAGTATAAATTAGCCAAGTAGAATGAAAACACCTTCAATCTAAAGATGTGTGCCTTATACACACAGAGCTCACTATCCTGCCAATCGCTACATGTAGCGTGCCCATGCAGACCATGGTACATGTAGCGTGGCCAAGCAAACCATGGTAGATGATTTTTTGTATCCTTTACCAGCATGACAGGTCTGACAGGAACCAGCTTTTTGTTTGACCGGGTAAAGGAAAAAGAAGAACATCTATCGTGGTCCACGCATGCACACTACAAGGATGGAATAGACTAGAAATAGGGAAGAGACCACAAAGGAAGGAGAGACACACAGGGGTTCAGGAGGGGAAAGAAACAAACAAAGGGGCTGGGGGAGACACATGAAATGGCTGAGGGGAAAGAGGGTAAGAGACACACAAAGGGGCTGGGGGAAAGAGAGTCTACAACTGATAAAACAGTCAAAAGAAGGAATAAGAAATGAAAGGGGGGAAAAGAAATTAAAAAAGGTGGTTAAGAAAAACATAGGTGAAGATGCAATTTCTTTTTGAGGGTCAGCAAAATGCATCTTTGCTTGTGTAGCCAAAAGTCATTGCACCAACCTTGGCATGATATCACACTGCTAAGCCATGAAATACCTTTTTTTCATTAAATAATGCAGTATAAAATACTGGGCTAACTGACAAATACTACTTTAACATTATCAGTTTTTTGAAAATGTGAAAAAAGTGCACTGGCACTTCAATGAATTTTTATATGTTGGGTGTATAAATGATTAAAAAATAAATAAATGGAGAAACAAAAGTGCTTCCCCAACACTTATATACACCTATAAAAAAAATAAAATAAACAATGTAAAAAAATACGATGTCACATGTCCTAAGGACGTCTTAGGATATGAGACTCTTCATATAACACACACTGCATGAGTAGCAAACTTCCCAGCCTTTTTATTGTTTTTATCCATATATATGTTTTTAAATTGTTTCAATAAATATCCTTATCTTTGGATCCTGATTCCTGTGTTCTGGGAAGTGGATGATATTCAATCTTGGGCTACCATACAGAGCTCGGTACAGTTCTAAGCCAGGTGAGCGTGATTCCATCCTGCATCCTGTATTATTATTTTTAACAGTTTACATGTTTTGTTTATTTATTCTGGTGTTTTTTTATCAGTTATTTAGCATTACAATCAACAGTTTTCTCTACAAATGGTTATTCTAGTTTGCACTTGATATTATAATTGGCCATTAAATTCTAATAATTTAGTTACAACCAAAATACTCATACTAACTGACAGGGCCAGCCCAAGACATTGTACTCTGTCTGCGTCCAAAGATGAAATTCTGCCCCCTCAAAAAATATACATGCCTGAGCAATTGTAGTGTCTCTATATGTGTGTGCTGGGGATTAAGTGTGTGTCTGTGTGTGTGCTTGGAGTGAAGTGTGTGCCTATGTGGGTGCTGTGAGTGAAGTGTTTGCTGTGGATGAAGATTGTGTCTGTGTGCTGAGGATGAAGTGTCTATCTGTGTGTGATGGGTGTGAAGTGTGTGTCTGTGTGTACTAGGGATAATGTGTGTGTATGTGTGTGTGCTGGGGATGAAGTGTCTGTGTGAGTGTGCTGGGCAGGGCCGGACTGGCCCACCGGGATACCGGGAAATTTCCCGGTGGGCCGTCGGCACCTGGGGCCGGGCAGGCAGCTGACGTCATATTCCGGCCCCGGTCTCATTAAGCTGCGCGCTGGGGAGGGGGAGCAGAGACAGAACAGCCAGCTCCCCCTGTGGCTGCCAAAAGAGCTCCCTCTGCGGCCTCCAGAAGAGCCAGCTCCCCCATGCGGCCGCCATCAGACCTCCCCATGCCAGCACACAGGTAGAAATTATGTGTGTGTGTGTCTGTGTCATTTGTGTGTGTGTCTGTCATGGTGTGTCTGTGTCATGGTGTGTGTGTGTCTCTGTCTGTCATGGTGTGTGTGTGTCTCTGTCTGTGTCATGGTGTGTGTGTCTGTCTGTGTCATGGTGTGTGTGTGTGTGTCTGTCTGTGTCGTGTGTGTGTGTCTGTCTGTGTCATGCAATGTGTGTCATTGTGTGTGTGTGTCTGTCATGTAATGTGTGTCTGTCTGTGTCACGGTCTGTCTGTGTCATGGTGTGTGTGTGTCTGTCTGTGTCATGTAATGTGTGTCTGTCTGTGTCACGGTGTGTGTGTGTCTGTGTCACAGTCTGTCTGTGTTATGGTGTGTGTGTGTGTGTCAAGGTGTGTGTGTGTCTTTTTTAAGGTATGTGTCTGTCATGGTATGTGTGTGTCTCTGTCATGGTGTGTCTGTCTGTGTCATGGTGTGTCTGTCTGTCATGGTGTGTCTGTGTTTCTGTCTGTGTCACGGTGTGTGTGTTTCTGTCTATGTCACGGTGTGTGTGTGTCTGTGTCACCGTCTGTCTGTGTCATGGAGTGTGTCTGTCATGGTATGTGTGTGTATGTGTTTTTACTCAACTTCCCCTCCCCCCATGTCGTGCTGGTCTCCCCTTGACTGGCCCTGCCTCTACGGCTGAGATCATCAAGCTTGATGATCTCAGCCAATCTGCACTGACACAGGAAGCACCTCTAGTGACCGTCTGAGTGTCTGTCACTAGGAAGCAATGTAAACACTGCCTTTTCTCTAAAAAGTCAGTGTTTACATTGAAAAGCCTGCAGGCACAGGCTATAGACACCAGAGCCACTACATTAAGCTGTGTGTGTGTGCGCGCCTGCTACTGAGTGAGCTTGTGTTTTTATGTCAATGACCTTATGCATATCAGTGAGATTGTTTGTCTATGTCTATGTATCAATCAGCTTGTGTCAGTGAGATTGTCTGTGTCTGCATGTGAGTATGCTTACTGTATAATTAAAAATTTTACTCTGAAAGGACCAATATTTTATATTGGAAAAAGCAATACATATATGTATATATATATATATATATATATATAGCAATCATCAAGGGTGGCAAGACATAGCCTTACATATTACATGCAACAATATATGGCGCAATGACTTATGGGGCTGGCATAGATTTTTTTTCCAGGGCTGCTTTGGAATCCCCAGTCCAGCCCTGGTGCTGGAGATGAAGTGTGCCTGTGTGTGCTTGGGAGGAAGTGTGTGTCTGTGTGTGTGATGGGGATGAAGTTTCTCTGTGTGTGTGCTGGGGATGAAGTGTGTGTCTGTATGTGTTCTGCGGGTGAATTGTGTGTCTATGTGTGTGCTGGGGACGGTGTGTGTGCTGCAGGTGCCATGTGTCTGTGTGTGCTGCAGGTGCCATGTGTCTGTGTGTGCTGAGGATGAAGTGTGTGTATCTGTGTGTGTGATGGGGATGAAGTGTCTCTGTGTGTGTGCTGTGGGTGAAGTGTGTGTGTGCTGGGGATGAAGTGCATGTGTGTGTGTTGCTCGGGATGAAGTGTGTGTCTGTATGTGTGATGTGGATGAACTGTGTGTCTATGTGTGTACTGGGGATGGTGTGTGCTGGGGTGAAAAGTGTGTGTGTGTGTGTGCGTGTGTGTGTGTTTGTTCTGAGGATGTACTGTGTGTCTGTGTGTGCTGGGGATGCAGTGTGTGTCTGTGTGTGGCTGCTGGGGATGTAGTGTCTGTGTGTGCTGGAGATGTAGTGTGTGTGTGTGCTGGGGATGTAGCGTGTGTCTGTGTGTATACTGCAGCCAATACACTTACCTATACACTGTGCCTGTGTATCTGCATGTGTGTTAGTGTTTGTATCTGTATCAGTGATTGTATATATTTGTCTATGTATCTGCATGCGTGGCAATGTTTGTATCTGTGTATCTGTTCAGCTGCATGTGTATCAGTCTGTCTATGCAACTGTATTTTTGTCTGTGCATCTGAATGTGTGTCAGTATATGTATCAAACACTGACACACATACAGATGCACAGACACACTGATATACACACTGATACACCTGCAGATACAGACATACACGTACAGATACACTCACTGCCATACATGCAGATACACAGACATACAGAGAGACACACACACACACACTACACACATACAAATATACACACATTACACACACTACACACACACAGATTCAGACTGCTATGCTGCAGTCCTGGGTTTTGGACACAAGCTATTCAAGTTAGAGCAGACTTTTACTGCTCTCTCCTTGTAAGTTTATTTAATTTACTCATTCTATATCACAAGTGTTACAATATCACACTATATATTTTATCTTTATATTTTTATGTATTATTTATGTCTGGGAGAATACTATGGAATTCCAATTTTAAAGATTATTAGTAAGTTTGTACTATACTTATCACTTTGTGCACTTGCTATTTTTGCACTCCAATTTATTTGTGTATTATTACATTTTTTATCACCTTATAGTGCACTGGTATTTGCACTGTGTTGCACAACACCCACACTGTATAGTATTTTAAAGGTACAGTGCACCTTTTTACCTTATTTTTTAAGCCATACAGTTCATGACCAGAGAGCTGTTAGCTTTTATATTTGGTATGTACTATGTGAACATGTACAGGTTTGTGTGCACCAATATTGGTGTTAGTGTGTACACTATAAAAGAACTGATGTTTTCTCCCTGGCTATGTTTAGTTGGTAAATGTAAAAACATGATTCAGTGTCTACATCAGGAATACAGACAGGGTGGTCTCAGGCAGAACTATGATAAAATGAATGAAAATCTTAATTTAAATGAGAGCACAGTCCTTTAACCCCTTAAGGACCAAACTTCTGGAATAAAATGGAATCATGACATGTCACACATGTCATGTGTCCTTAAGGGGTTAAAAGCAGGACTAGAAAAACGTTTTTTCCCATTGTAACTGAACTACATGTCCTGTCTTCTGGAACAAGTGGCTGGCTGCAGGCAAGAAAGAATTATGGAAAATGTCAACCAACAAAAGCTGGGGAGGTTGTTAACCCTGCTCCAAAAACAGTTTCCTTGATCTATACATACATTTCTAAAACAATTTTAACACAAAGTCAAATTGAATTTGATCGCATTGTTAAATTATTTTAACTTTTTTTTCTTTTTCTTTTTAGATTCACATGAATCATTGATGTGATAAAATATATCCTAATGATTATGTAGACATGTCCAACAAAAGGTTTTAAAGATTATTTTGGGCTCAATATATGTCTTGCAGTCACTTTTATTTGTTTTTCTTTGTCGTATTTCTTAGTGCAAATACAGTAAAAGGCATAAGAAAGTCTCAGTTTGAAAGCACAACCGTTTATTAGTGGATTCTGTGGTAAGAAATCAGAACACAAAGTGTTTATGGGAATAAGACACAAGACTTATCTCTTTGCTATTTAAGACATTGGAGAGGAATAGAGAGAAAGAGAGAGCACATTTTCATTCTACACACATTTAAAAGCATTAGCACAACACCTCCTGCACTCAGGTACACAACCACAAATCCCACAATAGGTTAAAAATGGGTTGAATGTAACATCTACCCTGGAATATCAGCACCGGGATCCCCTTATAATCCTGCTTCAACCCATGACATCTTTATCTGCTTGATTGAAATTCGGCCTTCAGGAGTCACCTTAGCTACATTCTTTGCAGCTGTAGGATATGCACAATTTACACACTGTTAGACAAGAACAGATATGGAAGAACAAGGAAGATATTTAAAAGCAATATGAAGACTTCAGTGCAGTTAAGAGTTAAACAGTTACAATTTTTTTGCCATTGCTGTAGAAAACATGGTAAAGATCTGGCCATGTCTTGCACTCATCTTCCATCCACATTTCTCCCTTTATTTGTTAGTCTATTACCAACGTGTGAAGAAAACTGTAAAATTAAAAATTAGTACCTGGAAACTCATCTCAACAACTTGGGGACAGCTGTTCAAACTTAATAAGATCTACAGAATGTTACGTCTCTCTTTGGGAAATTATGTGCATATAAGATTATTTTTTGTTTGCTAATGATGCACTCTAATCCCATTCTTTTAGCCTTAAAGGTTAACTTGATTTATAAAGTATGTGTTATGTGGAAAGGCCTTGGCATATCTAAACTGTCACCATCCTCTGCAGGACCAGGGGACATTAAGGGATCCAGAAGTTGTATGGAGTTAAGCGGGAGGACATGGGGAAGCGGGTTGACGTTGCCCTAGGAATACAGACCTTGCAGCTTTCTTGAATTCTCCAAACTATAAGTCAGAAGATTGTGTGCGTGTGTACATTAATATATTCATTTATATATATTTATTTACACACATGTAAACATACAAACTGATACATAACTTTAACTGTATGTACCGTTATGTATAGGTCAGAGTAACTAACTGCATTTCAATATAAATATATATGTACGAATGTAACCACGAACATATATAAATATATATGTTAGATGTTAGTAAGCATCTCCTTGTCAGTCTGATTTTTGTTCCTAGTGAAGTCACTCCCCACAAGACTATAACAAATGTCAGGAACCAGTAACCCTTTCGGACTCATTCAACTTGAAAAAGGAGCGGAATCCTGGGGCAGAGGTAGAAGAAGGAGGAGGAAGAAATTAGCCAAGGCTGGTAATGTTGGCACGGCCCCCAGGTGGCGCTACTATGCGCTGTGTAGTACGCCGAGGGATATTGTCATCAACCTGGGCTCCTGCAAGAAACATGGAATTTTTTAGGTGACACAAAAGAAAACATCTTGGAAAAGGTGATTATTTAGGAAAATGGGCTATGAATATAGAGCTGGATTCATTTATATGTCTAACATTAAACAGTTAACTTTCAGCGATGACAATCCTGCCGAAGAGGAGTTACTGACACTTTAAAAGGATTATCGAAATTTTAAAACATCAAAGAACTTGAAAACACATTTCTAACAACTAACCAATTCTCAGAAATATTAAGTATAAGAACAAAAACCTCTAATCACTTTGTGATGTGTATAAGCAATGTTCAATAGTTATTCCTCACTGATCAATTACTGTCACCTATTAGTATCATCAATGCATTTGGCTTTCTGTAACCCTCAGACTCAGGTGTCTATTAATATCTGTGGGTCCTCTCTGTTAGCTGGGGCCAGACTGCAAAACGAGTTGTATGCCGCGCTCAAAGCGAGGTCTGCATACAGTCTGGTAAATGGGATTTAAATATCTACAATCACGCTCAGCCGCAGTGATTCTGAGCCATCCCATTTGAGGGGGACACCCAGAGTCTGAAAAGACCCTGGCAGGGTCCCCTGAATGCCCTCCTGTCAATTTTGATGAGTTCTGGGTTTTGCTAGGTGCCCATTTCCAAACACATAGTGATCACATGAGAGGGAGATTTTATGTCATGCTAAAAAAATATTCAGTAGATGGCGATCACAGAATGCTGCCTACTGTTTTAGCAGGGAAATCTCTCCCCTGATTAGGGTTAGGAATAGTTTAAGATTAATGTCAGGAGCAAGGTTAGGGTAGGTGTAGAGTACGTGTACTATTAGAGGCAGGATTCATATAAGGTTAGGGGTGGGTTGGTATAGGGTTGTCTTAAAAATAGGTTAACATCCAAATTCTTCTTTCCCTTAAAAACAATATATATGTATGAGGGCAATTAAAGAGAAACCCTGAAATTATGATGGAACATAAACATAAAGCAAATTCTATTATTGGTTCAGAAGTTGGACAATTGCCTCAGTCCTTAAGGAGTCACCGTGCAATGTGTGCTTATCATATTCGCATTGTGAAATTAAGAGTGAATTCACAATTTAAACCAAGTGAACCAAGTGAAAATAAAATTTTCTGACTTTTTGCATCTCAATTTCAAATTTTTGCATAAGCTTTCCAAATGATGTAAAAGTTAAACTTTTTTAAATTTATTTAATATTCTGAAAAATATTTTTGTAATATTTTTATATTGATTGATATTGATTTCGATACTTTAATATTTTTAAAAAAATTATTTTAGAAGTTTACCAATAATATTAAATCATTTGGAAAGCTTATCACACAATATTAAATCGAGGCCAATGTTGGATAAGCTTTTCAAAATATTTCATATTTTTTGATAAACATTTATAAAAAAATAAAAAATAATAATTTTAAAATATATATAATATATATAATATATAAAAATATAGCAATAAATCAAAATGTTAAAATATTCAAAGTTAAAATATTTTTCATAATATGAACTCATTTTAAATGTGTATCCAAAAATTTTAAATCATTTGAAAAGCTTATTCAACAATAATAAATCATGGCCTTTGTTGGCATTACCAGCAGAAAAAAAGAATTATGAAATTTAGATTGTGATTGTTTTCATAAATTTCATACCGTACTAGCCAAAATAAACTAAGATGATATAACTTTGTAGAGCACCTGTCTCCAACATTTTTAACAACGCCATTTTTAAAACTCGGAAAAAAAGGTTTTGCTCCCTTATAAAAATATTTGTAGATTTAGCCACTGCGCCCTTTATACTCAGGCAATGGGTCATTAATCTTTATCACTGCTCACGCTGCCTGCTTAAAACTACAGTGGGACCTCGGTTTACGAATTTAATGCGTTCTCCTGTATGTTTCTTATTGCGAAAAATTTGTAAACTGAAACGCGGTTTCCCATAGGAATACATTGAAAACCAATTAATCCATTCTGGAGGTCAGAAAAAAGTCAAAATGAGCTGGCATGGAAACCAACCCACAATGCAGAACACACAACAAAAGGCATGCAAACGACAAAGCTCAGCTCACTTCCTTTCCACAGCTTGAGAAATGCACCAAAAAGTCCCAAAACAACTGCAAAAAATTTCCATAATGGCTCCAAAACTCGATGCAAAAGCTGCTCCAACACCTCCACACTCAACGCCACGTGCTACCTACAGGCTCCAGCATGCAGGGGGCAGTGCTATAAACCTCCCAGGTGCAATGCATCCTGCGGAAACTTGCTTTGTATTGCGAAAAAATTGTAAACCAAGGCATTATTTTCAATGGATTTTCATTTGTAAACCGAAAATTATGTTAACCGAGGCATTTGTAAACCGAGGTCCCACTGTAATTTTTTTATTATTATTCTTTATTTTTGTTGCGCAAAGAGTGTACAGAAGATGCTTGCATCGCCACAACAGCGGGGCAAACAATGCTTTTTCATAAATATTAAAATAGGAACATGGCATGGAAAAAACATGCACAAATATTTTTTTTTAACTCATGCTATACAGATATGTGGTGTGTCATAGCCTTTTAAAACTACTTAACATAGCAAAACAATTAAGCCTATCTACCATTGTGTTGGGTGGACATGTGTTAGTAAAGTACTAGCTCTGGTGCTTAGTATGTAGAGAAACTCTGGCTGTCTGGTTATTGTAGTGCTCAGTATAATACATAATACTAGTGGTGATTGCATGTCATTTTACGATGTGTACATGAAGAGATGGTAGATTTTGTTAGTAAATTAATGCATCATGCTTTACGGATTAAATGCTTAAGGGTACCACTGGGTGAATTAACTGGTCAGTTGTTGTACGTAGGATTTATTAGAGTTCTCAAGCGTCTGAGAGCAGGTATCGTAGTGTCTATTAGTGGCTGTCAGCCCACACCGCTTGGAGGCTCCTTGGGGAGTCTCTTGTTACTGTAGTCCCAGTGCAGTGTTGTTTCGGCCCTGGGCTCCGTGCAAGATCTTGCTGAGGTGCCCGCTGGGGTCTTGTTGTGCAGAGGCTAAGGCATAGCAGCACTGCCGCAGGTAGGGTGTAACATGGAGCTCCTCTCCAGCCCTTTGCGTTCGGCCCTTGGGGCCCAGGTGATCGTGTCTGACGGTAAGCTCCTGGTTGTTCCGGGAGGCTCCGTGTGCCGCATGGGCCTGGGTTTTGCTCCTCTCGGTGGGACTGGGTAGGTCCTCTTTTGGGAGGGGGTCTCTGTGGGGGGACTCTATGAGCCGACTTACCCCCTGGAGTTGACCGCCCGGGTCGTGTTCTCTTTCGGCGCCTGGGTGTGAAGCTGTTCCGCCTCTGTGGGGTCGGCATGTACCGCTGGATTGCCAGGGATGAGTGGTGGTGTGAGTTTGCTCTCTGTTGCCTCTCCTCAATTTTTCACCAAAATTCCTCTAAGATCTTGTCTAGCTTTGCTAGTGTTGACTCTGTTGTGCCTCGTGGTTTGGTGTGAGGCCTGGCGTCTGCCATCTTGTATTGCTTGAGGGGGTCAGAGTTAAGTTGCAGTTGAAGCTTGTGCGAGGCCACAGTTACACCCGTGGATGGAGTGATGATGCCGGGACAGGGTTCTATGCTGCTTCATCTTTTGTTTGCAGGTGATCAGGTGGGGAGAGTGGCCGCCTCTCTCACGCCGTCGCCCCCAGGTAGGCCGCAGTGGTGCTTGAGTTGCATCAGGGAAGCCTTAGATTTAAGCGGAGCTGTTTGCAGGCTCTGTCCAGTCCTCAGATTACAATTGTTTTGCGTCTAAGTGTCGGTATTAGAGCGATTTCGTAGATTCTCGATCGGAGCTCGCTCTGCCTGCGACCGTTCCATTTGGCAGTCAGGCCCCGCCCCACCACTGTAATTTTAATACAATTATTCTACAGAACTAGGCTAGTGATGGAATCTCTGCATTCATTGCTCTTAAATACAGTTTTTCCCAATAGTATGGGAATTGATATTCAGATTTGGATGTGGTTGTTCACATTGGTTTGGAGAAATGACGAGCTCACATTTCCAACAAGTGGAAAGTGTCACATTGAGATAAGAAGATTAGTAGGTTAAATGGATAGTCTGAATGGTCAGCAGTAGGACAATTAGTTAAAATTTTGTGCTGGGAAGATTAGCATGGAAAATAACATTATATGCAAGGTGTAACCATATGAACTGTGAAATGCAAAACTGTAGCAGTGTTACCTTGAGGTTGGTATTAAAGTGAAGCTATTTACCTGACAGGCTGAATCCAGACTGATGCAGGTTCCTTATTGGCTGCGGTGGTTGTTTGGCAGGGGATGTCTTGGCAGAAGATGCAGGTGTAACTGCTTTTGGGGTCACTGAGACTTCGCAAACAGGGCCATCATACAATCCACGTGGGACTCCGCGCAGCTCAGCAAGCTGGAGACAATTACATTTATATTATTGAGTAATGTCTTTCAATATACAGAGAATTGATTCCCAAATTAAAATATGTACATCTTGCAAGGCCACCAAGACCACCTTACAACTTATAAGTACCATGAAGCTTTCATTTTTTAATCATTCAAATTATTTTTTTACCCGCACCCCGACTCTCCCTAAAAACTCACCCTGCTCCGGGCCTTGATTCGTTTGTACACATAGTCTGGAAAAGGTTTCCTGGGAATGTATCGTCCTGATCCCTCAATAGTATGAAGATTCCCATCCTCAAGTACAATTTTGCCCTGGCTTATCACCACAAGAGGACTTCCTCGACACTCCATTCCTTCAAAGATATTATACTCCAATGCCTAGATTGTGATACAGAGAGAGAGAGAGAGAATATTAGGTCAAAAAGTCACAGAAATGCTAGAAATTCTGACTTTCTGGTACAAATACAGCAAATTTAGATTGATACCTATGTCACAGTAGGTGTTACCTTTTTATTTTACTTTTAATGCCTGTTAAAAAAAAATACATACTTTTCAAGCACTTACACTATTGTGTGTCTTGGCAGATATTGTCCTCACACTGTCGGGGTCCCATATCACCAGATCTGCATCCGATCCTACTGCAATCCGTCCTTTTCTTGGATACAAGTTAAAGATCTTGGCAGCATTAGTGCTGGTGACAGCCACAAACTGATTTTCATCCATCTTTCCAGTTACCTAGGGAAAGATCAGTCAAAATACTTGAGCTGCAACTGCTCTTCTCACATTAATAGAAAGACTTGTCCCTTTTTTCACCCCTGACCACTGCAACATGACCTAAATTTCATAAAAGTAATATAAAAATAGACAGCAGATGCATAATGTAAGTTAAAAAAATAATCTAATCTTGACCTACAAATCTAACCTTGATCCTTTGACCAATTAAGAAAGCTGCTGAGTCTGTCTGGACATAGAAGTGTAATACATATTTGAAAGCTTGACTGAGAACTAATTTGAACTCTTTGTATGTATTATGTCCTCATTTGCGTTCTCCCATCCAAAATATAATTTATTTTTTAAACTTGAACCCTTAAACACAATCCTATACCTCTGATGTTTTCCCCACCACACCAAACTTTTCTTCTCAAGCTTGGCACTCTGTACGCACCACAGCTCGGTCCCACACGACGCTCATTCTCTCCTCGGCTCCATTGGTTCCCTCGGGAATAAGTTTGAAATTGTCTTTTCCAACAGCTTTCTGAGCTGTATTAAAGGTGCAGTGGGCACTTCCGCTAACCTGTAGATCACCGCTGGGAGATGGGGAGACAAATATTAACCTCAGGAGTTCCCTTTCAAAATAAATACTTTCTACTCTACAAAGTAACAAAGAGCACACTTAATGTCAGACAAAGACAATCAATATGTCACAAGATTTAGCCATGCTATACAGAGGTTAAAAAAGCTCCAATCCCCACTACTTGTAGCCATTAGAGAAACACAACCCTCAAGTCACAGTTGGAATACATTATTCTAAGGCAGGGGGTTTCATTTCACTATCTGATAATATTAAAATACGACGACTATTATAAACATAGATTAAAGAATTAAAGAAACAGAAGTGTAAATAAAACAAAAAAGTTCAACGGTAAATACAGTGACTGCTCAGCATTTATTAGAAACAAAGGTACAGCAGTAGCTGAAAGTACACTGGAGAGCAATACAATTGCAAATAGCTACAAAAAACAGAACAACAAAATGTAGATAAAGTAAATGTCAATAAATAAATCCTAATCGGGCATTCCAGCAGAGTGTTCCACTTCTGTATACACACTGTATCCGATCTGGAAAACAGCACAGCAAAACATAGATACTTTATTGCATATAGACTTGAACACTTACAGAAATCCAGGTATTAACAGGAACATCTGGAGATAAACTCCTTAAGCAGTAATATCCGTGGCAGCAAACAATTAGGTCCTTCAGTGTTTCACAGGGTGAATGCAGGCATTGAATCGAACCTGCAGTTGGTGAATTCAGGTGTGCATTCCAGCAGTGGGATGTTATGATGTAATACGCTCCACTGAAGACACTGCAGTGATTAGCCTAATGCATTTCGTAGGTGATTCCTACTTCATCAGAGGCATAACATCACTTCACGCTGCTGGAACGGGAATTCATCAACTGCAGGTTCAATTCGATGCCAGCATGAGATCTGTGAAACAGGACCTAATTGTTTCATACCACGGACATTACTGCTTAAGGAGTTGTACTCCCGACGTGCCTGTTTATACCTGGATTTCTGTAAGTCTTCAATTTTATGCGCAATAAAGTATCTGTTTTTATGGAAAGCACTAGGTTTTGCTGTGCTCTTTTCCAGATCTGACACTGTATGTATACCAAAAGGGAATTCTCTCTGTTGCAATATCCAATAAGGATATATCTATTAACATTTACTTTATCTACATTTGTTAGCTCCGTTTTTTCTTTGTTTTTATGTTTTACTATTTGCAATTGTATTGCTTTTTAGTGTACTTGTAGCCATTTTTGTACCTTCATAGACTCCATGCATACTATGTCTACACCAATAAGGTGGTTATTGTCACTTTAGTTAGCACAGTAGCGGATTTCTCAGAATATATCTGATACAATACTCACCAGGACAACAGAGAGTTGAGGAAATCAGGAGTACTTGGATCAGGGCTAAGAGGGGGAGAGGTGACAAAGGCTGCTGCCTTGGCCCAGTTTTTACTCCAGTAATGAGTGCCATCAGTGCCCAAACTAGCAGTGATTGGTTCTCCATAGACCACAGCACCTGTGAGAACATATACACTTGCCTCTTAAAACACATCCATATCATTCATTTATGTAAAATTGAAGTAGAATTCACAGAGACATTCATCTTACACAATGTGTTGAACATTCATTCCAATTTCTCATTATTCCTGACCCTTAAATGTTGCCTTACACACCTTTCTTCCTGGACTGTGCGATGACCTCTGCAGAGCTCTTGCTCATAACCTTGGTCACATAGAGAGGGCAGTTGGTCTGGTTGGCAATAGTGATAGAGCGGTTTACAGCTTCTGCTTCAACCTACAGAAAAGGAGGACCATGCGAATCACAATGATGTGTAAAGATATCATCAATGAATTTCAAAGTGTATATGAAAAATAACTGGGTTAGCCAATTGTTCCAATTTCTTAATATTGGCCTAAAACTTTTAAATTCTTTGGTCAGTTTCCAACAATTCCTTGTTTTCCAGTTAACTGAGACAGTGCTGCATCTACGACTTTCCGAAAGACTCAAGCACAACTGGGAAACTTGTTTGGGCAAGTTTTGCATCTTAGGTTTTCAAAGCCCAGTGAAAAGGTTAAGAATGTAAAGTCTTACTCACTTCTTCCGGTCGACTCAAGACATGTCCCTCAGGGCCAGTTATCCCTTGTTCAAGGATCCTCTGTTGCTCCTGGAACAAGAATGATATAATAAAAAAGTCCTCACAATTAGAATCAATATTGAACACACCCATAACAAAACAACCAAATTCTGTCATAATAAACACAAAATGATGGCAAACTCATACAGAACAAATGTCATAGAAATATACTGGAGATAGTAAGCAGTTAATTTGTAATTGTAGTTAAGTGGAGATTTATCTATGAATAATATCTAATACCTAATAAGCAATACCCAGACATGATGTACATAAAGAGCCAACACTAAAAGACCTGATAATCACAGAGAATCAATAACACAAGACAAGACTTGATGCTCAGTACCCACAGAGATCCAACACTCAACACACACAAACCAACTTACAGAAACCTAATGCTTTGATACATGTCTTGACATAGAAATGCAGTTAACATCACCTAACAGCCATAAAGATCCAATACCTTGGCAATAGCAGATAAACGTTATCCCAGACACAGAGAATACACGTTGAATAAGTGCATGTAGACTGGATACTTCACAGACGACAATAAAAGTCAGAAGTAGACTTTGCTGAAAAGTGACACCTTCCTAAATTTACACTTTTTGGGTTTTGTTTATTAACTAAAGAGAATCTGGCACAAGAAACATAACCATTCCTTGTTATAGAGTCCCTAATGTTATCTATGCATTATGCAAACAAAATGTATATGTATATTTTGTTATTTTTCATAACATGCTTACAGGTATAAAGGACTTGTATAATCTTTTATTACTTGCAAATCCTAAAAATCACATCTTTAGAGAAGCTAACAATTGAAACTATTAATTAACCAAATGTATCCTCTTAAGTTACAGGCTCAGCTACTGCATGTATCAAGAAAAGATAATAAGATAAGTATTGTAATCAGTTAGATGTAAACTGTACACCTTCCAGTCTAGCCGCCCTTCTGGACAAATTGCACTTTTACCATTAAAACTATACCCAACTTTAGATTGTAAGCTTGTTTGCACAGAATTCTTTCTGAATATATACAGTGTTTGGATATTTTACAATTGTGCAACACTACAATAGAAAATAATAATCACTAGAGGATATTAGAACCACAAGCAAATTCTTACCTCAGTTATAACATCCCCATTTTCTGCGTGGACCTGTGCTATAGCTCCAATGTCCCGGATCACACTGAACACCTCGTATATCTGTCAATAATAAGAAAACTTTATCTATGTTTCCTCTGTTATACAAGACATGAGAATGGAGCAAAAGAGTAAAATGACAAAAGAGAACAATTTACCAGGAATAATGACACAGTACAACAGATTATAATGTGGAGACAGAGCATGTAGACATAAATAAGCATGATAAATTATTGGGGCACCAGTTTATAACTCAGTAGCATGTTCCACATATGACTTCCATAAATCACAGTTGAAACCCCTGCCAATCTTGCCCATATACATTTTATGTAATTTACAGCTTACTTAATCCCTATTTTGTTCTATGTATATTTTATGTCCTGATAAGGCTCTTTGAGTCAAGGACCCCAATCCACACCAGCGTGCTCTATAACAAGTGGCTTGAGAAGTATAGAAGTATGTAAATTGAAGGAGATCCTATTGGAACACTTTAAAATGGACTTGTCATGGAACATACAAAATTTAGTTAAAAACTAAGTACAAAAAATCATCTATGCACTGTGTTAGCAGAATAGTTATTAAATGTTTTCCTTTTTTTTTTTATAAATCTATTTAAAAACATGCTCTTTCCACCTTATCAGTAAATTAAAGTGTTTGCCAAAAAATCGAGTTACAGTGGAGAGCTTGAGAACCCTCCCAGCTCTCAGTGACAGTAACTACAGCTCTAGTTGCTGTGATGATACTTTAGTAAGCACGTTTTGTGTTTGCTAGTGTAAAATAGGAATGCAGTGACTGAAATAACTCTTCTGATGATAGTGCGCTTGCAATGAAACTAATGTGATGGAGTCATTGGCAATGGGTTGCTCTACTTAGGAAAGAGTTCCCAAGCAGGGTCAATTGCAGGGAGGGATAAACACTGAAACGCTGAAAAGAAGGTATTACTATAACAGCTACTAAAGCAAATTAGTATATAATATATTCATTGTTTTAGGAGCTGTTACCAATAAAGATAAACTTGTAGTAGCAGGTTCATTCTTATCGTCCATTATAAAACTAGGTAATGAGCCCCAACATACTGGGGTACTTTACACAGTGGTGGGCCATTGGGTGACAAAATCCTCATATTTGTTCCTGAGATAGATGATTTTAAGTGGCCTTAAAAGATCTGAAACTACATTTTATGTGTGCAGCATTATTTTGTGCATTGCTACTAAGAAATTCATGTCTTGTGTGTGGATCTTAAGTATTTTTTTTTAACTTATATTTTCAATCCAGCTCCAGATCAGGCACTACTTGTTAAGCATATCCACCTTTTCACGCACATGTGCCCCACTAGCAGTATCCTGAGTAGTACATAAATTGGGGAAACAGCCATTGAAGCAGTTGAAGCTGTTAATGTATTGCAGCTAGTACATTTATCTTCCAGGTTAAAATTAGGTTAGAACTTTGGTTTCATGTACCCGATCCCCAAATGCAGCACCGACTACTATTATCAACATATCTGCAATTTTTGGATGAGAGATTTTGATATTTCCTGTAGCTCCCAACCTGTGAGCTGTGATAGCAAGAGAATGTGGCACTGTGAATGTAAAGTTTAGGAAATAGCAACAGCTCCTAATAGTGGGCTGAAAAAGTTCTTAAGCTCCCCTTACTCTTTCACAACAGCTTAGGAGGATGTTGTGTCTTATAGCTTACTTTGAGCACTCTAAGGGAGTGAAGGTAGAATACCCCTTTCCCTAGAAATGAGGGAAGCCGGAGGGTGGCTAAAATAATATATATATATATATATATATATATATATTGATACAAAAGAGGTGTATGCCAGTCTGTCTTGGAGCATGTACGTGTGTGCGTGTTTGGGAATATGTATATGCAAGCCCAGACTGACCATCAGGCAAATCAGGTAAATGCCTGATAGGCTGCAATGACCATGAGCCAAGACTGACATGGGAGATGAGAGGGTCTCTCTGGCCAGCCATTGAGAGGGCGCTACCTGAGAGGGAGCTCCACGGCCAGTGGGAAGATTATATTTCACCATCATCAGCCAACCCACTTGAATATAGAGGAGTTTGGGAGCTTGCAGACTGAACCTCCAGTGGGTACAGAACACATGCATTGCAACAGGACTTGTATCAGACAACTGTCACATGTTGCCACTGTAGCACTTGTCTTTTCCATGCACTGGCAAAGGCAAATAGTCTGTGCCATAAGAAAGAGAAATCCCATTAAGGGACTTGGTGGTGTGTTATAGGAACCTAGAGGGTTTACCCCTACAAGGCAATAATGAAAAAGACCCAAAGGCACAATGAGGTCCCTTTAAATAATCAAAAGAAATAATTTAAAAAATCACAGTTTTTTGAATACAAGTATAAATACAGGGACTATGCAAAACAAATGCAATAAGGCTTTGTGGGTAATGAGGGAGTGTAAGTAGGGGATGACTTAAGTGAATCAATGTAGATGTACAATGAGCAAAAACTGGAGGAAAGGTTCTATGGTGCCATTAATGAGAAAAAGAAAAACTGAATCAGAATGGCATAAATCCTTGCTGGAAAAAAACAAGCTGTTCACTTTTTAGACAAAAACAGCATTTAAATAATTATCAGCCCACTTGAAACAAAGGGGATCTGGATCAGAATGGCTTAAATCCTTGCTGAAAAAAAACAGGCTGTTGACTTTTTAGACAGATACAGCATTTAACCGCTTAGTGACCAAATTGCTTTTCAATTTTCTTGCCATTTGGGACCAGGGCTATTTTTACATTTTTGCGGTGTTTGTGTTTAGCTGTAATTTTCCTCTTGCTTATTTACTGTACCCACACATATTATATACAGTTTTTCTTGTCATTACATGGTATTTCTAAAGATACCATTATTTTCATCATATCGTATAAGTTACTATAAAAAAAAATATAAAATATTATGAAATAATTTAAAAAAAACACACCTTTTCTAACTTTGACCCCCAAAATCTGTTCCGCATCTACAACCACCAAAAAACACCCATGCTAAATAGTTTCTAAATTTTGTCCTGAGTTTAGAAATATCCCAATGTTAACATGTTCTTAGCTTTTTTATGCAAGTTATAGGGTGATAAGTACAAGTAGCACTTTCTATTTCCTAACCATTGTTTTTCAAAATTAACTAAAGTTACATTGTAACAATGATATCTGTCAGGAATCCAACCCTTCACATGTATATATTTTTTAGAAGAAGACAACCTAAGATATTAAACTTGGTGTATTTTGACTCTTTACATGCAACCATTTTATCACCAATCTATGCCAAATTAAATTTTTTTTAAATAATTGGTGATTTTTTTTGACACACATAGCAATTTAAGAATACATGTACTGAGAACTTTAAGGGTTACTGCCAAATAACACCCAAATATGTGTTCAGCAACATCTCCTGAGTACAGTGATACAACCCATGTATAGGTGTGTTGGGTTCTCTGAGGGCTAAAAGACCTTATTAGGAGGGTGCGCATTCCAGTTTTCCAACTTGGAATTTTCAAAATTGGTCATCATGCACCCATGTCCTATTTGGAACATATTTGCCAAAAATGTGAAAAAATGAAAAATCAAACCTTTTATTTGGCCTTGTAACTTTCAAAAACACTATAAAACATGTACATGGGGGGTACTGTTATACTTGTGAGAATTCACAGAACACAAATATTAGTGTTTCAAAACAGTAAAACGTATCACAACAATCATATCATCAATAAAAGTGCTGTTTCTGTGTGAAAAATGAAGAAAACTTCACTTTCCATGACAATATCATCGCTGTCATATTTTTTACTGTTTTGAAACACTAATATTTGTGTTCAGTGAAGTCTACCGAGTAAAACAGTACCCCCAATGTACAGGTTTTAGGGTGTCTTGGAAAGTTATAGGTTAAATATAGTGCCAGCAAATTACATTTTCTGGACTTCTGGCATGGGTTGTCAGGCAGGTCCCCCAAAATGAAATCAACAAAATTACTTAATTATGTAAACATATTACATAAATATGCACGTAGAATTTAAATATATATACATATATATATATATTCGAAGTCTACGAGTATATTTATGAAATTATTTATGTAATTATGTATATTTCGTATTATTTTTATTTATTTATATTTACATAGATATATATATAATTTCATTCTACGTGTATTTTGATATAAATATATATATATTAATATCAATATACAGTTAGAATAAAACTACATATTTATATATATATATATATATATATAATTTTTTTATTATTTTTACATTTTTAAATTAATTATTTATTTTTTATAATATATATATATATACAATATATACATAAGGTGGAGCTTCTTGCATAAGCGTCTCTAGATGACTCAATAGTCCAATTAATGTCCAAAACACGTTAATTGGACTATTGAGTCATCTAGAGACACTTGTATCCGATATTTATATTTATTTTTATATAATTTTTTATTTAATCATTGTTTTTTAGTGTATATGTATTAGGGATCACCAATAAAAGCAAATTGTTTTTGGAAACTTTGCTGTGGTATCCTATATACACATACCCAATACTGGGAACACTGAATAACCATCATCACTTCAAGAAGCAAAAGAAACCAGGTTTCCAGCAGAGTCACCATAAGAAAGGATTGGACATCCTTAAAGTGTCCACAAGCGTTTACCATCCGAGTCATATGTGGTCTATGACTGCTGACTTGTGAGTGACACCATATACGTCTTTTTATAGATTACTTCTGTTACAACAATATTGCGCTATTTGTGCTTTGTATTTATATTATTACAGATATTTACTGAACGCTTATGCAAGAAGCTCCACCTTATGTATGTATGTTTTTTCTGTATCTTGTAGAGGTGGTTTAGGGGATACCACTCAAGGTGTTTGAGCTTCACTTGATATCTTGTAGACTCCATATTGTGCACTTATCTATTGATATATACTTGTCTGCCAACACACATAATACAGCCTTATATACAAGCAAACATACACACTACAGCCTCTGTTGAGACACACAACCTTACAAGCAGCATCCTCCCACATACAAGCCCATAATCAGCATCCCCCCACATACCTCCCTACACAAGCACATAAAACATCAGGTAACGTTCCACACAAAGAACACCACAAGCAGCTTCCCCACATTTATAACCACACAAAAAGTCTCCAAAATCATAGAACACCAAATTCAGCCTCTCACACAAATGCAAACACACACACACTACAGCAATTGTTCAGCACACACTACGAGACTATACCCACCAGCACATACTAACTATAGTTTCATGTACACAAAAGCTACAGCTTCTATTTACCAGGCACACACACACTACAACCCCTATCGCACACACAAATATGAACACACACAATGCAACTGCTATTCCCTATTCCTCATACTACAACTCCTATCCTCTATGCCTTTATACCAACCGCACACCCTACAGCCTCTGACTTCCCACACACATTGCCAATGTCTCCAAAAACCCATACTACAGCCCATATTTCCACAAACACTCTACATTCACTATCCCCAAACACTGCAGCCCCTTTCAAGACACTCAAACAACACTGCAGGTAACCAATCCACCAACCAACATACTCCACAAGCACCCACCCACACAAGAAGTTGGATTTAAATCCCCATAGACAGCAATGCGGTGTGAATAAGTTTAAACCATTGCGCACACGAGGAGTGGCTCCCCTCTGTCGGCCGTGGCCATGTTTAGACTGACAGAAGAGCTGTATGTAGTGTTTAAAGTAAGAGCTGCATGCAGCTTTTTAACCCCTTAAGGACACATGACATGTGTGACATGTCATGATTCCCTTTTATTCCAGAAGTTTGGTCCTTAAGGGGTTAAATAGGCATGCCAGTGCCTATAGCTAGATCATAGTGTGATCAAGGTTAAATCTCAGCTCATGCCAAAAAAAAACAGGTATCGTTCAATACCCCTGGTTCTTCTCTGTCAGTTTGGGCCAAATTTAGTGATGCCAGGCTGATCAATGAGCTGCATGCAAAGTTTAAAGTGAGCGTTCAGTCATGGCAATTCTCATCTTGCAGCTCCTCTAGGGAGACGCCCAGGTTCTGAACAGAGACTTTGACAGGGTCTGCCTGCATGCCCCCAAGCTGACTGTGATCATGGCTGGACTTTGCCAACTTCCCAGCATCACTCACAGTGTAATTATCTAGAAAAAAAAGAATGCTTCACATATTATTACAGGTAATACCTAAAGCAGCCCAAAGACGGGGGCTACATAGAAGATGAAGGTAGGTTAGTTGTCGGTTTAGTGTTAGGGTCAATGTGGTAAGGGTTAATGCTGGGTTGAATTAATGCTGTTTTAGAGTTAAGGATAATGTAGGGTTTAAGTTAGGGTAGATATAAAGTTAGCGTAAGTGTAAGCATATAAGTAGGGGTAGGTTTGTAAAGCGTTAGGGGTGGGGTTGGTAGAGGGTTAGCGTTAACTATGTAAATTTGAGTTATTTTTCCCTAGTTGCACTGAATATGTAAAATAAGAAAAAATGTGAAAAATTCATTATTTTTTATTGTTCCTATATTTAATATTTTATTCATACTTAATTTTGTGTTAGATATATACATAGGATAGTAAAAGAAAACCCCTTTAGTCCTATAAAAATTTATATACAATGATCAGCCACAACTTTAAAACCACCTGCATAATATTGTGTAGGTCCCCCTGTGCAGCCACAACAGCTCTTGTGAGGCACGGACTCCACAAGACCTCTGAACTTGTCCTGTGATATCAGGCAACAAGACATGAGCAGCAGATCCTTTAAGTCTGCAAGTTGCAAGGTGTGGGATCTGGGGAATTTGGAGGCCAAGGCAACACACTGAATTCTTTATCATGTTCCTCAAACCATTCCTGAGCAATATTTGTAGTGTGGCAAGTTACATTATCCTGCTGAAAGAGGCCACATCCATCAGGGAAAACCAGTGACATGAAGGGATGTACATGTTCTCGAACAATCTCTAGGTAGGTGGTAGGGGTCAAAGTAACATCCACATGAATTCCAAGACCAAAGGTATCCCAGCAAAACATTGCCCAGAGCATAAAACTGCTTCAGCCAACCTGGCTCCTTCCTATAGTGCATCCTGCTGCCCTCTCTTTCCAAGGTAAACGATGCACACACACCAGGCAATCCACCTGATCTAAATGAAAACATGATTCCTTAAACCAGACAGCCTTCTTCCATTGCTCCATGGTTCAGTTCTGATGCTCACATCCCTATTGAAGGCACTTTCGGCATTGGACAGGGGTTATCATGAGTCTATGCAGTTCCAAGCAAAGCAAATTGCAATGCACTGCATGTTTTGACACCTTTCCATTATGTTTGTTAGCAATTTGAGCTCCAGTAGCTCGACTGTTTGGTTAGACCAGATGGGCTAGTATTCGCTTCCCACGTGCATCCATGGGCCTTGGGCGCCCATGACCCTGATGCTGGTTCACTTGTTGTAATTTCTTGCACCACTTTTGGTAGGTTACTAACCACTGCATATTGAGAACACCCCATAAGACTTGCTGTTTTGGAGATGCTCTAACCCAGTCATCTAGCCATCACTATTTGGCCCTTGTCAAAGTCACTGACATCTTTTCCTTCTTGGCCAAAGTCACTTGCCCATTTTTCCTGCTTCCAACACTTTAAATTCAAGAACAGACTGTTCACTTGCTGCATAATATATCCCCCTTGACAGGTTCCATTGTAACAATATATTCAATGTTATTCACTTCACCTGTCAGATGTTTTAATGTTGTTACTGATCAGTGTATAATACGTATGTGGGCAATTAAATAGAAATCCTTATATTACGATGGAACAAACACAAAGAGCAAATTCTAGATGTAACTTTGGTTTAGAACATAGACAATTGCCTCCACTTTTAAGATGTTAAGCCTGTTCATTGTGGGTATTGTGGCACTTGTGGTGCATCGCTGAACGGAATGATGAAATAAGGGGTGATGATATATAACAAACATGTTTTCCTGGCACTATAGGGTCTTTGGGTCCACTCCACCCTCAGGGTCCCCCTCCCACCCGGCTCAAGAGGGATTAAGTGGTTAAACACTTACCTTTCTCCAGCGCTGGGCTCCCTCGGCGCTGGGGACTCTCCTCCCTCTTCCGATGTCATGCGCTGAAAGTGCATGCGCGGCAAGTGCCACGTGCGCATTCAATCACTCCATAGGAAAGCATTTCTCAATGCTTTCCTATGGACGGCAGCGTCTTTTCACTGTGAAAATCACAGTGAGAACCGCGGAAGCGCCTCTAGCAGCTGTCAATGAGACAGCCACTAGAGGCTGGATTAACCCTAATGTAAACATAGCAGTTTCTTTGAAACTGCTATGTTTACAGCTGCAGGGTTAACCCTAAATGGACCTGGCACCCAGACCACTTCATTGAGCTGAAGTGGTCTGGGTGCCTAGAGTGGTCCTTTAAGTGCACCAACTCTTACTATTTATAATTAAAAGACATATAGCTTAAATTCTAGATTGTATTTTGGTTCAAAACTTGGACTAAAGCCTTTGTAATATTTCAAGGAATTAAACAAAATAATAGGAAAATGTGGAAAGAAATTACAGGTATCTCACAGAACATAAGAAAGTATAAGTTATACTTCATCTGAAGGAGTTCATAATGAACTAAACTTTACCACTGTGCAATCCTGAGCTCTACATACCTGAGAGTCAGTGAGTTGGTACTGATCCTTGTAGGCCATGTACACCAAGAATGAATTGATACCTGCAGAGAAATGGGCCAGAGAAAAAAAGATTCTATATAAATACACCATCAGGGAATGCTGTAGGACATTGTTCATTTGGCGACCCGTGGCAGATTGTGGCGCTGCCAATGGTGTAATTTCTCAGAAAATTACACCATTGAACAAGTCATTAAAAAAAACTACAAGTTGTGTTACCCTTTTTCCATGTGATGTTCCATTTTCTTTTAAAATGTATCTTACAGATTTAGCAAATTACATCACAGCCCAGTACCGTCCAGGTACAGCCAGATTACACAATGCAGGAACAGATATGACAGAAAAGTAATTTTAACAATGATTGACAGGGAGTAAAGATGCAGGTTCTCAATTCAAGGATAGATGAGTGTACTTCTACATTTAATCTTATTTTCTAGACCTCACAAAAACATATTAGCTGAATATATGGAATACGCAAACAGAATATTGAAAATCCTGGTGTCAGTTCTTGTAGGATACAGGGTGCCAATCATGGAAGGTTTTATGTAAGAAAGGCACATGGACAGTTGAGTTAGAAAAAATTTGTTTCATTTCAGCCATTTGTTCATTGGTTTTCGGACAAAATTCAGTCATTATTTTCATTTCGGGATTTTAATTGGACAAATTAAATTCCAATCCCTGCAGCATACATCTTGCAGCTGTTTAGTAGATAACTCCCTAAATCCATACCATTGTGGGATTGCCATACTTATGGGTACTAAATTAGAGAGCTATTTGGTAGATAACTTCTTTTTGGTATCCTTATGGCAATTCGACAAGGATTGGGGATCTATCTACTAAGAAGCAGAAGGGTACAAACTACAAAAAGACATTTCTTTTTGAAATGTTGGTCTTTCAGACAACTTTACTAATACTAAGTAAAAAATAATTAGTATTAGTAAACAAGAGAGGTGAAATCCTTCCGACTGCCCTAACTGCCGTGCCGTGAGTAGGGGTATGTCTACTAAATAGCAAACAGACAGTGTTATTAAAAAAAGACTAGCTATTGCTGGCCAGCAGAAAAAACAATAAACGGACTCCTGACACAGGTCCCTCATGCCCCCATTGTGCAGCACCTAATGAAATAATTAACTGGGGTGGACACAGTGTCAAGCAAGTCTCGTGATTTAATGGTCAGAGTGCTATGAATGATTGGCTTAAGTCAAACAATCAGAGCACTCTTACTCAAACTGCATGGCGTGGGAAAGCTTTATAAGGCTTCCCCTGCAAGCTCAGTCTGCATGGAGCCCTTGCAGGGTGAAGATGGATTATGTTTTCATCTTTTTATTATTTAGGGCCCCCATCCGCCACCAATGGGTGGGGGCTGGAAGAGAAATAGGTCTACCCCTTTAATATTTAGGTCCTCTACCTATTAACAAATGGTGGTGGCTGAGGAGCACAATAGGTCCACCCCCCTGTTATTTACGCCCCACCTGCTGCCAATGGGTGGGTGTTGGAAAGACACCATACCCCCCCATTAATTTAATTTACTATCGCCCACTAGGTTTATTTTAATAGCTCCCACTCATGGGGCATGGGGGGCACTAGGTCCCCCATTTATTTAATTAGCCTCCCACTGGTGGGGCATGGCGGTGAGACACTATTTCACCCAGGTTAATTATATTATTTGGTGCCCCACCATGGAGGCATGGGGAACCTGTGCCAGATCCTCCTTTATTGGATTAGCGACTGAGCAGCAATAGTTGCTGCTCACTGTAAAAAAAACAAAAAAGACTGGTGACTGGTTTAGTAGACATGCACCTACCTGAGGCACAGTAGGTAGGGGCAGGAGAAAAGATTTCTATTTTTAATTAATACAAGGAGGGTGCCGAACGAATGAACTAAATAATGAATTGTATAAAATTGCACGGACGAAATGTATAAAATTTATCAAATACACTTTATAAAAGTGTATGTGCCATCTTGTGCTACCTTATTATATATCTCACACAGCATCTTGGAGTATATTTCATTAAAGTAATATGGTCATTATTTTGGTTGTATTTGTTAAAGTTATCTGAAAAGTGCCAATTCTATTTATACTAAATCTTGCAATTTTCTGAGAAATTTACATTTCAGAAGAACATAAAATACATATAGATTGCAGCGAAGGACTGTCCCACAGCGTCAAGACGTAAGGTCACCACGCTGGCAGGCAGGAGGAGGTGGGGCAGGATAAGGAAGACGCCAAGCTGAAAATGCGTGTGGCGAAAAGGCGAACTGAGTGAGACTGTTTGAGAGACATGAAACAGAAACCCGGTTGTGGGCGGTGAGAGAAGGACAGGAGCCCGGGTTCGGGCAGTGGGAGTGCGTGAGACTGGAGGTTGGCAATGGCTGGTTCTCCAGTGCCCCGATTTTGTGCCAGATCAGAGGGAGTTGGGAGAAACGAACTGGGAAACACTGGGCCGAGGCTTGACTGCAAGAATTCAAGCTCAGGCTTGAACGGTGGGTGCACGTGAGATTGCAGACAGGCGATGGCTGGCTATCTGTCGATGTGCTATTGTACCACACTGGAGTGAGGAGTGAACCCCATGCTTTCCCTTGATGATTACGAAGGGGGACCTGCTTATTATACGTGCTGAGAATTAAGGGAGATTCCTCTTATCTCTCAATCGGGTTTGACAACAGAAAACAAAGGAACTGTGAGTAATGGAAAAATTACAGAGGAGAGGAAAAAAAAGTAAAGAGAAAGGTTATATAAAGTGGGGATACATTCTCTTACAGTTACTTTTTTGCTACCGTTCGGTATTGTTTTTCCCTTTTTTTTTTCTTCATTCCTCTGCTCTCTCTTAATGGACAGCTCAATTGAAAGGATGAAATTTAAAGGAATCATACTACACAAAAATTTTTTTTTTAATTAATTATTAAATTTGAGTTGGAAATAACAAAGCTCAAAAAAACTAAGGGAAAATAGAGAGAAAACAGAGGAGAAACCCAATAATGAACACAAAAAAAGCATCAACTAAAAGGAAAAAGGAAATGAATAATGTTAAAGCTGAAAAATCTGAGAAAAGATTATCAGACTTTTTTCCTCCAATTAATACCAAAGATTCATCAGAAAACGATACATCTAATATATCTATAATATTGTCCAGAGAAGATCAAGAGGATGAAACTCCAGAAAAGTTAAAAGAATTCATAAAGCAAAATATGGTAAATCAATTGCAAACATTAATGCTTGAGATTAACAAAAACTCCAAAGAAATCAAACAGGAAATTAACAAAGTAGTAGACAGATTAACCACACTGGAATAGAGAATCGATTCCTTTGAGCAAGATCATAAAAAAGCTGCAGAAAATATATTACAGCTAGAGTTGAGAATTACAAATATTGATCTGAAAATAAATGATTTAGAAAAAAGATCAAGACGGTCATATTGAGAGAATATACCGTTTACGAAAACCAAAAGATATAGATGAATCAAAACCAAGAGATGTAATGGTGAAGTTTTTGGTCCATTCCATTAAAGAGAAATTATTAAAAGTGTATAGAGAGCACCCAACAAAAAGCTCAGAATTTAAGAACATTATAATATTGCAAGATCTCTCCTATCAAACAAGAAGATGGCGTAATACTTTTACTGCAAAAATCCCCATATTGAAACAGAACAATGTCAAATTCAGATGGGGCTTCCTGGACTCTTTAAGAGTTTTTTGGAATGGAATTTTCTATTCTATTGAAAGTCTTGACAGATAAATGAAAGCTGAAAAATTTATTTTATTTAAAACATTTTTAAAAAATTCTTCCTTTCTATTTCTGGGCACTGGAATTCAAGAAGAAGAATTTAAGATTATTATTTGTTGCATTCTTTTTTGAAGTGCTTAGATGATTTGGGTATGTCCTCTCTCTCTCTCCCCTCTACCTCCTGGCACAATGTGCTGGAATGGTGGGGGAGATGGGTTGATGACACACCAAGGTTTTTGGGGACATAAAAGTGATACTGTAATAAATAATTAATAAGTCATGATTGGTAAAACACCTAAACAATTGAAGTGGTTGTAAAAGTGGAATAGATATAATTAAACACTAGCATAAATAATTACACTTAGACACTATTTTAGGGGAATATATAAATTTTAAAATTATAAAACTGACACAGGAAAGGGGAGGGAGAAAGAAGGAAAAAAATATTAATAAGTAACGGAAGATATGAGTAGCAATGCACTTAAATAATTCATTTGCAAAATATGGTGTTATATTATATTGCACTAATCACTAGTCACTAAATGGGGAACGTGGTGTGCCCTCTCTCTCTTTCCCCTACCCCTCCTAGCGTGAGGCACTGAGTGAGTGGGGGAAGATTGTGGGAGGACACATCAATTTTGTTAATTTTTTTTTAAAGAATACACTAATTTCTGAGGTTATAAAAATTTCACTGTAATAAATTATCAATGATGCATGATTGATAAAGCACACAAACACTTTAGATGGTTGTAAAAGTGGAATAGAAGATATTAAACACAGGAATAAATAATCTATTATGTATGGTGTAACGGACCGTTTTGCACAAAAGGGGTAAAAAGGGGTTAACAGCCGTTCAGGAGATCTTCCCCTTCCAGAGATACAGGCACAGCTACTGCAGAACACCAAACTCCCGAACTGGATACATAATAGCACTCCAAATTCCAGAACTGGAACCTCACAAATAGCTGCTAGCAGACGAACAGGAAAAGCAGACAATCAGCTTACACTCCTGGCAATCAGTCTCTAACAGCATACAGTAAATCCCCCCAAGAACGAGACAAGGCTCCGTGTTGAGGGTCAAGCAGTGGTCTGAGGTGCTGGCACACCCAGCCTGGTTTTTATTACAGTGTTTTCAAATACAGGACCGCCCACAGGGAGGTATAAAACAACCAATCACATATCAGTTACATCCCACATATTCCCTCCCCTTATCCCGAGAGGAAACTCAATTACACATACAGTTAAAACATACTTTCTACCCAACTTTCATAACTCTAAAACCATACATCACATTCACATAAAATTACATATTCACAATCAATCCATTCAGGGGAACAACATATTAAAAAAATGGCATGAATCCGACCAGGGGTTCAAAAGTTAGTAAAAGTATCTTTTGAGCCCTGGCTGGCACATGGATATCTGGCTCAAACAGGTTTTACAGAGCCCTCTATCCTGGACAATGGGGAAAGTAATCCAATTATCCAGGGATAGAGGCAGACTCCATTGAGCACATGGGGACACAAAGACAGTAAAACACTTTAAAATACATCAGGTAAGACACCTTACATTAAAACTATACATTTAACTTATCCCCAGATAGCTCAGGTCTGAGCGCACATTATTAAGTGAATGATGCTCAGACCACACAAATACAGTTTAATCGCCATGGAGCCAAAGTCTTTACAGTCAGTTTCATATGAATGGGCTCCATGGGATTCCTATCTGGGGTATAACACATTCAAACAAATCTACCGAACCCCAGGCAGAAAAGCACGAATGAAGCTTTTCTGCAGGTAAAAAAGATGTCTTTTAACAGGGGGCCATAGTCCAAAGGCAGCAGGCGAGCAACCAGGCTTCTCCAATGCAATGTGGCGAGATTGGTCTTGTCACATATGGTATTTCACTTAGACTTTTTTTTATTTTTTATTTATTTATTTTATTAATATTATTTTGTATTTTTTTATATGCAAACTTTGAAATTATAAAAGTGACAGAGGGAAGAGAGGAAGAGAAAAGGGAAAAGGAAGAGAGGGAAAATATAATGAACAACAGAAGAGTGGCAATGCATTTAAATGAATACGTAAAGTAAAATTGTTATTGTACTATACTGTACTGATAGTTTGCTATTACTAAATTAGGAATGTTTCCCTATTTTTGGAATGTCCTCTCTCTCTCTTCTTCCCCTCCCACGCACTTTGAGTAAGCACATCTGGGACGGTGGGGGAGGATGGATGGAGGGGGCATTTAAGCATTCAGTTACTTAATTCATTAATTAATTATTCTTCTATGCTTAAAGTAAATCTCGGTAAAAGGAATATAATTAAGAGCTTAGAATAAGACTAGACTAAGACGAAATTGGTAGAGACAAACATGTTAAATAGGTCTCAAAATTATGGAGTAAGAATGCTCCCCCTACCTCCTTCTGAACGTCACTATAAATGATGGTTTAACTAAATTGCGGTATTTAAATTTCTTTTGGATGGAACCAGCAAAGGATGCTGAGTTCCTGTAACAGACCGTTTTGCACACAAGAGGTTAAAAACCGTTATTTCCCTTTCCAGATGCACGGACAGTTACTGCAAACACCAATCTCCCGAGCTGCAAACTACACAAATCCTCCAACTCCCGAACCGGAAACACACGAATATTGGAAACAGCCGAACAGGAAAAGCATATAATCAGCTTACACTCCTGGAAATCAGCATACAATCCAATTCCCCCCAAGAACGAGATGACACTTCGTTTTGAGGGTCAAGCAGAATTTGGTTTACTGGGGCTACCTGCCCGGCTTTTATGCAGGTCTCCCACCTGGTGGACACTCTCCTAGTGGACCAGGTGGAAGACTGGGACACAAAGGGTAAAAGGACCAATCACAGGCTTACACATTTCAACAATCCCTCAATGCATCACAATCCCTCTGGCCTGGAGATAATTGGGAAGTAATCCAATTATCTCCAAGGACAGGGGCAAAACTCCATTACACACATTTTCAGTAAAAAGACATAAAATTACATATGGTTTATCACATAAAACACACACATTCTACATATCCCCAGATAGCTTACATCTGAGCGCACATTATTACAGAATGGCGCTCAGATCACATACATACAGTTCAATCGCATGGAGCCAACGTCTTTTCCATAGTATTTCGTTACACGAATATGCTCCATGGCATAGCTATCTGGGGTGATGCTGTTCATACGGTCAAACTACCGAATGGACAGTCATTCGGTTCCACTACTGAATTCAGAGGTAAGGAGGTTGGCGGCTCAGCGGTGTTCGCGCAAATAAGTGTCCGTTTCCCGTTCCATAGTTTGGGCGCTGAACACCACTGGCCGTTCGGGAGTTATAATGGCCGCTGCCACGTGTTCGGCAAACAAACAAAGGCCAACCAGCGTTTGTCAATTAAGGTGTGGTTAACCGCAGCTTCTGTGCGGTCAATTGACAGCACACTCCAGTTCCCAGGTGGTCGATCGTTCGGTACTTTGTTCGGTAGATTTAATCTACCGACCACCCCGGCAGAAAGGCACGAATACGCCTTTCTACAGGGAAAATAAAAGGTTTTAAATGCTGGGCCATAGTCTGAAGGGAGCAGGCAAGCAACCAGGCTTCTCCATTGGACAGTGGCAAGGCTGGTTCCGCCACAGTTCCTTTTTCCTTATGGACTGGGTTTTTATCCACTTTCATCTCTATGGAGAGGTGGAAATATGTGTTGGTTTTGTTGTACTATGTCTTTGTATTGTCACATGGAGGGTCACGGTGGATCGGCGAGATTACTTATTAAAGAATGTTTAGATTAGCATCGATCAATGTACAGGGATTAAACTCCCCACAAAAGAGATCCATAGTTAAAAACTTTTTGATAAAAGAGCATATTGACATTGCTTTCTTGCAGGAAACCCACTGGAAACAGATATAAATAATATCTTTAGGAGGTACACATTTTCCTTTATTATTTAGTGCTTTAAATCCAGATAAAAAATAAAATGGGGTTGTAATACTATTCTCACGATATTTAAAAGTTGAGATTATTTATCAGTATTCAGAATTGAAGGATGAATATGGAAAAGACAAAAGATCGACCTGGAAATTAAATAATTTTCTGTTAAAAAAATTTAAAAAAACAATGAAATAGTGGCTAAATGGATTAAAAATGTATTTGAAACTAAAAAACCAGAGGATACATCATGGACCAATAATTGGTGCACATTTAAATCAGTTATAAGGGGTTATTGTATTAACTTGAAAGTGGAAATGATTATAAAAGTGGCTTATCGCTATCTGAACTGTATATTAAATTTTATGGTATTTCTAAAGAAAAGAAAATGAATCCCTCTTATAATAAATTATCTGATCTAATTAAAATACAAGAAAAAATAAATCTAAAACGTAGAGAAAAAATTGTTATTAATTTGTCTAAATTAAAAATTAGCCTATTATAACAATAATAATAAGGCAAACAGACTTCTTTCAAATAGGCTAAAAAAATCAAAAGGCTAATAATCGAATTTCAAAAATTATAGAAAATAATAGACCAATATATAATCCAACTTTAATAGCACAAGCTTTTAAATCCTTTTATAGCTCATTATATAATTTAAAAAATGGAGATAAAGAATTAATAGAAAAATATATTCAGGCTAGTACACTCCCAAAACTGTCCAAAACCCAAACAAAAAAAATTTAAATAAGAGCATTACAGAAGAGGAATTAGCTAGAGCAATACATAGATTGGAAAGACAAAAAAACTCCACATATACTGGTCTTTTTTATAAGAAATTTAGCAATATTTTTCTTCCTCATTTGGTAGGAATGTTTAATGAAGCAACACAAACAGGAACATTTCCAGAGGAAATATTAAGAGCCAATATAATACCAAAAGTGAAGCAGGGCAAGTGTCCTACAAAAATGGAAAATGATAGGCCCATCTCATCCTTAATTAATAATGACCTGAAGTTATATGCATCAATACTGGCAGGCAGACTTAAGAAGGTCATAGACAACATTATACATCCTGCTCAGGTTGGGTTTATTCCAAATAGAACAGCTAATATGAACTCTAGAAAGATTTTGAACATTTTGTATCTAGTAAATAGAACTCGCCTTCCCATGCTGACCCTGTCGGTGGATGCAGAGAAGGCCTTCGACAGGGTCGGCTAGGAATATTTGAGTCTGACTTTAAAAAGAGTAGGCATAGATGGGTGGATGCACAAGGCTATAAATCACCTTCAGCCAGAGTTGTAGGACAAAACATCTATTCTGACTGGTTCCCACTATTGAATGGAACACATCAAGGGTGTCCACATTCCCTATTGCTCTATATAATTTCTTTAGAACCATTTGCATGTAGGATTAGGGACAATATAAATATTAAAGGTGTTGTATTACAATCACTAGAATCAAATATAAACCTATATGTAGATGATACATTGATCACACTAACAGGTCCAATTAAGTCATTGGAACATTTAATGGCAGAGTTTACTGAATATTCTGAAGCTTCTAATTTTAATATTAACATAGATAAATCAATTATTATGGGCTGTAATTTAACAACAGAGATAAAAAATTCAATTAAATCCATGTATGGCTTTGTATGGTCTAAAAAAGTAATAAACTATATAGGAGAGACAAAAGCAAAAATAATTAAAACTTGTATGGAAATTAATTTTTTAAATTATTAAAAGCCACAAATCATACCCTGAAGGACTAGAAAAATGTGTAAGTATCGTGCTAATATAATTAAAGCATATCTATTACCGAAATGGCTATATTTACTTCAAATGCTCACACTCAAAATTCCAGATAGTTGATTGAAGATGATACAAAGGAGTTTTAATCAATATATTTGGAAGGAGAAACAAGCAAGATTAAATCTCCCATTACTTTCTAGAAAAAAAGAGAAAGGTGGTCTAAATTTCCTTAATATTAAGTATAACTATTTTGCAAGTATAGTTACTCATATATATAATCTCTGGATACAGAATTTAAGAAAAACTGGTATGTGATGGAAAACGAATAGTCTGAACAAATCTAATGTGTTTGAAATAATATGGAATTCTTATCATAAATCCCTATCTAATATTGAAAAATATATTTTAAAACATTTAAATGAGACTTGGGATTCTGTTAAAAAATTCCTAGATATTAAGGGAACAATTTTTAGCTTTATGCCGTTGGAGGTACTGGAGGCCAACTTGGAAAATTTAGCCTTGACAAACTGGAAAAGATCTAATATTACAACTATAGAAAATTCTAAAATACAATCATTTTTGGATTTAACAGTAAAGTTTAATGTCCCTTCATCTGAGCTTTCTAACTACCTAAGAGTAAAGTATACATTGAAGCAACATTAAAGATTTAGTAAAACAGGAATAAATGAGGATTTACGTAGTATTTTTTTACCAAAATAAAGTTCATAAAGTTCTAAATGAAAATGAACAAAAATGAGGATCAAATTAATGCTTTAGTAAAATGGGAAAATTAATTAAATATTCAAATCACAAATATAGAATGGTATAAATCATTAATAGAGACAAGGAACGCTATTCATTGTATAAGCTTGCAGGAGACTCAATATAAACTTATTAACAAGTGGTATCTGGTACCTTCAAGGATATCTAGAATGTTTACTTTGTCAAGTGATTTCTGCTGGAGGTGTGAAAAAAGTAGAGGTTCATATACATACATACCTGGTGGAGCTGTACTGAAATAAAGAAGCAATGGAAATAGATTTTTGTTCTTATATATAAAATTATAGAATATAGACTTAGGATTGTGCCAGAGGTAGCTTTATTACATTTGAGATGGCCTAAGTAAAAAAGATGGAAAGAAATTGCATTATATATTGTTTTGTAGCTTTTAAAGTTCTAATAGCCAGAAACTGGAAAACTAAAAACGTCCCAATATGGAAAAATATAATAAACCAATTATTATTTCAATTACGAATGGAGCTGGCAATTAATGAACACTCAAATATTAATGAACAAGACAATGTAGAGATGAAAGATCTGATTAAGAAATTAATATCACTGGAGTCCCCTGTACAAGAAATTTATATCGTTTAGATGGAGTAAAGGATAAAAGCCAATAGAACCCACCGATCCATTGTGAGATACACTTAATGTGATATATGTTGTTTGATAAATGTTTGTACTTATATGTCTGATATATGTTTAACTTATAGACATAATCTAAATTCAGTTTAACTGAATTGTATGTTATTTGTACATGTCATATAAAGAAAACAATTTAATAAAAAGAATTTTAAAAATACATATAAATTGGAGGGAAAAAAGAGAAGTTTGTGATAAAAGTGGCGGAAAAATTGATCAACGTCTTACATCACGAAATAATGGCGCATATTCAAAAAAATAAATAAATAAAATAGCAAGAGAGGCTTTTTTAGAAAGTGCAAGTGAATTTCAATTAAACTTTGTATGAAACCAATTAGTAATCTGGCTACTACACACAGTGATGTGTAACTCACAGCCGAAAACACACAACAAACAATTTACTATAGAACAATATACAGTAGAGGGCTAACTTAAAAAAGTGTAAGTAGGTGATATGATGTCACGAGTACCAAGCATCATGGTTATGAGGCTTGAAACGTGGCGCTCCCGCTCCTCTCAGGAATGAGGGTAGGAACAAATAATGGAAGCACATAACGATACTTCACCCAATTATGGACCTATAAAATGGAGGGACTTTGAGCTGCTATGACATCTCACCTGATTGAAGATCTATTGGCAAAACACATCTCTGGAACTTTGCACATTTACCTGTATACATTTGTATTGTATTATTTTAATTTTATGTTTTAATAAAGTATATAGTTTAATATATATAGGCCATTAAGTACCTGAATTGCAAAGTAGACGGTGTGGTCCTCAACCACAAAGTGTTTATCTACAGAGCCAATTGATAGGCTCCAGGCCTGCGAGTAATATTTCTTATGTTTTATATTGGATGTTTTTTAAAGTGATAACACACTGTGAAAAATTTTGATTGATAGGGAAACAACATTCATCACCATTAGCCTGAGCATAAGAGATCGGTCGCCAGAATCCTTTAAGGTTTTACACTATTTTGAATATTTTTTTTGCACACAGAAAATTTAAAGAACAACAGTGTAATAAAATGGTTGTTTTTTTCTTATACCACTTTTTTATTCAGCGCTCCCTGTATACTGTTGTACAGTATATTCAAAATGAGAGGATGCAAAAGAAGCTACAAAATAAAACATATGACAAATTTAACAAAATGTGTCAAATATTTCCAAATATTAGTTGCAATAATGTTGGCAACACTTTGATAAAGATCCACCATATTTCTAAAAGGATGGGTACATGGGACTGCAACTGCCTAATCAAGAAGTTTCCAACCTCTGTTACACGTACACCTGGGGGTACCAACCAGTTTCCCCAGGGGAATGCAACAAAAATTCTGCAATGGCATCCCAGAGGCTGAGGGGGGCCATCCAGTGGCCCATGCACTTATGGCCATCCGATGGATATGTGCCATCAGGTGCCCGGTCGTCCACTGCAGTGTTTTATCAGCGAGACTGGCCCGCTTTAATGATCGCAGCACTTGGAGGAAGTCACAACCAGTCACTTCCTCTAATACGGATCACCGCACGGGTTAGAGAAGAGGAGACGGAGAGGAGGCGGCAGACCGGCAGTGCAAGCCCCTAACTCCCAACAGCCCCTGCCAGCAGAAAGCCACCCTCCTGCATCAAAAGTAGGAAACTGGAGGGTGGCTAGAATTTTTACCTGTATGTGTGCCTTCTTGTGTTTTGTGTTTCTGTATCTGTATCTGTATGTAGTGTTTGTATCTGTATGAGTCAGTGTGTGTATCTGTATGTCAGTGTATCTGTGTGTCATTGTTTGTGTCTGTGTGTCTGTGCATTTGTATGGGTGTTAGTGTTTGTATGGCAGTGTTTGTATCGGTTTATCAGCATGTGTGCCAGTGTGTGTATCAGTATGTCTGTGTAACTGTATGTTTGTCAGTGTTTGTATATGTGTGTTTGTGCATCTGCAAGTGTGTCAGTGTATCTGCATGTGTGTCAATGTGTGGTGTTTTTAGACGTGTGTCAGTTTTTGCTTCTATGTGTCTGTGTATATGCATGTGTGTCAGAGTATCTGTGTGTTTGTTTATCTGCATTTGTGGCAGTGTTTGTATCTGTGTGTCTGTGCATCTGCATGTATAGCAGTAATTGTATCTGTATGTCTGTGTATATGCATGTGTGACAGTATTTGTATCTGTTTTTCTGTGCATCTGCATTTGTGGCAGTGTTCGTATCTTTGTGTTTGCGTATCTGCATGTGTGTCAGTGTGTGTAATAGACACAGAAATACAAACCACACCCATACCAATCTGTGACAAGTGTGGTAATTTTTTTAAACTTATTTTAGAATATATACAGCTTCCTCTAATGATATCCTAGAAAGTACCCTTTGAACAACAAATTTAACCATAAATACAGAGGAAACAGCTGTTAATCTACAAAAATAAAAAATATATAATAGTGTGATACAGTATTAAGTGCAGTTATTAATTACACTCACGGTACGAAGACTGGTATTATTGACAGAATTACACTCACAGAATGAAGACTGTTATGAGAATTCATTCTGTGAGTGTAATTCTGCCAGAGCATATAACTGGGCATTTAACTACACTTTATACTGTATCATGCTATAATATGTTCTATTTTCTTAGATCTACAGCTGTATCCTTTGTATTTTTTGGTTGTATTTTGTCAGTATGTGTGTCTGTTAGTGATGTCCCGAAATGTTCGCCGAATGGTTCGCGAACGGTTCGCCACGAACGGTTCGCCACGGACTCATCATTGAGTAAACTTTGACCCTGTACCTCACAGTCAGCAGACACATTCCAGCTAATCAGCAGCAGACCCTCCCTCCTCCTGGACAGCATCCATTTTACATTCATTGTGAAGCTGCATTCTTAGTGAGCTGTCCAGGAGGGAGGGAGGGTCTGATGCTGATTGGCTGGAATGTGTCTGCTGACTGTGAGGTACAGGGTCAAAGTTTACTCAATGATGAGTCCGCGGTGAACCGTTCGTGGCGAACCGTTCGCAAAACGTTCGGCAAACAGTTCGGGACATCATTAGTGTCAGTGTATCTGCATGTGTGTAATTGTTTGACACACGCAGACACACAGATACAAACACTGACACATGCAGATACATAAATATAATAAATATATATTTTTTTTAAATTCGAACTTATGGCAACTATATTAATTATAAACATTCTGCTAATACGAGTGGCACATTTTATGGATATGGGCTGCCAAGAGGTACACAAGTGAAAAAAGGTTGAGCACCACTGGCCTAATCTGTTACTTTGTTAATTTAAGACTGGAACTACTCACCATGATCTTTAACCAGAGCCTCCATCTCTTCTTGCACTCCTTTGTGCCATTCAGTAATGTCTACATGCAAGGAATAGTCACAGCAGGATTTGCTGTCTGCCCACTCTCGCCATTGGTCTAAAGCACTAAGTAGGCTGGTTCCAGGCTCTGGCACAACACGATCAACTAAATAGGTGGAGGGTGAGATTAAGTTTTTAATAAATCTGTCTATGACCCAGGCAATCTAAAAAAACATTATATATATTATACTTAGGAGAAATACTCATCTAGTGATCGTAGGCTATATATATATTAACTACTGTGTTTAACAAATAAGCAGTGGTTCTGTGTCAAATGCACAACATGAGCACTACAGTAAGCTTTAATTTAATTTATAATAATAGTTTAGTAAATGCAACCGCATTGCTGCATTGAAATTGAAATTTAATATGATAATTTCTGATGTCAAAGTGTACTGCTGAAAAAGTAAAATGAGAAGACATGTTTGTCATAAAGACGTTATCACTTACTGATCATTGTGGTTCCTCCAGCCAGTGCTGCCCTAGTCCCCTGATAGAAGTCATCAGCAGACACCATTCCATTGCAGGGCTTCTGGAAGCAGGTATGAACATCTATGCCACCTGGAATCACCATCCTGCCATGAGCCTCAATTGTTTTCACACCTCCTGGCACAATCAGGTTCTCACCGATCTGCCTAGAAAAAATTCAAGAAAGATCCATTAATAGACAGAAATATGGAAAGCATAAAGCAGCAACTACTAAACATAAATTCTTATATGCCTTTTTCATGTATACTATAAATACATTATAGGAAAAGAAACAAATAGCACCAAAAAACAAAACAAAAAAACGAAGCAGCCATAATTGAACATATTGATCTTTATTTACGGAGCCCATAATGTAATCCAAACTATGTTTATCATCAGATCCCTTTTTATAAGGGAACACTCCAAAAACCATAACCATTAAGTGGTTATGGTCCCAGGAGTGACTTGGCGCACTCCTAAGGTAAGAAGTCAAATTGCTTGCAAATGTTCTAATAATGTACCTGTGATCTGCCAGGCGCTGAATGAAGCCTCTTGTGAAGTTGGTTCAACAGAACTGCTGAGAGCTTCCAACTACACAGGAGGATTTGACCAGCACCCTGAAGAACTTGAGAAAATGTGCAAATTATTTGACTACTTACTCTTGGAGGTTGCCTAGGCACTCCTGGTACCATAACCGGTACAGTGGAATGTAGTGGTTCTATATAGTTCTTGGCATGTTCCTTTAAGAGCTCATCAAGTTTCAAACACATTTTTTATAACATCCACAACTTTTAATATACAGTGCCTTCAAAATGCATCGGGGAAATAAGTACACAACACAGAGTGGGGTGTTTATAACAGACTAATTTCTGAACAGTTTCAAAAAGTGTCATTAGCGGAGAGTGCTTAAAGGAATATGTCAAGGATAACATGGGTGGCCTCACATAACAAAAAAAAAAAAGTCTCACAACAATTCTGCATGTTCCTCTGCCCTGACTGATGGTTGTCTTCTGAAGATATTGACAGCAACTAGGCATGTCAAAATCATAGGGTGTTTGTGAACAATGTCCTTTTTCAATGGATTTTGCACATGCCTGGTCCCCTTTATGTAGGAGTTTCTGACTTCACTCATTTAGTTGCTATGGGGACATATTAGCCAGACATTCAAGAACTCCAACATGCGTACTGGCCTGTTTTCTAGAACTACCATGGGATCACAACATGACCAAGCTTCTTGAATCACGCTGTGAGTGCAATGACTGCCTTGTCTTCATGTCAGATGTGGAGGTAGGAAAAATGTATTTATCTGTTTTATATGTGCCATGACCTGCCTGTGTTTCTTTGTGTATACCAAAGCTCTGCTTTTCTTGCAGCGTTGATGAGGAGAAGGTTGATTTCAAGGAGAAAAGTATAAAATGATTTATGTAGGATATTCTTCCTATTCTAAGTAAGGAAACATGATATAACCCCTCTATATAGTACTATTGTAACATATTTATCTAGAATAGTGCTATAAACCATACTCTACGTAAATATTATAGATATCTTACCTAAAATAAAAATGTATCAATATGGGAGGGCTGGCAACAGGGCAGGTTGGCGGTAGCATACAAGGTTTGTAAGCTGCAAAAGCAGTCAGCAGCAGGCAGTAATTTTTCAGATCTATATAGGTTTGTGCTTGGGTGAGTGGCCCACTATTTTAAAAGTGCACCAGTGCTGCTGCTCATCCCAGTGAGGCTGCTGTGTAAAATTCACATATCACAAAAAAAAAAAATTTAATACAACCTCCACTCACAGCAATTCTTAAAGGCTGTTTCAGAATTGCTGTGAGTGGAAGTTATATTTTAAAATCCGGGCCTAGCAAAACATGCAAATTAGTATACTTACTTTTTTCATTTCCACTGCACTTTTCTCTTAGTTCCCTTAGCAACAGGCTGCAACTTAATCCCTAGTGCTTATAGGGGGAAAGGAACGGAGTTAATGCATGGATTGGAATTAAAATTTATCATTGCTCAGATGTGTACTCCAGTTTTTCCATTTCTGATATTTGAATATATCGCTTCCTAGGTTATTCCATGCATAATATAATATTGATTCTATAGGTGTTGTGAACAAGATAAGACGAGTTTATAGGTGAAACAGTTTGACTTTTCTGTTAGAGCTGATAGATTCACCAAAAGACTTTCCTTAGTTATTTAAAAATACAAGACACAATTTAATTTGTCAAGAAAGAAAAATGCAATAGGTCATACTCTGAATATAAATGGAGTCCAGAGGGAGTGCAAGAAAGCTTCGGAGAGGCCAAGAGGGAAAGGATAGCAAAAATAAGGCACGACCGGTGCATTAAAGTTAAATCACATTATCCAATTGTTGTATTCCATCTATTTGGAAATCCATGCGTTAAACCAGCACTTGTTCCCTGTGTGTAGATATCGGAATGTCTCCTGAAGACTCCTCTATTCAAGGAAGCATATCTGATAAGGCCTGACATCCGTAAATATATAATTAGGGACCATACTAAACTCTCTCATATTGCTAGTTATGTTCTGCTGCATGAATGTTCCTTATGGAATAGAGCCCTAAAGCTCACAGATTCACATGAGAGAAAGGACCAGTTTCCCTTTTCACCAGTACATGTAAATTTCAAAGTTACATAACAGTACATCTAAACTGGTGTTGCTACCGCTAAAATGTTTCTGTTACTTTCTAAATTAATTTAATCGTAATAACCTTCTGGACAAGGGACTAAAAAACCCAAATAAGAGTTCAGTATTATCAAAGCTTCAGATTAGCATTAAAAACATTTCTCAGGATTTATTAAACATTAAAATGCATCATTTAACTGCAAATGACAGTGTTACAGGAAAATGTGAAGTAATTTGGCGAGTTGAGTTTCATTCATTGCTGTGTGCAAGTCTGCTACAAGAATACACTGGCACTGCAACAAATTTACTCCATATGAGATAATTATCTCTGCAGTGAAAAACCCAAAATGTAATTAATACATGCTCAATAAAACTCATACAAATACTTACAGATTTGGTAATATTTCAGGCACGGGCATAACTAGACTAATAGGCCCCAGCACATTCAATGACTGCATCAGTCATTGAATGTGTACTAGTGAGGACCCTTTCGCCCTCACTAGTTCACATTCAATGACTGATACAGTCACAATCATCACAAACACAATCATTGGCTCATACATTATACACATACACTGATATACACTCGCTGACAGACACACAGTCATTGGCACACACGGTTTAAATAACAGACACTTTCACGAACAGACACACACATTCTCATTGACAGACACACAATGACATACACAAACACACTGACAGACACCTACTGACTGATACTGACACACTCACATTTAAATATTTTCACACACACTCACAAATTAATAAAAAAAAATTCTGAGTTTGTTTAATTCCAACTGGTTTATGTGCTTTTCTTGGGATTTAGTTGGGATCTTTTAACTGGGGCCCAATGGCTGCTTTAATTTTCCTGCTGTTCTTCACTTCTCTCTTACCCGCCGCTTAGTAATGCCAGGGCTGGCGTGATGTCATATATCGGCATCTGGCATCACCGCAGAGCATGCAAAAGAAAGGAGGAAGAGCAGAGACATAAGCATTCCTTACCGCCCTAATCTATTCTCCCCCATCAGGCACTATACTTGGCAGAGTAGGCACCAACCGTCTGGTTATGTAGGTGCTACTCTGCCTTAGTGTATATGCACATACCTCAATGGGCCATAAGGTGGCCAGGTGGCTACCTCCTGGAATCCCTGTGACAGATGGAAATCAGTTGGCATGGTCATCTCATGACCCAGTTGTGACTCTACCCTGTTATACCAATGCACATCCTCACACACCAGTTTCTTCACCAAAAAAGGAATGGAATGACTCATATTGAAAATACTAACTTACCGTATGAGTTACCGTACTCCTCAATAAGATCATTGGGTTTTTTGGGGGGGGGTTTTGTGCAAAAATGGGATTATAAAGATATCTACATAATCTAAATATTACACATATATTTTGCAGTGCACTGATATGCACATTTTTCTGCCATTTGGTTCACAGATTAAGTGAGAAATAGTAACCAACAAAGGGAAAAAGAGGAGGATCAGTAAAATAAATTGATATATACTTTTATAATTATATATATATATATATATATATATATATATGTCCCTAAGCCATCAGTCATCTTTTTTTCTCATAAATGATCTCCTTTATAAGTACCACGGATAGAACTTCAAATCCTGAAGCAAACAAACATGCTCATCCATTGCGCTAGTCATTTGCTTGGTTATACAACTGTATGGTGCATCAGACATACAGAATTCAGCTGAACTAATGACTGGCCTATATTCAGATACATTCGGGCAAAACCGAATGCACAAGTCAATAGTCCTTCTAATATTCATACATTGCTCAGACTAACATTGGAAACAGCACAGCTCTGTATGGTGGCTAATTGGACTGATAATTGGCCTTGCATGTTCCTGTTGAAATTCTGGATTAAAAGCTGCAACACATTTTAAGTAATCCCAGAGAATTTCTCGCCCCCATTCTTTTCTTCTACTTGTATCCCCACCATTCTTTTTCTGCTTCTTTCTCTACTTCAGACAATGTGGTTCTTTGCATTCTGATATGAATGTAAATCTTTTGTGAAACTGTAAATAAAAATCGTAGGCTTATTTCCATGCTTATTGCAAATCATTTAACGACATGCCAATAATCATTAAAATGGCTCTCATAATCATTATCATTACCAGCTGTTTCCATGGTACAAAACTTAACATCTAAAGGAACATTGCAGGCACCATAACCACTTCAATTGATTGATGTGGTTATGGTGCCTGGAGTACATGGGAGTTAGTCCAGCATCACTACTACACAGTGTATTTACTTTTTAGTAGAGATTCTCGATCCCTGGCTGCCTGAAGCACAGCTTCCAATGATGATATGGCTGGGTTATGCTTCCCCTTCACACCAAACCAATTCATACAAGGAACTGGGACAGTCAGCCAGTCACTGCCTGCAAACCCTGGTATAACATGAAGTAGATCACAGCTCTGCCTCAACCATACTGTCATTAGAGGCCAGGCTTCAGGCTGGGTTTTAGGCCGGTGAGTATACCATTTATAAACCATTTTCTTGTGTTCAATATAATCAGCAGCTGATGATATTGGTAATGACTCCCACAGAGATTAATAGGAGACAATAAATGCCAAGTAACCCTTTGCTTTCATGCTAAATGGCAAGAATGGCCATCATGTCAGATGCAGTCACTAGCTCACCAAACTATACACCTAGTTATTAATATTATTATTATTGTTATTTTATTATTTATATAGCACCATCAGATTCCGTAGCGCTATACAGTGGGATAGTTCAACTGGGTGTGGAAAGTGGAAAAGACCAGGAGACTCTTCCTCTCTGTGATGATTGTTTCACTTTTAGAACCTTTCCCCATATTTCTATTAAATAAACTTTTTGTTAATATCTTCCAACGTGCATATGAATTACTGAGGGGACTGAGTCTTATTGCTACTCAAATTAATAGGCAAACATAAACTGGTATAAAAATGATGGAAATAGACCTGCAACAAGCGCACAGTCTTCACCTAACCACGTAACTGTGCAAAATCAGTAAGTAGACAATATAGCAATGAAGTACTTACTTAATTAGTCCATCTTCCATATAAAGGTCAGCGTGGAAAGACTGGTCATCATTTACTATTTTACCTCCTTTAATCAAAAGTCGATCACTCTGAAAAATAAAATTTCAAAATTATTAATATACTTTCATTCACTAGAGTTAAGCACTCACATTCCAAATAATGTCTATGAATCAAAATATAGAGACAGTAATTGCATTAAAATGTTGTTACCTGACTGACTACATGATATCCCTCAAGTTCTAATAAAAACAGTATAATCAGTCAGCACATTATTTCTTATTAGTAACATACTCTGATTTATTCAGCTATTTGCAAAGCGATTAACCAGCTAGATTTAAGACATAAATATTGTCTAAAATAACACTGAAAGATAATCCTTCGTGCCATGCATCATCTGTAGACAAATACCCACAACCCATTGCAATACTGAACAGGAATATTCACAAAGTCTTTGACTTTGTCCTAGAATGACACAGGAAATTCAAATGCTAAAGCAGAACCAAATTAATACATATAACCCCTGTATTATTTTATTATTTTCAGCAACTTATAAGTATTGCTAGGGTCAAAAAACACCTGGGACATGAGCCCAAAAATAATTTTATGACCCCTTTCTTAAGCCCCACCCCTGGCCCATCCACAATTCCACCATTTAACACACCTCTTGGTACACTTACAGTTACTGATAGACACACACCCTAATACATATACACATAAGACATAGACGGCAGACACATACAGACATGCACAAGCACACAGACAAGAAGTACCAATACACATATACACAGACCACTGGCGGATCCAGAGCCTTATCTCGGGAGGGGCACTCATAGATAATTTAAAGAAACAATCCAGGCACAATAACCACTACAGCTCTCTGTAGTGATTATGGGTCCAGGAGTACCGTGTAGGAGGGGCAGTATGTGTTCATGTGAGTGGTGTAGTGTGTGCATGGGTGTGCAGTGTATATATGGGTGCAGTGGGAAAACTGTGTGTAGGGGGCCAGTGTGTGTATGAGGGTGTAGTGGGGGCAGTATTTGTATAGGAGTGTAGTGGGGGCAGTGTGTGTATGGGAGTCTAGTGGGGGCAGTGTGTGTATGGGGGGGTGCAGTGTTTGTGTGGGGGAGCACTGTGTGTATGGGGGTGCACATGGGACAGTGTGTGTGGTGGGGCAGTGTGTGTGTAGTTGGGGGCTGATTAAAACAAATAAGTGTTGTTGTTTTTAAATTTACAAAATATGCTTTATATCCCCCTCCCTTCTTACCTTTGCCCAGGGAGGGGGAGGATATAAAGCATATTTTTTTTAAATTAAAAAAAAAAAACACTTATTTGGAATTGCTCTTATCTTATAAATAGTATCCCCTCTTCATTCTTACCTTTGCCCAGGGAGTAGGGATATCCATTGTGAAACCCTGGTGGTCCTCATGGTGAACCCAGCCGGCTCTAGTGGGGGAGTTAACTCTAGCCTGCACCTCCTGGGCTAGAGTTCACTTTCGCGAGAATGGAGCGTTGCCATGGTAACCGCGGCAACGCTCTGTGCTCGCGAGAGGGCACCCGGCGGAGCTGCAAGCTAGAGCTCCCGGGTCTCTTTTCCCTCCTGTGCCGGCCGCCCAACAATGTGCCAGCGGACTGGTGAGATCTCCCCTCTGGTCCATTAACCATAGGGCTGGGAGGGAGGACATCATTCAGATACTTTTTGTCCAGTGTGGACACTGAGACCTCATGTAATGGCTCTCACAAGCTCTGGTTTCATTGTATCAGAGCACTACTATGGATATACATACCAAACTCGTTTCAGTAAGCTAAAGTTGTTTTGGTGCTTAGAGTGTCATTAATAAAACAACTAGGGTACATACAGTCATTCCAAGGTTTGCCATTGCACACTATAACAGTAAAAACATTTTACTGTTTCCATGATGATAGCTCCAATTGTAGCAATTTTCTTTATTGCATGTCTTTTGTCTATACCACATCTTCATTCAAAAACTATTATTAAAATAATTCATTGTTGTATTTTTAGTTTGCCTTTAACTTCTCAATTCCTGAAATGATGACATTAAAATTTTGGAAAAAGAATGTCAAACCTGATAAGAAATCAATTCAATTGCTTTTGAAAATATGGGAAATATGCAGTCCATGGAATAAAAAACTATTGAACTCTTAAAGAATAGGACGGGTAGTTCCCTTCTCTCCTTGTACTGAAAAGACCTGTCTTAAAATATATATATACAGTGGGACCTCGGTTTACGAATGTAATGTGTTCTCCGGGACGTTTCTTATTGTGAAACATTTGTAAACCGAAACGCGGTTACCCATAGGAATGCATTGAAAACCAATTAATCCGTTCTGGAGGTCAGAAAAAAGTCAAAATGAGCTGGCATGGAAACCAACCCACAATGCAGAACACACAATAAAAGGCATGCAAGCGACGAAGCTCAGCTCCCTACCCTTCCACAGCTTGAGAAATGCACCAAAAAGTTCCAAAATAACTGAAAATTTCCCGAATGGCTCCAAAACTCGATGCAAAAGCCGCTTCAACACCTCCACACTCGACGCCAACATGCAGGGGGTGGTGCTATAAACCTCCCACTTGCAATGCATCCTGGGGAAACTTGCTTTGTATTGCGAAAAATTTTTGTAAACCGAGGCATTATTTTCAATGGATTTTCATTTGTAAACTGAAAATTATGTTAACCGAGGCGTTTGTAAACCGAGGTCCCACTGTACATTATATATAGTGTAGATTGGATAAGCTGTATTAGTCCAGTAGACAAGATGCCAAATAGGCTATATATTTATATTATTATTATTATTTTTATTTGTTTTAAAAGAACATTTTGCATGATGAAAAATATTAAAATCTGAAAACAAAAAAATAGTTTAATTTTAATTTTACTTAACAGTGCAATGAAACCTGCCAGTGATTAACAAATAAATCAGTTGTCTCTTTTAGCCACAAAAAACACTATCTAGCAATAACATACACCTACAGGAAAATATCTAAATGACCAAATTCATCCCAGCTCAACAAAACCCATGGTCCTGATACAACACCAGGACACAAGAAGAGGCCTTTCATCTACGATTACATTTCTTCAGGAGCTCACCATGCCTACAGATGTTACAGAATGTTGCACACAAAGTAAGATTATGCTTCTGAGAAGACAGTTCTACAAATACAGCCTGGTAGAGACCCTGATGCAGTTTGATACTTTGTATCAAAACAAAGACATGCTTGTTGCCTGCTTAGTTCTCTTTTGGAGGAAAGGAGTCACTGTATAGCAAATGCCAGGGCATTGCCAGGGTGTGGGTTTCCAGTGGGACAGCCCTCCCCAGACATAGTCAAATGGGAAATCTATTCCAGTTCTTCACAGGAACTGCTACTTTGTGTGTGAGTCACATGTGGGCCACAAACCCAATGTCTGGTTACCACTAGAAACCAAGCAACAAATAGAAGAATCCGAGAGCAGCCTTAAATGAAATGCAGCACAAGACACGTTGATGGATTTCCGAGGGAAATTTATGAGACACAGTTTGGGCAGACATTTCCATCAATAATTTTGTAAACAATACTATGCAATATGGATCTGTCAGTAGCAAAACTACTATTTATATTTAGAGAACACCAATCAATTTCACAGCACTGTCCAATGGGAAGCAGAACACATCACAATACATAGTAAAAATAATATAAGGCAAATATTATCAAATGTTGATTAAGAGTGTTCAAACAAGCTTACAATCTACTGACAGAGAGCAGCAGAAATTGGGTGATGTTCTACCATGTTTAAATTAAGCATTTGTCTAATGTTTTAGGAGTTCACACCATGTCATACAGGCATTTCTTTATTAAAATAAGTTCTACTTTTTACATTTTAGTTGCCAAACTGCTAGTGTTTTTATTGAAAATAAAAGATTATAAATGTATGTATTATTTTGCACTTCATACATTGGGAGGTTGAAACAAAATGCAGGCTTGGGTAAAAAACAAAAAACAAAAAAAAAACAGCCACAATAGATGCATGTCTCACTGACAGTTTGTGTGGCCTTAAGGTCACATGACATGTGTGACATGTCATGATTCCCTTTTATTCCAGAAGTTTGGTCCTTGAGGGGTTAAAGGACCACTAGAGGCACCCAGACAACTTCAGCTAAATTAAGTGGTCTGGGTGCCAGGTCTCCTAAGTTTTCACCTTGCAGCTGAAAACATGGCAGTTTCAGAGAAACTGCTATGTTTACACTGAGGGTTAATCCAGGCCTCTAGTGGCTGTCTACCGGACAGCCACTAGAGGCCGTTTCCGCTATTCTCAGTGTGAAAATCGCATTGAACTCACGTTGAACGTCCATAGGAGAGCATTGAGTAATGCTTTCCAATGGGAAGTTTGAATGCGCACACAGCTCTTCGGCTTCACTTGGGAGCTGACGTCGGCGGGGGAGGAGAAGTCACCAGATTAAGGTAAGTGGCTGAAGGGGGGGCTCAGCCCAACGGAAGGGTGGCTCCGAGAGAGGGGGGGATCTAATAACCCTATAGTGCCAGGAAAACACTATAGGATCCCTTTAACATGTCACAAAATTAGAGGTATAAACATCAGCAATACACTCCATGGCATATGAATATACCACATTCAATACTGACAGCACTCCTGATAAAATAATGCACCAAAGTTAATACTCACAGCTCAATCCAAGAATATCTAGCATACATTTGTGTGACATTCTGGGTATTGATACTGATGTAGTACTGACCAGAACAGGTACCAACTGGCAGCAAATTACTTTTTCCACGAAAATTGAGCTGGGCAGAGAGCTGTAATCTTCAAGCTCTTCTTGCTCTGCTCCCTCATGCGCCCTGTGGTGATGCTGAGAGCTGGGATATGACGCCACTCCTGCCCTGGCATCACTAAACAGCATTCTAGGGGGCGGAGCAAGTTAAACCTGAAGATTACAGCAGCCCCACTGGACCCCAGGGAAAGGATCCACTCAAGCTCTCCCAAAAATCGAAAGCTGGGTGGACTAAATTTAAATTAAATACAATAATAACAATCACTTGTGAATGTGTGAGATACCGAGTGTGTGAGTATCAGCGTGTGTGTCAAATCAATGTGTGTGTCTGTCAGTGATTGTGTGTGTCTGTCAGTAAGTAATATAGAAACATAGAATGAGATGGCAGATAAGAACCATTTTGCCCATCTAGTCTGCCCAATTTTTTTTTTAAATACTTTTTAGTCCTTGGTCTTATCTTAAGTCTAGGATAGTCTTATGCCTATCCCAAGCATGCTTAAATGCCCTCACTATGTTAACCTCCATCAGTTCAGCTGGAATGCTATTCCATGCATCCACTACCCTCTCTGTAAAGTAATACCTCCTGAAATTATTTTTAAAACTTTGCACCTCTAATTTAAGATTATGTCCTCTTGTTGTGGTAGTTTTCCTTCTTTTACATATAGTCTCCTCCTTTACTGTGTTGATTTCCTTTATGTATTCAAATGTTTTTATCATATCTCCCCTGTCTCGTCTTTCCGCCATGCTATACATGTTAAGATCCTTTAACCTTTCCTTGTAAGTTTTATCCTGCAATCCATGAACCAGTTTAGTAGCCTTCCTCTGACCTCCTTCCAAAGTATCAATATCCTTCTGAAGACATAGTCTCCAGTACTGCGTACAATACTCCAAGTGAGGTCTCACCAGTGATCGGTACAATGGCATGAGCACTTCCCTCTTTCTACTGCTAATGCCTTTCCCTATACAACCAAGCATTCTGCTAGCATTTCCTGCTGCTCTATTACATTGTCTGCCTACCTTTAAAGGACCACTCTAGTGCCAGGAAATGCCCCCACCCTCAGGGTCCCACTCCCACTGGGCTGAAGGGGTTAAAACACTTACCTTTCTTCAGCGACAGGCTCCCTCAACGCTGGTGCATTCAAACCGCCCATAGGATGGACGTCCACCGTCTTCTCACTGTGATTTTCACAGTGAGAATCGCAAAAGCATAATGCATTTTGGATGTAAAAACCCAAAGGCAGAATACAGAATATTTGATAGAGTAATAACCTCAACATCTGAGGAGAGGGATTTAGGAGTAATTATTTCAGATGACTTAAGCCATCTGAAATAATTACTCCTAAATCCCTCTCCTCAGATGTTGAGGTTAGGACACTATCAAATATTCTGTATTCTGCCTTTTGGTTTTTACATCCAAAATGCATTATCTTGCACTTATGCACATTAAATGTCAGTTGCCACAATTCTGACCATTTTTCTAGTTTACCGAAATCATTTGCCATTTGGCTTATGCCTCGTGTAACCCTGTTACAAATTTTAGTATCATCAGCAAAAAGACATACCTTACCATCAAGACCTTCTGCAATATAACTAATACAAATCCAATCTGCCCCCCTCCAGTGGCACGGGAAAAGTTTTTTTACCTCACCTTACAGATGCACTGAATCGATTTCTAGGCACCAATGAACAGCCTGCATAAAGATGTTATAGACACCAGAACCACTACATTAAGCTATAGTGGACCTGGTGACTATAGTGTCCCTTAACGAATTGTATTTTTGTCATTGAAAACAAAGCTTAGTTTAAAAAAACTGGCTCCTAACCTTTTTAGATACCTCCTATATTTTTTAAGCGAATTTGTCAAGCCTTGAGTTAAATGTATGCAGACATTATTCCAAAGTGTAGACCTGGCAACATGTCAACCTCAAATTAGGTATTTGTCAAGCCTGAAGGTGGAATAGTCACTGGCCTACCTTGCGATAACTCTCTTCTGTACTCACCTGTTGCAATCTAATTAACCCTTGGCATGCTGCTTAGCTGATGGGTGAGCAATATGTGGTCTTGATGTGACCCTTGAAAGAGGCATGCTTTCTCCTCTTGATGGTTATAAAAAGCTTTGCTCTATACATTGTTCACATGTGCAGTGCCTCGGCTACAATTTCTTTGGTTTGGTTTCATTTACGCTTTCTATATATTTCTATACTGCAAAATTCGACACATCTTCATAGAGGTTATGCATTATTATGTCTTTCTGAGCGTCTACTATTTATTTTGTGCTAATTACAGAGTATGCGTCAACACAAACAAAATACATAAAGTAAAAAAAATTAAAGAAAAACATCTAGAATTCCCTTCAACACTTAACATTCTGGCAGTCAAATAACTTTGCCATGTGTTGCTTGTACAAGACTCTGCCTCTTCCTGCTCACATATTGTTAACGATCACTATTTATAACCACTTCTGTGACATCAGGTTTAACAAAGCATTGCTTGTGCTTTGGGTGGAATATAAGAGTCACTGGGATAAAAGCTACTGAGTATCTGGGGTTCTTTATCATTTTGAAATTTTCTACAGCAGATATTTGATGGCAGTCCTATAATTCTGCATTTCCTAACAGTAATACTACATTGTTTAGAAAAGGTAAAATATTTCAGAAAGTGAATTGTAATTTCACTTATGATGATACTTCTCCTTTAAAGAACATACCCTTAATTTAATTGCATGTAGTACTGAACTAAGAAAAGGTTCCAACATTATTACAACAAAATCAAACAAAAAACAAAGTGGTACTTAGCTTCTTTAAAGGAACACTCCGAGCACCATGACAACTTAATTGCTATGAGGTCGTTATGGTGCCCAGAGTGTTCCTTCACCAGTCCTGCAAAGATCCTTATGGCACATTAACGTCCATTAGCATGCTTGACTAGATCTCTGCAAGAGAAACTGCAAAATACATCAAAGCGCCCAATAATGTGTAAGGTAACATGTATGTACAGCGCTAAGGAATTTGCTGGCGCTATATACATAATAAAATAATAATAATATGTAAAATTACATGTAGTTTATGAACAATAAGGTCAATACACCCTTTGATTTAAATGTTGATATATCCTAAAGCACAGCTCTTGACTTCTTATTTAAAATTGTTATCCACTAAATTGTGACTTGTCATAACCAGAGAGTTTGACATTTTAAAAGGCTGGTCAGTTCCTAGCAGATGAATGTTATTCACTAAACTGAGTTGATGGAAATTCACAAGGGAAATTCAAATATTAGGTCCAAATAGCTAAGCTAAAGCCATTAAAACCATTTTAATTTTCAAATTATAATTTCTCGCCAACAGCAGTGTTTACATATGTCAGAATGTAGGGATAGGGTTTCTGCAACAAGACAACTACATTATGCATATGAGATTGTCCCTTCAATGGAACTGCTTTTAAAGCTGCAAGCACGTGTATACTGTTTGTTATATTTATGGTTTATGAGTGGATTTACAGGCACAGGATCTATCACAGAAAGCCAAGGGTAATGGGGACTTGTTGAGACAAACAGCCCAATGGAGGAGCAGAAAGAGACATAAACTCCCCCCTGTGATGTACGAGCAAGATGTTTGGGTTATATCTGCAGCATTTTTGTTTTTGTAATGAAAATCACTCCAGATAAAAGTAAATAGGAAACATAATTTTGTTGGTAAAGTAAGTGATTTCACTGGTTTACATGGATAGGCAGTTTTAAGCTCACTAGTCTTGAACCTGTACTGGAGCTTTAAACAACCAGGGTAGTCACAGATTTTGAGGGGCCACTTTGTGGTATTATGTGACAGGTCATGGTTTTAAATCTGTAGGCTTATTTAATTAAGGTCAATATGGAATCAATAGTTGCCCTGACTTCACCCAGCCTTCCTTCTTAAGCATGTGTTTTAATTTGTTTTATTACCCGTTGCACTAATAGAACAGACTTCCCAGGCACAGAATAGCTAAGGGCTAGTTGTCTATCCTCAAAAACAACTTTAAAACCTGATATATGCATCTGTTGAGTTAGATCATTGGTTAATGTTCCAGCTGCAGTATCTCTAATACCTATTAAGGGGCAGGTTTTATACATGACCTTGTACTTCTTGCAAGGTCAATAAAATGAGTACCATGACAACTTAATTGCTATGAGGTCGTTATGGTGCCCAGAGTGTTCCTTCACCAGTCCTGCAAAGATCCTTATGGCACATTAACGTCCATTAGCATGCTTGACTAGATCTCTGCAAGAGAAACTGCAAAATACATCAAAGCGCCCAATAATGTGTAAGGTAACATGTATGTACAGCGCTAAGGAATTTGCTGGCGCTATATACATAATAAAATAATAATAATATGTAAAATTACATGTAGTTTATGAACAATAAGGTCAATACACCCTTTGATTTAAATGTTGATATATCCTAAAGCACAGCTCTTGACTTCTTATTTAAAATTGTTATCCACTAAATTGTGACTTGTCATAACCAGAGAGTTTGACATTTTAAAAGGCTGGTCAGTTCCTAGCAGATGAATGTTATTCACTAAACTGAGTTGATGGAAATTCACAAGGGAAATTCAAATATTAGGTCCAAATAGCTAAGCTAAAGCCATTAAAACCATTTTAATTTTCAAATTATAATTTCTCGCCAACAGCAGTGTTTACATATGTCAGAATGTAGGGATAGGGTTTCTGCAACAAGACAACTACATTATGCATATGAGATTGTCCCTTCAATGGAACTGCTTTTAAAGCTGCAAGCACGTGTATACTGTTTGTTATATTTATGGTTTATGAGTGGATTTACAGGCACAGGATCTATCACAGAAAGCCAAGGGTAATGGGGACTTGTTGAGACAAACAGCCCAATGGAGGAGCAGAAAGAGACATAAACTCCCCCCTGTGATGTACGAGCAAGATGTTTGGGTTATATCTGCAGCATTTTTGTTTTTGTAATGAAAATCACTCCAGATAAAAGTAAATAGGAAACATAATTTTGTTGGTAAAGTAAGTGATTTCACTGGTTTACATGGATAGGCAGTTTTAAGCTCACTAGTCTTGAACCTGTACTGGAGCTTTAAACAACCAGGGTAGTCACAGATTTTGAGGGGCCACTTTGTGGTATTATGTGACAGGTCATGGTTTTAAATCTGTAGGCTTATTTAATTAAGGTCAATATGGAATCAATAGTTGCCCTGACTTCACCCAGCCTTCCTTCTTAAGCATGTGTTTTAATTTGTTTTATTACCCGTTGCACTAATAGAACAGACTTCCCAGGCACAGAATAGCTAAGGGCTAGTTGTCTATCCTCAAAAACAACTTTAAAACCTGATATATGCATCTGTTGAGTTAGATCATTGGTTAATGTTCCAGCTGCAGTATCTCTAATACCTATTAAGGGGCAGGTTTTATACATGACCTTGTACTTCTTGCAAGGTCAATAAAATGAGTAAACAATAACATTTAATTCCACAGAAATAAAAGTGAAATGTAACCTTCCAAATTAAATATTTAGATATTAATTTGTAAAGAACGCCATACACCAGTCTTTCCCATACCCTTGAAATGTAACCAAATAATAATTTGCTTTAAACTGCTCATTAAACTGGTATGTGGTGTCTTCATGGATAGAAGTAGGACATACACTTAAAGGGATCCTATAATGCCAGGAAAACAAATCCGTTTTCCTGGCACTATAGGTTCTTGGAGTGCCCCCTCCCTCGGGGGCCCCCCTCCCTTGGTGCTGAAGGGGTTAAAACCCCTTCAGTCACTTACCTTAATCCAGCGCTGGGCTCCCTCGGCGCTAGAGACCTCTATTCCCCCGCCAACGTCAGCTCCTGGCCAGAGGCAAGCGCGCATTCAAACCCACCTATAGGAAAGCATTACTCAATGCTTTCCTATGGGGATCTTATTTAACGCTGGACTCTGTGAGGACGTCCAGCATCAGATAAGTGTGATTTCCTCACTGTAAATTGCAGAAGCAGCCTCTAGTTGCTGTCTTTTAACTATATAATTATAAAAATGTAAAATCATCTTGCATTATCAGACCATAGACATAAAACACTCTGAATCAGGTATAAATATATTTATTTAACCCTTTTTTATAATTAGTAAAAAACTTAACAGCAGCATATCAGTAGCAGCATCCAGAATCAGGAGAGGAGGATTGGGAAGAAAAAACAGGCTGACGGGGAGGGTGGGACATACTGAGACACAACTTGAGAGAATACAAAAATGGGAAGATCTGCTGAAATGGAGGGTGGAATATCGGGAGACATGAGCTGAGGGGGTAATAGTAGTAAAGACATCTGCTAATGGGGGTTGGGGGGGGCAATATTTTAAGAGGCCCAAAGGTTTATGATGGCAGAACTGTTGATGGGTTCTAATTTACATGCAAATATTATTATTATTTTATTATTGATAAAGCGCCAACAAATTCTGTAGCGTTGTACAATAGGTGGACTAACAGACATGTAATTGTAACCAGACAAGTTGGACGTATAAGAACAGAGGGCTTGAGGGCCCTGGTCAATGAGCTTACATGCTAGAGGCAGTGGGGTATAGTGACACAAAGGGTATAAGTAGACATAGAGAAGTAGGTTGCTGGAAAAGTATTCAATGACCTTACCATACTTTTACCAGTCTTCCAATACTAACTATTATTCTTGACTAGTATGATTTCCGCCAAATAATATAACTGTCTTTCTTTATATGACAGAGCTCAGCTTTGCATGCAGCATTTCATTATCTCTACATAGCTCTTTCATGAAAGGACATGCAAAACTATCTTCACCTCAGCACTACATTGTATCATCTTTCAAGCTAAAAAAAACACTAAATTTAGAGTCAGTTGCAACAGGCAAAATATAATTTCTCTCAAGAGTAGAAGAGAAAAAGTTTTATATTGCCATTGGTTTTGTTCGCTTTTAAAATATTTGCATATGTTTACGCTGTACAATTCAAGGCTTTACCCCTAACAGTTCAGCACCAACTGCTATGTTTTTTATTTCATAATTCAGAGTGAAATTAGTTATTCATTTTATACCTATTATATGATGAATGAGTTGTTAACCAAATGTAAAGACAGTGTTGAGATAGGAATAATGGTTTTAATATATAAATGAATGGCGCATGTGCACAAAACTGGCACAAATGTGAAAGTGCAATGTGACAGGTTTTATACATAACCTGTAATGTTTCTATATCTTTTCATTTACAATGTTTGCCCTGACTTTGGGCCTTCTCATGAAGAAAAAAGCTAACACTTGTTATCAGTGATTTTCAATGGTTTATTCAAAGGTGTAAATTCCAGATGTGAGAGTGTTTCCTTTTAAATTCTTTACATTTCCTGGTTTAGTGAATAAGCTCCATGAAGTGTTTACCATTAACGCAGAGCCACGCAATATGTCAGGACTGTTCACAAAAGTGAGCATTGCCAGGAATTCAATTTTAAAGCCAAAACATTCTAAATGAAAAACTTCTCCAAGTCAATTATACATCCAGTTCGGCTACTTTGGCCTTAAATTTGAAATTCACGACAATTCGCAATTTAGTGAATAACGCAGCATAACACACCATCACTTCAGAGATTTCTGCTTCCAAGTGCTTAAAATTAGTATCACTACATATGTTTGAGCACAAGGAATGAGAATTATGACAGTGCCAGGACAGGACGTGCACTTGATTTTAAACTTAGCTCATATTGAAGGGGAAAAGTCATATTCACTGTTAGAGGTGAATTCAAAATTACAGTTAACATACTGTGCCATATTATACTGCGTATTACAATGCTCTATTGTGCACAATCTGTCACAATTACAGACTTCATTTATTGCATTATAATAAACCCCTGGTACATCATAGTGCTGAAATAAAATAAAAATACTTGTTTAACATTTCTATTTGATTTCTTTGTTTCCCTCTTCATCACAAAGTAATAGTTATGCTATCAGTTCTCAGAATCAAACTGTTGAGCAGTGAGGCACACTGTAGATATTTAGAGAAAATAACATAAAGATCTATTGAATGTAATGTTTATGCAATTATTTGCATTTAGTCTCATTGCTGTACAAGAGACACCACACAAGATTTACCAGATATTTCACTTTTGTAAACACAAAATAATGCGTAAATAAATGGTAAGACAGAACAAATCGTCTGCTTTTTGCAAATTTTTCTCTCACTTAAACCAATAATTGGCTGATAACTGTATTCCAATCTTTTCACTCTGCTAACTCTGTAGAGAATTAGTAAGTACATGTATCATGTCAAATATAGCCTAGTTTCCAATTTGGCACTTCCACAAGTGAAATTTAGAAAAAAGCTGAATCCTATTATCTTTCAATATTCAATAAAATGAGCAGGAGATTTCCATTTACTTATGCAACCATTTCCCATTTATTACTTTTCAATAAATAAGTTCCACTCACAGTTGAATTATGTACACAGCTCTACTGGAATCTCATTGAGTGATTTAGAACTGGTGTTTCAGGTCAGGGCATCTTTGTTTTGGAAATGAGAAACCAGTCAGGTGGAGCTAGGTGGGTGAGGTTTTTTTCCTTTTTCTTTTGAGAGAAACACTCTAATTTAAATGGTTACTCCAATCACTAAGACCACAATGATTTGAAGTGGTTATGGTAGGAGTCTGGATGTTCAGTGTTTCTGCTTAAAACACTGCACATCTAGAGTTATTTTTATGTTTGTGCCAGGGGCTAATTGTCTACACCCCTGTCACACATGACTTAGGCAGCCCAGAACGCTGCAGCAGAGATGCAGCAACCACAAACTAACGTTTCAGCCTGCTTAGGATTATCAGTAAAGTAAAGCCAATTCCCCTCTAGGCACAGTGAGAAAGGAGTCCATGTATGGATTACCTTTTACCTTAGGAAGAGCAGAAAAACAGTGTGCAAGAGAATACTGGAATGGACAACAGCTCAAACAGCTTGCACTTCAGTGGGTACCCGCTTAGTTCTCAAGCTGTTTTTCGCTTATCGTTTGTCATTACAGAGAAGCCCTAAACTATTTGCATATCAGACTGATCCCAACCAAAACAGCAGCACAAATCCAAAATGCAAGCCGGCTCCATCTGGAAAAACAGTAAAAGGGTAATCTGCATGTGGATCCCTTGCTCACTGTGCCTAGGGTTTTTTTGGCTATTCCTCACTGATGAGGCCTAACAAGGCTGAAACGATGGTCTGGGGTTGCTGATCTCTTGTGCAGAAGGAGCTGATTTGTATTTTGGATTTGTATTGCTGCTTTGGGGGGATCCCTCTCAGGCTGGTTTTAGCTTATCTTGTGTCTAAAACCCGCGTGAGAACTGTGCGGGATCTACTGAAGCTCAAGCTATTTAAACTTGTATCCGTCCTCATTCTCTTGCACTCTGTTTTTTTGTTAGTTTGTTTGTGTTTTGCTCAGTTTATTTCTTTGATTGCATTCTTTGTTCTTGTCAATTTCATCCAAATGTTACAAATATGCAACACTACCAGGGCCAAAACAAGTAAATGGCTTTCTATTTCTGGATGGAAAAAGTTACATTTTTCACCCTGCAGTGTAAAAATAATTGGTTCTAAATATTTATTGCAATAATTTGACTGTTTTAATACAATACACTAACTACATAAGTAGACATAACATTTCTAATCTTTTGAGGATAAAGTAACCAATATAATACTACATTTGTTGTCACTGGCTTATCATATGGACATGGATATCTTTAGTGTAACATCAGACAGCAGTCTACACCTTCCTTTGCAGTGACTCATGTATGGCATCTTGACAATAATAAATGCAATACAACACAATATACATGAATTCACTAAAACACTGATTAATGGTGCACGTGCACTGATATACATTTGACAAGCCCAACAAGTCAGGCACATATGACTCCAACATCCAAATTTAGGTTTACAGATATGTCTGGCTTGCAAATCTGACAATCAAGCAAAACAAATGCTACATTTTCCCTTCTGCAATGCAATATGTCAATACTTTTCATTAACCAGGGAGTACTGTCAAAAGGACTTGAATAGCTTACATTCAAGTGACTAGAAATATTCATATTAAATCCATAAGAATTTCTTAACCCTTACATAGTCTTCACTATCTTTATTTTTATTAATATGTATTAATTAAAGAGCATGTGATAAATAATCTGCTAAAACAAAACAAATATTTCAACCATTTGCCTAGTTTCAACCAGTTGCATAGTGCATATGGAAGAAGGAGGATCGTGCCACAGGTAGCATTATTATTATTATTGGTATTTACATAGCGCCAGCTTATTCCGCAGCGCTTTACAATAAGAGGGGAATTTACCAAATGAGACAATAACAAAATGTAACAGGAACAATAGGTATTTGAGGACCCTGCTCAAATGAGCTTACAGCCTAGAGGAGGTGCGGTATAAATACACAATAGGAGGGGTATTGAGAGAGACAGCAAATAGACATGGTGGGAAAGTAGCAGAACTGGAGGTGAGAGTGGAGAGTGGCCCTGTAGGTGAGAGCAAGATGTCTTCAATGCTTCCTTATTGTACTTACTGTGTAACACATTAAAGAGATGGGAATCCCTACACCTTCTTTAGAAAGAGCAGAGTATACCGAGACAGAGTATGGTATATATATTATCAGTCAACAAACTTTGTTTTATACTCCCAAAAGAACACATAGGACCCCTCCATTTTTAAAGCTAAATGTATGATTTGCTAAATAGCATTAGAGGCCCAAACAGGGATGTATATAACATTGTATAACTTGATAACTAAGTAGGGGAAGGGGAAAAAAAATACAGGTGTCTTATGAAATGATTGTTAAGATGGGGCTTGTTGACCAGTCCACCTTAGGTCTAGGGTCCTAATGGTCTAGAAAATAACAGATTTAAAAAAAAAATCCTTATCTATGGAAGGCCCAAATATAAAAAATATCAATTTTTTTCTTACATACAGACTAATGGCAAAAACATCATCGGTAAAAATATAAAATCTGATGAACTAGAGGGAAAACAATTGAGTAATGCTGGTAGAGTCTACATTGTCATAAAAATTATACCCAGGTATCAGACTGTTCTTTTTATCATGGGTACATGCTTGGGTCCAACATGCCAATGCCCACTATAACTGGCTCTTGAAAGGTCATCTACGGGACATTCTTAGACATTACCATCTGAACAACACTCAGAAGAATAGGCCCGTGGTGGGAAGCTGCATCTTCCAAAGATTTCTTAGCCTCCAGTAGTGATTATTGGTTCAAATACTAAATATTTGATCCCAATTAAGTACCTTGGTTTCAACGGTAACTGGGTAACAACTGGGAGAGATGCCTTGTTTGCAATAAAATAGCTTTATTTTTCCACTACATTCAGCATCTGTGGATTTTGGAAGAATGCTTTGGAGCTTTCTTTCTGTACTAGAGCGTCAAAGAACGCTGACCTCTTAGATTTATATCAAGACCTGTGAATGAGAAAGAAGATGACTAAATCAGCAAAATGATAAATATGCCAGCTCAGCCCACCCCATTACCCATTCTTCCATAATAACTTTTATATTAGTGGCACAGTTTTGAGTAATTCTGTCAGTAGCAACAGTAGTCACTGAAAGGTGTTGAGGGCACTCGTTTTTAATGACACTTTCTGAAACGACTCATTTCCTCTTTACTTTGCCATTAAAAAGATATGCTTTTTGAGAATTAGATTTTTCTATTTGATATATGTAATTCATGTAGCCTCCACTAATATAGTATTTGATTCTTTTACCGCCCTGTCATCTGCATTTTAAATTTCCTAGGCAAATGGTAGCCATTTTCGCACACAATGAAATACACAGCCAGACCAATTATTAGCTGCTTTGCTGGAATGCTCCAGAAAAATTACATGCTCCAGATTACTCCAGTTAAGAACACACAGGGTCTCTATCCTGCACATCTCTCAGCAGGCAGCAATGGTTGCCATAGGAACAAAAACCATGAAAGTGTATTGTTGCAACAGTTCTGTCCTGAGCTGTCCCAAACATTGGCTATTGGTTGTCCTTGTGTTCACACTCTTTCCCTCAGCTGTCTTTATTTCAAATGTAAATGCACAAGATTAATTGGCAGGAAGCAGACATCTGTCAAACACATTGCAATATGCAAGGTGATAGGCGGAGATCACTGCAAATGTTGGGAAGGCAGTGTTTGTGACAGTGCGCACTGCCAACCATTAAAATGGCAGAGAGAAAACACGACATTTTACAGAAGCCAGACACTCATGTGTGGCAGATGGCACCACTACAAATATTTAAAATGGATTTGTGTGCAAATCCAAAAGACAGAATCACTGTTTGGTCAATATGTAGAAATTGTGATTCTGTGTTTTATATTTGTGCATGAATCCACTTTAAATGTTTATGATTTGTTACTATTTGGGCTTAAGGGAAAAAGTAAAGGCTGTGTTTTTATGAGGAAACACTGGAGCACCATTAATAGAATAACATGTCAATGCCAAGGGCGTTATTATTTTCATGTTGTAAGAGGAAGACACTAACTAACCTGTGAAAGGCAGAGAGAACATTGTGACAGGAAGAAGCAATGCATGTCAATAAAAGCTGTATATCTGTGGTGAGCACATATACCTTAAACAGATAAGGAATAGTGCCCACCTGTGAAAGACAATCTGTGACAGACACCGAGTACTACCTACCTGAAACTTGCAAAGAATAAAGCCAACCTGTGCCAGGTAGAGATCAATTTGTACCTGGACAGGCAGAGAATAATGCTCAGAGTACATGGTATGACTGGTACATTGGTGCCTATATTACAAATGGCAGATTGCATCACTGTCATCAGAGACACTGCTTTTTCCTTATGATATGATAACTGTAAGACTGCAGCTTCCTTAATCAGAACAACCTCACTTGCTTATCACTAATCAGACATTTGCATGTAATAATGGCAAGTGTACACACAATACTAATCTGCACATAGGGATGCTCAGTAAACCAATACATAATTATCTCAATTCATCACAACCTCACCAGGCACTGTATTTTTCTCTAAAAATGACACATTGAAATCACTGTACCACCTCGAGGTTTGTCAACCTCTACAGCATCTTATTGTTGATATATTATCATCAATTATAAGAAGTCTGTATGTGCTGTAAATCCCAGATGAACAGCTGAAGGGTCACTGGTAGCTTGGTATAAAATCCAAGCACAGATCCAGTGTAGTTACATAACCCTCATATAGACTGCATATTATTCATTGTAATGAATACATCAAGTAAACAAATCAATTATTGATACTAGCAAGAATAGATCTGCACATACATACAATCCACACACTTTAATCAGTGTAATTAACATCCACCTGTGACTTGTCATTAACTTATGGCAAACTCTGCAACCTACACATCATAATCTGCTATTCTGAACCGTGAACAAATAAAAGTGTGTTATTATCCTGCAGAATATCTTCTTTATGCATCTTACACTACTAATTTGCACACCAGCATTATCCACTCTATTAAAATACCACACATTTACCACTCCAATATAGACATTGCAGAGCACCATAGTGTATAGGATACGAATATCACACTCTACAGCATACAAACACACCATGCAACGCTCTGCAACCCATCCTTAACTATATACAGGCTAACACACAAATCACAACCCACCCATAACTGTATACATAATAACACACAAATCACAACCCACCCATAACTGTATACATAATAACAACACAAATCACAATCCATCCATAACTGTATACATAGTAACACACAAATCACAACCCACCCATAACTGTATACATAGTAACACACAAATCACAATCCATCCATAACTGTTGACATAGTAACACACAAATCACAACCCATTCATAACTGTATACATAGTAACACACAAATCACAATCCATCCATAACTGTATACATAGTAACACACAAATCACAATCCATCCATAACTTTATACGTAGTAACACACAAATCACAACCCATCCATAACTGTATACATAGAAACACACAAATCACAACCCATCCATAACTGTATACATAGTAACACACAAATCCCAACCCATCCATAACTGTATACATAGTAACACACAAATCCCAACCCATCCATAACTGTATAGATTAACGTTCTAGAACCCGTCCTCAATAGAGATATAGAATACTAGGCAACCTGACCCAGCCCATGCTCTGCTCACTATCCATTGTAGTGCCCCTGCTTTCCATATGCAGGCTGGAAGGAGGGATGCATGTGTTTGTAAAAGGGGAGAACCTGGATCTACAAAATAATAAAAGCATCCTGTCACCATGCAAACAATGACACACCTACATCCCTGTCTGCACAGCACCCTCCAGAACACAACAACCTACATAACACAGAACAGCATCTTCCACAACTGAGCACTCTCCATAGCAAAACAACCTACATAAAATGGAACAGCATCTTTTACAAAACAGTACCATCTATAACAGCACAGCACCCTCCATAACATGCCACAACAACCTCCATAACACAGCACAGCATCTTCCACAACACAGCATCTTCCATAGCACAGCACAACATATTCCACAATACAGCACAACACCGGCCACAGCACAACACCCATGCAGCCCTCCCAATACACCCAGATAAAGCCAGGAGGGCTAGCCAGTTACATGCACTTCCAGTGATGCCCAGCTTGCCAAGGCTCCAGCATCTCAAGCCAACAAGCCTTCCCAGCTGGCAATGCAAAGGACAGCCATCCTCCGGCACTCCAGGTCTCCAGAGAGCTGGCTGAGCATTGTGTGAGTTTATGGTCCCCAGCCATCACAGCTGGAATCCAGATACCGCCCTCCCCTCTCAGAGCTGCGAGGTAGGTATGGTCCTCAGTGCTGCCTGCCAGAGGGGGAGACTACTCACAGTGATGCGGGGGATGTTCTTCTTGCCCTGGTACGACATGTCTGCAGGTCTCCCCTTGGAGCAGGGCGGGGGGCTGGCGGCTGTGTGGCGCTGCTGTGGTCGGAGGGTGTAGAGGAGTAAGAGAAGGAGGAGGATGAAGAGGATGCGCTGCCCCCGATCTTCCTCTGCCCGGGCTGCAATAATAGAAGACTCTCAGCAGCCCTACCGCGCATGCGTAGCGCCACTCCCTGTCCTCATCCGAGGCAACAGACTCCAGCGGCTCTGATTGGCTGGGACGGAGCCGCTATGCAAATCAGGAGCCTGGTTGGTGGGCGGGGCTCCAGGGAATGGCTCTATGACTGCAATGCAGTGGGGCTGAGATTGATGCGCTGCAATCCAGTGCTGAGAGGAGAGCTGGGAATTACACTGCAAAAACTACAAGGCCAGCCTGACAATAGCACATTGCTGTCCACTGGCTGCATTCATTGCCAGACAGGGACACCACTGCTAATAGCTGCATTGTGCTGGCATTGAATAGGGGCCAGGCATTGTCAGACTGTTAGTAAACAGAGCTGGAGTCATACAGACTGTGCTGACAGCTCACTGCATTGTCTCTCAGATTGCCTATTTTTCATTAATAAATATTCATCAATACCAAAACAACTAATGTTGCATGGTGAAAACTGGGTATGCTGTATACAATAAAAATGCATAATTTGATCTCTTAGCTCCATTCACCACTTGCAGGAAGAAATCGCCAAATTATGGTCTGTTAGCCGCTCCAGAAAAAACTCCAGAAATCCTTTAAGGGAAGTACATATTATGTTAAAGGGACACTCTACTGTCCAAATACAAATAAATAAAATCACTGTTTATTATATAAAAATACCCACAATTAAAGCATGCATGTATTTAATTATGCATTTTTCACGGAGGTTATATCTGAAAACAACTAGCCAAAACTGTAGATCTCTTAACTGCAGCATTTGCAGGCCCTTCTTCCTAAGCCCAGACTTTCTATGGCTGTCCAGTCACAGACTCCCAATGCAGTTCAATGAGAAGTGTTTGCCAGGCAGGTGCTCTCAGCAATTTCTGCCTTTTGAGGTCAGCTTCACTAAGCTAAACAAATCGCAAAGTAATATGACCAGTTTTCTGATTGACAGCCAGGGACGTGTAACAATGTTAATACCTTCCCGATCTTAGGGCATACTATGCCTTCCTACAAAAGGAGGGCTTTAACGCTGATAGGGTGGCATAAAACACCATAATGATCTGTCCCTCCCCCTGGCCTGGATACTTGCTCTCCACTCCAAAGGTGATCAGGGGACTTGCATGATAACCCAAGCAGCAATCCCCTTCCGAGTCATGTGATCTATATGTATATATATTTAAAATTGTATAATTTTATTGTTTCTATATTGGGGAATCTGCCTGAACACTGCCTGGTTTCCCCAATACAGAAACAATTTAACAAAAATAAAGCGAAAATGGAGAAGCCAAGTGTGAACAACTAAGTACACCTTGTGATTCAATAGCCACCTTTAGCAGCAACAATTTCAAGTAATCGTGTCCTGTGTGACTTTATCAGTCTCTCAAATTGTTTGGAAGGAATTTTGACCCACTTTTCTTTACAACATTGTTTCAGTTCATTGAGGTTTGCTGGCATTTGTTTATGAACAGCTCTCTTAAGGTCTCGCCACAGCATTACAACTGGGTTGAGGTCTGGACTTTCACTGGGCCTCTGCAACACCTTGATTCTCTTCTTTTTCAGCCATTTTGTTGTAGATTTTCTGGTGTGCTTGGGATCATTGTCCTGTTGCATGACCCGATTGAGACCAAGCTTTATCTGTCAAACAGATGGCCTTACATTTGACTCTAGAATACTTTGGTATACAGAGGAGTTCATGGTCGTCTCAATGACTGTAAGGTTCCCAGGTCATGTGGCTGCAAAACAAGCCCAGATCATCCCTCCACCACCATGCTTGACAGTTGGCATGAGGTGTTTGTGCCGATATTCTGAGTTTAGTTTTTGCATTTTTGCCTGTTCATCCAGTAGAGTATTTGTGAGGTCAGGTACTGATGTTGGAGCAGAAGACCTGGCTCGCAATCTCCATTCTAGATCGTCCTAATGGTGTTAGATGTGCGTTGAGTTCAGGGCTCTGTCCGGGCCAGTCAAGTTCTTCCAAACAAGCCTCTTCCAACCATGTCTTTAACCCCTTAAGGACCAAACTTCTGGAATAAACGGGAATCATGACATGTCACACATGTCATGTGTCCTTAAGGGGTTAATAACCTTGCTTTGTGCACTGGGGCACGGTCATGCTAGAATAGAAAAGGGCCTTCCCCAGACTGTTCCTACAAAGTTGGAAGCATATCATTGTCCAAAATGTCTTGGTATGCTGAAACATTAAAATATACCTTCACTGGAAGTAAGGGGCCTAGCCCAACCTCTGAAAAACAGCCTGGATGTTGCCTCAATGCAGTCAGACAGGTCATCGAAATCAGACTTAGATCCCTGACTTGCTATCCCAAGTTTTTCTCTTGTATCCCCAGAAGTCACCAAAAAGCTTCATGCAGGTACTCTGCACAGGGCTACTACAGTAAGCAGACAAAAATATTCCCGCCCTGCACTTTATTCCCCTCACCATATGCAGTCTTACCTCAAATACCACTTTTGACAGCAAGTGATCCAGCGCAAGGCCATAGGCATATTTGGCTTATCTGGCACCCAGGGCAGAAATTTATATTGTCATCCTCCCTAGAACAGTATATTTTTTGTTGTTGTCGTTCTCTCTCTCGTTAGGGAAAGAACAAACATTTAAATGCATATTCACACACAAACATTCATATGAACACACACTTTTATATACACATACTCAAATTCATACACAAACACTCACATTCCTATGCACATACACACATTTTCACACATACTCACATTCATATGCACACACACACCCCTACATATAATCATGTTCATAAACTCACACACAATTGTTTACTATTTGGATTTTATCCCTGGTGTCTGGTTTGGTAGTTTACTGCTGGGATCAATCTCTGCACTGATTGCACAGCTCCCTGCAGTTCTGAACTGATGCCCAGGTTGGGATGATGTTACATCCCAGCAATCATACACAGCAGCAGGGGAGCTGTGCAGCCAGAGCACTGACAAATTCCATCAGCTCCTTCTCTGCCCACTTAGTGATCTGTTAAAGGACCACTATAGTGCCAGGAAAACATACTCGTTTTCCTGGCACTATAGTGCCCTGAGGATGCCCTCACCCTCAGGGACCCCCTCCCGCCCGGCTCTGGAAAGGGGAAAGGGGTAAAAACTTACCTTTTTCCAGCGCTGGGCGGGGAGCTCTCCTCCTCCGATCCTCCTCCGTTCCGCCCCGCCGGCTGAATGCGCACGCGCGGCAAGAGCTGCGCGCGCATTCAGCCAGTCGCATAGGTAAGCATTTACAATGCTTTCCTATGGACGCTTGCGTGCTCTCACTGTGAAAATCACAGTGGGAAGCACGCAAGCGCCTCTAGTGGCTGTCAATGAGACAGCCACTAGAGGAATTGGAGGAAGGCTTAACCCATTAATAAACATAGCAGTTTCTCTGTGTGGATTAACCCTAGCTGGACCTGGCACCCAGACCACTTCATTAAGCTGAAGTGGTCTGGGTGCCTAGAGTGGTCCTTTAAATGGGATCTGCAGAGCAGGCAGGTCTTGCACTGGTGACAGGAGGCAGATTACAACTCCTTTTAGTCTGCTACTGTGCATGGTAGTGCAGTGTGAAAGCCAGAGAGTGGCAATATAATGAAGTACCCTATACTTTCCCCCTTCAAACATGCTCCTCATCTGAGCCCTCAACTGCCAGTGTTAGAGCATCTCCTTAGTAATGCTGGGAGGAACTGATATCTGTTATAATGCATCCTCCAGTGCTTCAGCCTACGAGTTGTGCAGGCTTCCATCTGTTAAAATGCCCACTACGATGCCGCTGGCCAATAGATATGTCTTTCTTCCCAACTGGACCACTAAGCACTCATCTTAAGACGAGTATGTCTGAGAATCTAACATTGTATGTGATTTTTAAGTCTTTTTACAATATTTAGAACACATTTCTACATTTCCCTTTTAAATGTATATTATTATAATCAACTGATGGGTAAGTAGACACTGGGGGGATTCACTCCTATGTTTCACAGAGGGAGTTTGAAGGCCAAACCCTGGTACACTGTATTGTGGTCTATCCTAATTTTGGACGATCAGTGGTTCTTTCAAAATTCTGAACTACAAATTGCTATGAACAAATCACAAACAAATGAAATGGCCAAGGAAGAAATTGTTTAGTTTGTTTCGTGACTCAGAGTTTGTGTAGCGCTAAAAAAAGATGATTGATGGCTAGGAGATTGATAGCTAGCCTCTGAATGTAAGAAAAGAAAAGAGCAGTAGAGCAGTTAATAAATATATAACATATAACTATACAGTGCATTCAGAAAGCATTAAAACTCCTTCATTCTTTTAACTTTTTAGGTTGTCATTTTGTAAATAATTTTTTACATTGATCTACACTCAATACCCCATAATGACAAAGAAAAAAACTGACTTTTGAATAATAAAAAACTTGCTAATTTAAGGACACTATAGTCACCAAAACAACGTTAGCTTTATGAAGCAGTTTTTGTGTGTGTAGATCATGCCTCCTGAAGTTGCACTGCTCAATTAACTGCCATTTAGGAGTTAAATCACTTTTATTTCTGTTTATGCAGCCCAAGTCAAACCTCCCCTGGCTGTGACTGACAAAACCTGTATGAAAACAAAATGGTTTTATTTTCAATCAGATGGAACTAACTTTCAATTTTTTATTTCCTGCTCTGTAAATTGAACTTTAATTACACATAGGAGGATACTGCATGGTCTTTAAAACTATTAACAGAGCAGGAATAAATGAATTCGCAATAAAGGAAGTGTAAACATTAGATGACTCTTTACAGGAAGTGTTTAGCAAGGATGTGCAAGTCACAGTTACTGCAAGATACGTGAAAGCCTAATTGGATTATGGAAAAAAAAAACACCTAAAAGCACCTAAAGGGATCCCAGACTGTTTAGAAAGAAGATGCTCTGGTCTTATGGAAAGAAGATTGAACTGTTTGGTCTCAATTTAAAACATTATGCGAGGAGGAAACCAGGCACCGCTCATCATCCAACATTCCAAACTCTGACATGATATATGAATGAATCACTTGATCTGTTAACCAAAATCTAATTGTTTTCTCCCATATGTACATGATAAGAACCATCTACCTTCTTAAATGGTCTTTAACGTTATGAATATATTTAACGTTATGAATTTTATTTTATTTTTTGCAGCCTGCAGTTTGCAGAGGCTGTAATTCTCGTCTGGAACCCTCCCCCCCACCCCACTATGAGAATAAGCTGCAATAACAATAACCTTTCTTGTGACTCTCTCTGCTCCTGCCCTTCTCCTGGTAATTCTGCAGTTTAAAATACTGTTAAAGCAGCTTGTCACACATAAGTTGTTTTTATTTGGTTTTTTTTAACAGCTCCCCCCTCTTACTTTTGAAACCCATACTTTCCCATTTACGTATTTCGAAACATCCCATAACTGATATGTAACATCACTGGCTTCTCCTGTTTGAGTATGCAACTGTGCAAGCTCTTTGTGAATGTTATGCGTAGCCTTGGGCTAGAAAACTTTAGTTTCTGTTTGTCCATTTGTTTTTCGAATGAAATTCAGCCAAATCTGCAGCCTTTTAGTAGGTAACTCCCTAAATTGGTACCCTTGTGGGATTGCAATATTTATGGGTGCCAAATTAGGAAGCTGTTTAGTTGATAGCTCCTTATTGGTATCCTTATGGCAATCCCACAAGGATTTCAGCTTCTATTTGAAGTTGAAAGACCAACATTTTGAAAAAGTCCTTCCTTTCTTAATTGTGGTCTTTTAGACAAACTTACAAATACTAAGAAGAAATAATTAGTACTAGTAAATAAGATAGGTTAAATTCTCCTTCCTGCCCCTACCCACCGTGCCACAAGTAGGAGCTTATCTACTAAAAAAGGAAGCAGCCAGTGGCCGCTTGCTGTTATAAAAAATGGCAAGTGACTGGGCAGCCCTATCACTAATCCAATAAATGGAGACCTGGCACAGATCCTCCATGGCCCCATGGTGAGTGACCTAATACAATATTTAACTTGGGGGGGAGGGGGGACATAGCATATTTCAAGTACCCCCAACCCTGTCCTGTGAGTGAGAACAATTATACTAAGTGGGCGGGGGGACCATGTGCCACCTGAAGCCCCATCAATTGACGGTGGGTGATGGCCCAAAATAATATCAAGGTGTTCACCTATCGTCTCCCCCCAGCCCCCACTCATTGGAATTGGTGGCCTTAAATAATAATAGACCAATTGTCCCCCCAACCCACATCCACCCATTAGCAGCAGGTGGGGGCCCTAAATATAATGGGTGGGTGGACCTATTGTGCCCCAAGCCCAAACTCATTGATGGCAGGTGGGGGCTAATACTAAAAATTATTTCACCCCAAGCTCTAAGCATAAGCCACAAGCAGGCCCGGACTGGCCATCGGGCATACCGGGCAAATGCCGGTGGGCCGCGATGGCCGTGGGCCGCGATGGCCGTGGGCCGAGGCCCGGCAGGGGAGATCACAGGATCTCCCCTGCCAGCCCCTGCAGGGCCAGTGCTGTCCAAGCGCCGGCCCTGCTGTGTGCCTCCATGGGCCGGTGGGGAGATCAAAGATCTCCCTCACCGGCTCCCTGGCACTGCTATGGGGAGGGAGGGAGGCAGGAGAGCACCCGGAGAGCTCTAGCCAGCAGCTCCGCCGGGTTCCTCTTACACACACACACTGCACCCCGCACACACATGCTGCACCCTTCACACATATACCCAATACGTCCAAACCTAAAATATACACTCTGAATCCTCTACACACAGACTCGGGTCCTTTACACAGTAGATCTGCTACACACACACTACACACACTACATTCCTGACATACAAACTCTCAATCCCCCATGCACACACTACATTCATTGAAAGCAAACACATACAACATTCTCTAAACACAGACTCTCTACAACCCCTACACACACTTTGTCACCTATACACACTATAGCCCGTATGCACACACTCGCTACATCCCCTATACACACTATGCCCCCTATAAACACACAAACTCTACAGCCCCACACATATTACACCACAAACACAAATGAAATTGACCTATTTACACAATACCACACCACAATCAGCTCACTCTACACACACGCAATCCCACAAGCAGGCTCCAAACACATGCACCATACGCTTTCCTTGCCCTTTTGTCCTCTGGTATCCCACTTATGGAGACATCAGAGACAAGTTAAAAGCAAACACAGCGCAAGCATGTTATTAAATTTGCTTGCGCTGCACAGAACAAATACAGGGCCTTTTTCTAATGCTAGAGCTCTTCAGCTGGGCTCTGCGCATTGAACCAACATGCTCACCTTGAGAGGGGGCGTGCTTGTCATTAGTCATGACAAAACACACTGTCTCTGGCCCCGCCCCCTTCTCAGGGGGGGGCGCTGTGATTGATTGAAAAATGCCCGGGACACATTTTTTTCCCAGTACGGCCCTGGTCACAAGTCACACCCCCCCCCCAAAGAAAAATACCCAACCTACCAGCCTCATTCTAATAATAGTGAAGAGATTCAGTAAACTAAATACCTGCATAATGAAAAATTAATACTTACCATTAGATGTCTTCAGCCAAAAAAAAGCCACATAAAAATCTACAAGGGGCAACAAACTATTAAAATATAAAAAGGAACCAATCACAAAAAAGACACACCTAAAAATAAATATATATAGGATTTAATGTTGTGATGAAAGTTTGCTGATGTAAACTGAAACGTTGACAAGTTCTATGGATTAAAACCTTTTTCATTTTTTACAAGTCCTTGAGTGCTGGCTTCATCTGGCAGATTATATATATATATATATATATATATATATAAACAAAACCAGGAGGGCTGCACTCACCTGAACATGCATACATTATAGGGTGCTGCTGGGACCAAAATACAAAATACAAAAACCAGCGCACTCGCTTATTAACTAAACAATGATTTCAAATCCTAAATAGTTTTATTTAAAAACACCTCACCTAGGTAAAGAATAATGGGGATTTAGTTACATTATATGATCATACATTGCATAAGCCTGCCACAACGTCAATGTACCCCATTCTCGGCAGGCCCTACTCTAAGCCACTGGCTGCTCGCTATTTAGTAAACATGCCCCCACTCACAAAATGGTAGGTAGAGGCAGGAGGGAGAAATAAAACTCCCTTATACTAAAATGGGGTTATATTGACCCCCAAAGGCCAAGGGTGAGGGGAGGAGCATTTTTAATGAATTTTAAATATTTTTACTTTTACAAGGTAATTTTAAATATTTTTACTTTTTCTCAACACCCTGCCTCTGGACCGCAAGCGTTCAGAAGAGGAGGGCAGCACAACGGCAGATTTTCCGTATACTATTGCTTCCCCTGCCCTGTTCCTGGACTGCATGAGGAAGATGAGGGACTGGAAGCTTGGCAGCAGAGCAAGTACCACACTGACTAAATGTGCTGCTACCAGTGCTCCAAGAGCTTTGTAGAGAACCAGGTTAAATTTAATTCCAAAAATACAGGAATCTAGTGTAAGCACTAACAACATCTGACAAGAATGGTGTTTTTTTGTAGCTAATCCTAAAAAGACAAAAGACTACACAGATTATATCATGCTTGTGTGGTGTCATTAGAAAAATAGTGTTTGGGTATATAATGACCAATGGGTGTTTTTCTTGTAATTTTGATTTGACAGCAAAGCAGGGGCATTGTATGGGCCCCAGATCCCAAATGTTCACAGTTTACTTTAAATATGACACTATGTTAATACTGATCACAAACCCAAGTGTATTATGTTAACCACATCATAAATGCAAATGTATGACGACAACTGCATTAGTTAAATGGCCAAAGCAGAAAAGACTAAACCTAGGGAAGAGAGATGTATCATTTGCATACAGGTGATAATGAAATTCTAAGGAAAAAAAATGCAACCAAGACGGAGTTCATGAAAGGTAAAAAGAGGAAGCGTGTGGGTCACAGTGTCAGAATTGACAGAAATGCAAAGAATTAGTGGAGCAATTTCAGCTGCATGTTTTAACCAAATTCAGAGGATCACTTAGATTGGACTGTGCAAACGCTAGGAACAAAATAGATGAGAGAAAACAGGCTTGGTAATTAGAGAAGTTTTTATTGAGAGGAGGTATCACAAACTGTTACAAGCAAAAGAAAATGTAAGAAGGAGAGCACTTAAAAAGAGGATATATTGGAGCTGAGGGTGTGAAGAAGGAAGATAGATGGTACATAGTTCCATAGCTGAAAAGAGACTTGCGTTCATCAAGTTCAGCCTTCCTCACATATGTTGTTGCTGTTGATCCAAAAGAAGGCAAAAAACCTGGTCTGAAGCGCTTCCAATTTTGCCACAACCTAGGAAAAAATTCCTTCTTGACCCCAAAATAGCAGTCAGATGTCTCATTGGATCAAGCAGCTATTACTCCACTAATTAGAAATGATATCCCTGTATGTTATGTTTTTGTAAGTATTTATCCAATTTCTGTATGGACTCTGACAAAACCACCTCTTCAGGCAGAGAATTCCATATCCTTATTGTTCTTACTGTAAAAAAACCTTTTCTTTGCCTTAGATTAAATCTCCTTTCTTCCAGCCTAAATGTGTGACCTCGTGTCCTATGTATAGCCCTGTTTATGAATAGATTTCCAGATAAAGGTTTGTACTGGCCCCGAATATATTTGTATAAAGTTATCATATCCCTTCTCAGGCGCCGTGTTTCCAAACTAAACAGATTTAATATTTTTTAACCTTTCTTCATAACTAAAATGCTCCATTCCTTTTATCAATTTTGTAGCTTGTCTCTGGACCCTCTCCAGTGCCATGCTATCCTTCTTTAGAACAGGTGCCCAAAATTGCACAGCATATTCAAGGTGTGGTCTTACCAGCGATTTATAAAGAGGCAAAAATATATTTTCATCCAGAGAATTTATGCCCCTATTTATACATGACAAAATCTTACTGGCCTTAGTAACTGCAGATTGACATTGCATATTGCTGCCTAATTTGTTGTCTATAACAATTCCCAAATCCTTCTCGTGTGTGGTTATCCCTAATTCACTACCATTTAGTGTGTAAGTTGCTTGTGCATTCTTAACCCCGATGTTAAATTTCATCTGCCATGTATAAAGAAGAATGTTTAGAAAAATCCAGATGCAGATAAAGTGAGAAGGTAAATGTGAATCTTGCCTAAAAAGGATGGTTATGCAAAAGATCTAGTATAAAGCAGGAGTTGTAAACAAAGGGCGGAGAAGAATATATGACCCATTTTGAAGCAAGAAAATTGGGTTTTCTCTGATGCTGGACATTCTCATGCAAAACATGAAGACATGCCGTGTCGCTTCATGGAGCCAAACTGTTTGAGAGGAAGTGGTCTGGGTGCCTAGAGCGTCCCTTTAAACCTACCCTTGCAGCGTTTCGTAATTTCTATTCCAGCCTTACATAATTCCTCAAATGCCCTACCAGCCGGAAAGGGTTTATTAGCACCCTACTTTAATTGACTAACTCCAAATCCTCTAAATTGTCTTTAGTACTCTGAAGGAACTATTCATAATGGCTATGGTGGAGAAAAAAATGTAAACAAACCTACTGCCAATGTTTGTGCAATGCATACAGGTCTGTTTAAGTTTCCTAGTGAAAGATGTGTGAAGATTTATGATATATTCACATTTCTGTTATAGCTTCCTAAGGAATACTGTACAGATGCCATGCAATCTCAAAAACAAAAACTCAATCACATCAGTTTGATTTGTGTGAGAAAAAAAAATAATTTAACGACTTTAAACTAAATTAATGAAAAAAGCTTGCCTTAGCAGACTTAAGAGCATTGACCCAGCATTGAACTAATTTGCATTGCCTTCCAATGCAGAAATGCACAACATTCTACATGGGAAGGCAACAGAAATATGGATCAACTCACTGCACAGATTAACCCCTTAAGGACCAAACTTCTGGAATAAAAGGGAATCATGACATGTCACACATGCCATGTGTCCTTAAGGGGTTAAAGGGACCAGACAACTACAACTTATTACATTTGTTCTGGTTAGTAGAATCATTACCAATAGGCTTTTTGCTGTAAACACTGTCTTTTCAGAGAAAATGCAGTGTTTACAGCCTAGTCATAACTTCACTGGCCACTCCTCAAATGGCTGTTAGAGATCCTTCCTGGGTCATGGCTGCCTAAAATGCATCCAAACATTCAGTATCTCCTCCCTCTGCGAGCAGACACTGAGCTTTCCTCATACAGATTCATTGATTCAATTCATTTCTATGAGGAGATGCTGATTGGCCAGGGCTGTGTTTGAATTGTGCTGGCTCTGCCCCTGATCTGCCTCCTTGTCAGTCTCAGCCAATCATATGGGAAAGCATTGTGATTGGATCACGTCACCACTTCTGATGATGTCAGCAGACAGCTTGTTTTTCTGAGGCAAACAGCATGTAGATCTACAGCTCCAGGCTTGAATACAGTAAGATGTTGCTATATTTATGGAGGCATGAGGGTCCTAGGAGGCTAGATGGTGGTTTTAATACAATAGGGTCAGGAATACATGTTTGTATTCCTGACCCTATAGTGATCCTTTAATGACTTGCCACAAAGCTACTATAATATCTGTTTTCCTGGCTATAGCTTCCACTGCTACCTTAGACTGGTGGCGGTTGCTCCCTCGGTTGACCCCACCAGTGTATTTTTTTATATTCTCTCACTACTTTTTCTCACTTGTTTATGTTAAAAACAATGTAAAAAAAATGTATAAATATCACATTACAAGACATTACATTAAATATATATAAATAAAGAATAAAGGAAAACAGAAGTTATGATCAAATATACAAGTTATTGCTTATTTCAAATAAAACGTGGAGAAATCTGTAGAGAACAGGGATCACGGGCTCATCCAGCCGAGCTAACTCTAGGGATAATAGTCATACAGGGGAGCAATCTAACATTAAAGAGAAACTATAGGTTAGGAATACAAAATTGTATGCCAAGCATTATAGTACCCTATAGTGCTCCCGATATAGTGTCCTTTTAATATTCAATTATTATAACAAGATGAGAATGCGTCAATGCCAGGGTTATATATACGCCATAAACCATTCTGCCCAGATCTTATTATATTTGTTGATATGTAGTTTCAAGGCCACTAAGGGAGCTTGTATTGAGATTTGATTGCAAGAAAAAGGAAAGACTTATGTATTGGTTCTACAGAATGAAAGACCTGAAGGATGACTGGATTATCGATGTTCAAGTTTTTACATTTTTTTTGGTCGACTTAAAGTGGAGAGGAGGATAAGGATTACCACTGGCCTTTTTCTCATAAGCATACCAAGGTTTCATTTTTGGGTTTCTATTTCCCCATTCGAGAAAGTGAGCGAACATCACAGTATCATGTATAAATAAAACTTTGAGAAAGGATAGACCCACAATCAGCTAACCGTGTTGTCATTACTGTGAACGCAATACTAGGAGTCTTATCTCCCCAGATGTATGATAGAAATAGATTATGAAATTGATATCACAGCTTCCTGGGTACTCTAAGAGGAATAGTGTGAAAAATGTACTCCAACCTAGGTAACAGGTATGCTCTAAGAATATTTATTCTCCCAAGCCATGATATCTTTAATGTTTCATAGGAATTATGGGATATGTGCAAAACAGCATGATTGCATGAGCATTAATTGTTTCCTTCATCACTGCAGAAGGTAGTTACATCCTGCATTTGTCAATCACTGTACCTGCTGCAAATGAGGAACAAATGTTGTGTATTATTCTTTATTATTATTATTTTTAAATAATTAAATATACATTTTCTATGGGCACTCTCACTCAGCTCCATAGTGTGCCTATTCAGTGGAGATTGGCCTAATAAATTGATTTCCCATATTTTTTTAATATGGAAGCCCATATATCTTCTATAGATTTGAGTTAATAGGTATTCATTATATTATCAAGTACAGTAGAGCCTACTGGGAGCAATAATGTTTTTTCAGGAAGGTTTTGTGCTGCATGTAGAGGACAATGGTTTGAAATGTTTTATGATTCACAGATACTGTTTTGCAAATTAAATATTAATTCTAGTAAGGGATAGCCCTAACATGCTAGAAAAGCGAATTGCCTGTCACTTTGGACCACTTTGTTATTAATAAGAAATAAGTCTCTGCAATGCGTTTTAGAAAAAAATAGCTTGGGAATAGGTAGGAGCTATTTAGAAATATACTTTGTTGACTATAGTTTAGTTCCAATCGAGTTCTTATTTATACACTTTCCTTGAAATCTTAAATAATGTGTTTGGGTTTTTCTTACCAGGAAAACAAAGTTTGGAAACACTTTTACACAGACTGTTAACCTTCATTATCAAGCATTGTTTTGCTACAAAATCTTAACAAAACACTTACTTGAAACATGGGTGGTATAGTTAGTACATGAACACATGATAAAACAGCAATTTTGTTTGCAGATTGCTGTTCAGACAACTGTAAATATATAAATTATGCATTTTTACACATTTATTTTCCTTTTATTACTTCATCGTTTATAGAAATATCTGGGTAATTAATGTTTGGGTAATGAAAAGCTTTAGACAGCATGCTGTATCCTTTATCTTACAATATCTCATAAGGGTTTGACATATATAAAGCAAAACTATAATTTTTCTTACATACAGTAGGTGAGACAGAAAAATCAAACCATGTATATGGTCAAATATAATGCCTATATTTATTTGTTAGGACCCTGATGACATTATTAGCAGTACAGGTCACCAGAAATGGCAACAGAATATAAAAAGAATGTATGAATTTGAGCATAATGCCCACATATACTAAGTACAATTAAATCATATATTTCCACAAAAGAAAAGCTATTTAAAAAAATTATAGCAATCTCTGTAATACTAATGTAATACCAAGAGACATATGGTAGAACTCATTCACTCCTCCTCTCTCCCTGACTCTTGAATGATATGATATTTGAAGCTTCATTTACTGTTTGGAAGTGTTCCTTTAATGTCAGCCAGACGTTAAACGAACACTCCATGCACCAAAGCAACTAACATGATGAAGTGGATTGGGTATATAGATCATGCCCCTACAGTCTCAAAGCTCAGCTTTCTGTCATTTAGGAGTTAAATCTAATTATTTATGCAGCCATAACCATATCATTCTTGGATGTGACTCATTCAGCCTCCCTACACACTCCCTAAAATAGCTCTCAAATTTTGTAGGTTACTTTGTTGCACAGTGTGTTTAATTTAGAAGTTATTATCTCCTGCTCTGTCAATTGTTTGCTAGAGCCTGCAACAGCTTCCTATGTATGAGTACATTTCAAGTAACAGAGCAAGAGATAAGAATTTCTAAAGTAAATACACTGTTCTGTAATACTTGAAAATAAATGCTTTCTTTTATGGAGGTTGTGTGAGTTACAGCCAGGAGAACTGTAACTCACACAACCTCTGCACCCCTTATACCAAACCAGGGGTTTGGTATAAGGTGTGCAGGGCTTTTGTAGAAGGTGGCAGTGGTTTTGGTGGAGGGGAGGAGATTTTAGTGATATTATGTGTACATTGCTGTATAGTAGATATATATAATGATATATAATGATAGCATGTGTTTTGTTAAAGGGGGAGAAGGTACTTTGTAGAAGGGGGGCAGGGGTTTTGTTAAAGGGGGAGCAGGGGTTTTAGTAAAAAGGGGGGCAGGGTTTTTGTAGAAAGGGGGCAGGGGTTTTGTGGAAGGGTTTTGTAGTAGGCGTAACAGGGTTATTGTAGAAGGATCAAGTGTTTTGCTGAAGGGTGGGGGCGCCACGAGGTGGGCTCGCACAGGGCGCCTGATCATCTACCAGTACTCTTTTAGCACGTAACCATATTTTTGTGTGTTTTTCATTAACCAAAGCTTATTTTAGTGCTTAACGTATCCCTTTAAATAATTGGAATGGCAACAAAATGTGCTCTTCTATAAGCTGGTAATTATGCTTGGTGTGTAAATGTAGGTAAGTAAGCCTTTAGGTAATACATTTCATGTTGCAAAGAAAATTAAAGTAAAAACTATAAAGTGTACACATGATTTTGTTGTGAAGAAATGTAACACTTGTGCAGGTGACTGATAACGTGTAAGGGACAAAAAAAAAGTATTCAACTGGTTTATTCCCTTTTTATTTATTTATAGCCATGGTCAGACTGACCGTTGTTTCATTACTTACTTTTTCCCTATTTTTGTACTTCACGTTTTTTTTTACAGTGCAGAAGAACACATATTTAGGCCGGGCATGATAAAAAGCTAAAAACAATATTTTTTACAGATTCTCCTGTGATTTTGCAATCTCACTTTCAATTTAAAGGGTAGCCAAGGATGCCTCCTGCCACCTCGCTGGTAACTGAAATGCAACCATGAAATATGAACTACAAAGGTTGCTGTAAGTTATGTAAGAAGGGAGATGCAGAGAGGCAGAAATTGGCCTAAGCAGATAAATGTTTTTTTTTGTATCGTATGTATTGAAAGAAAATTGACGAAGAAGTGACGCGACGAATTAGAAACAGATGCGACCTCTGCGTCACCGAGGAGTATGGAAGGGGAATGAAATGGAGACATGAAATGCAATGCACTTCCGATGAACCAGTAGATTGCGTGCGTTTGTCCCCAATAATTCCGTGTCGTAGAGAAACCCCAAAAAAATTAAAATGAGGCTTGGAATGCACACGTTTGGCCCTAATTACCCCCTATTAAGGAGGTATAAAAACAGGAGCCTCACCATAGGATATATATATATACCCAGTTGATGAAGCCTGAGGCGATACGTGTTCTGGAATAATTTATAGTTATTTTATATAATATTTGTTTGTATATTATAAATTATTGCACTTAATGCATGTTTACTACATCATGCTAAAGAAGGTGGTATGGCCCTTAGCAATACAAGTGTGAAAAGTGAGCTAGAGGCTCTTTACTTGTGAGTACCCTGTTTTAAATAGATTTTATAAAATATTTTAATACAGTGCTACTCTATGTATTTACTCCTTTATGTCACTCCATAGGATACTTCAAGAAGATAAGTGGTAACAAGAATGGGAAGGGTCACCTCTACGAACACTGCAGCTATTAAAGGATCACTATAGGCACCCAGACCACTTCAGCTTAATGAAGTGGTCTGGGTGCCAGGTCCAGCTAAGGTTAACCCTTTTTTTTATAAACATAGCAGATTCAGAGAAACTGCTATGTTTATAAATGGGTTAATCCAGCCTCCAGTGGCTGTCTCTTGACAGCCGCTAGAGGCGCTTGCGTGCTTCTCACTGTGAAAATCACAGTGAGAAGACGCCAGCGTCCATAGGAAAGCATTGTGAATGCTTTCCTATGGACTGGCTGAATGCGCGAGCGGCTCCTGCCGTACATGCGCATTCAGCCGACGGGGAGGAGAAGAGGGAGGAGAGGATGAAGAGAGCTCCCCGCCCGGCGCTGGAGAAAGAGGTAAGTTTAACCCCTTCCTGTCCCCAGAGCCCGGCAGTAGGGGGCCCTGAGGGTGGGGGCCCTCAGGGCACTATAGTGCCAGGAAAACATGTATGTGTAACGTGTATGTTTTCCTGGCACTATAGTGGTCCTTTAATACCAGAGCTAGGTGTGATAGCTCAAAATTATGTGTGTTCTATTGTCACTCTTAAAAGTTTAGGTCTTATTTAATTTTTCAAAGCATATTGGGGACCCAAAAGACCCATATATAGCACTTATAAGGTATTAAGTGTGATTTGTAATATTATTCACTTATTCATTCTATAAGCGTGACACTATAATTTTGTTATTCTGGGTTTTTTTTCGTTTGTGATTAAAACCAGTGCTAAAATGAAACAGAAGGTCAGTGATGTTTTTTTGGAATAAATTGGTCTATTTGTATAATAGCTTTTTAAACAAAGATAAAAAAAAATGTTGATATTTCAGAGAAGAAGACTGTAACCTTTTCTGAGTTACAATTGCAAATTTCTTTATTGATGGGTTATTCCTTCTCTTGAATTTTAAAAAATTAAGCTTTTTCCCAAAATAAATGCAGACATTTTTGAAAGCATCCAAGGCTTTTGTAAAAAAAACAGAACTTTCTTTTTAGTAAATATACCTACGCGTTTGCTTTAGTGACATGACTAATGTTTTTACAAGGAGCACTGTAACAGTCAGTGAGCAGAATTTCACAAAACAAATTTTGGAAAGCATGAAAACCCTGCACAGTATGCATATTACTAGCTTCCATTCACCTAATTACACCAAAACAGATGTACAGTGCATGCCAAGAGGTTCCAGGTCTGGCCTTAAAGGGGTACACCATTGATAATACCCACTACAGCCCATTGTAGGAGTACCCTGTTTCTGTTCCCACGTAATGGGGCAAACCACTTAGCAATGTTTTGCCCCCTTATCTAGGTCCCTGCCCATTTGTGATGCTCAATAGTGTTCTAGTGATATGTGTGGCGAAACCAGCCTCGCCACTGTCCACTGGAGGAGCCTGGTTGCTCGCCTGCTCCCTTTAGACTATGGCCCGGCAGTTAAAACCTTTTATTTTCCCTGCAAAGCATATTCATGCCTTTCTGTAGACTGTTAAAGCCATGCTACCCCAGATAGCTATGCCATGGAGCCCAGCCGTATACTGAAAGACTGTATGAAAGACTTTGGCTCCATGGCGATTGAACTGTATTTATGTGATCTGAGCGCCATTCGGTAGTAATGTGCACTCAGATCTAAGCTATCTGGGGATATGTAGAATGTCTATGTTTTATGGAATAAATGTAACTGTATGTAATTTTATGTCTTTTATTGTATTGTTACTGCCATGTGGTTAATGAAGTCTTGCCTCTGTCCTGGGAGATAATTGGATTACTTCACAGTTATCTCCTGGACAGAGAGGAGGGATTGTGATGTAAATGTGGGTGTGTTTTATGGTTCCCCTGTAACGATTGGTTGTACTGTGTCCCACCCTGTGGGATGTCCCCTTGCATGGGGACTTGCATAAAAGCCAGTGTGTGGCCATTACAGGCAGTTCCTGCTTAACCCTCAAAGTGAAGTGTCGTCTTATTATTGGGGGAGGATTTATTGTATGCTGTTCCAGTTTGACTGCTAGTAGAGTAAACCTATTCGTATGGTTCCTATTCAACTGTCTACAGCATTCATATGCTTGAGAGGATTCATATGCTTCTCCGGTTCGGTGGTTGTGGTGTCTGCTGCAGTGCTAGGAGCATCCTTTAACGGAGGTACCCAGTCGGGGTGCCAGGTGATCCGTTACAATATGCCTTTAGCTTCTGTAGAGCGCCAGACCCCAGAAGCCGTGGTGGTCGCCATTCATTGGCTGAAACTGTCAGCTGACTTTTGTCAGTCAACCAATCAACTGGCTGATGACAACCACATGATGCTGCCAGAGGTGAAGTTATACCTCTGGCAGCAAAATGGATTATCTCTGTATGTGCAGCTTTCAAAAGCGACTCCAGGTACCATGGCCACATAAAATCACTGAAATGGCCATTGTGCTTGGAGTAATACTTTAGGAATGTGCAACCTAGGAAATATGAATGGGCAGCTGACTGTGGCAAACCATGTACTATTTTGAACCTACCTTCCCTGAAAGAGCTACTTCACTAACCATGGCTCAGTGCTGTGTCCTCCTCTATGTGATACTCCCAAAAGAGCATCTACCTTGGCAAGAATTCAGTTCCTAAGTCCTGAATGATCCCCAGCAGGACCGAGCACCAAAGTATGTGGAACTCCGGCTCGGCTGCATTCTGATCGCCCGGTCAACTTACACCTATGTTCCACCCTACTTCCCAACCTGCCAAGAAAGTGTCATTTGGAGGGGAGGTATTGGGGGAGGTGGGGTGGTATGAGAGGGAGAAGGGAGGGGAAGACAGAAAAGACTAATCACTCCCTGAGAGCCGGGGGAGCCGCCTTTCGTTTGTCCGCAGGAGATCTCGATATTCAACCACCCAAAGCCCTAATTGTTCTGGATCTCTTTTGGGCATAGACCACGTGTATGGCCAGTGAAAACTTTACCACGATTTTTCATCTCTTCATGGATCTGGGCGCTATTTGACCAACATGAGTGTGACGGAACGCTGGCACTCCGACTGAGTACCTCCACCAATCGATGCTCCTAGTGCTCGCTGAGGACTCCAAGCACTCCAACCGACACCATCAGCACTGCAGACCCCACTTCCAGCGATGCAACTGCGCCAGGGTCTCTGCTGTCTCCACCCACCCTGGACCCAAGGCCAGGATCCAGCTTCCAGTGGGTGAACCTCTCTTTCCCCAGAGAGCAGGAACAGGAACAAGCTCTTAGCAGAACTTAGTGATCATACCCATGGGAGTATAGTGATTATAGCAATCCCCAGAGTGTATTTCTCCAATCCCCCAAACATGAGCCAAAGCTTAATGCTGGAACAAGACTGATTTACTGGCACACAGAACTCACAATTTATGCAACACAAGACTCCTCCTCTGGGCCAGGCTAGATAATTGAGTTTCTACAATACACAAAGCTCAATTATCTGCTGGCCAGAAATAATACAGTTTCATAAAACACATCACAGGGACCCCAAAACATGCAATAACCCCATAAAAATATCCGTGGAACCGGGGGATCTGGGTGAACCACATATCCAAAATTCACCCAGATCCGTTCAGTACTTTGGTGAGAAAGAAAGAGAAAGTGTGAGAAAGAAACAGATCTCTTCTATCGACATGGACCCAGCTGAAGTCCCTATGCCCACAATGAACTGGGAAGCAAGCAACTTGCCTGATGCATGGCAGAAGTTCAGACAACATGCAAATCTCACTGAACCCTGAAAAGTAAGAGTGAGGGTGAAAGATGTAATTATCTTCTCCTATGGATTAGTGAAACGGGCATAGACATTTTTAGTACATGGTCCCTACCTGCAGAAAATGCTATGTCATTAAAGTCATATTATGACCATTTTGCAGCATATGTTGAGCCCAAAGCAAACATGATATTTGCATGATACAATTCCATGACAAAAAAACAGCAGGCTCAGAAATACTTTGAATAGTTCATAATAGATTTGTGGCTCCTTGCTCGGCACTGCTATTATGCTCAGAGTGATCATATAATCCGAGACTGCATTGTCTTCAGCATACACTCTCCAAGGGTAGGGAGAGAAATGATTAAAAGTTGGGTCTGAGTTGGAGGGGGCGGAGCTAAACCACAGAGCCGGCCAGACGTACTTCATAAAAGCTCCGGGCGATCCCAAATAATAAAAGGGGCTTTTCCCACTAAAAATCTGCGCTTACGACCCAGATTGCTCCCATACCTCGGTGAACCACGGACAGCTGATATTCCTATCTGCGTGGGGCAGAATTACCAGGACTCTGCACTCCTAGACACGGTCGAAACTGAGGCCTACTACGCATGGGCAGGAAGGAGTTGGCAACTCCTGCTGCTCTTGGACTCTCAGGAGACCACCAGAGTTTCTCCAACCCCCAACCCCCTTAAAAAGTGAGGGAAATCATGGTATGCCCAGAGGGTACAATGGGACACAAGCACAAGAAGCCTTACCATATAGAGAGGCCTGCACTCCCAGACATCAGACTGTCATTTGAAAGACCGGCCCAGCAGTTACCTGCCAGAGAGGTGTCTGTGCCCCAGAGTGAGCCAGAAGTCTCAGATCACTCACAAGACTCACAGGATGAAGGGGAATCCAGTACACGGCTTCCTTCTGGTAGAGTGTACCATAACGCAGATTCTGATAATGATTCATCTCCCTCGACAAAAGGGGACATCAAGAGACTACTTGTGGATCTTAGACAGGTCTGGAAGGCAGACCTACAAGAGGCTCAAGCCGAAATGGGCATCCTACACCAGAAAGTGTCTGCTGTGGAGGAGAGGGAGAAGACATGAGTCAGTGAGCTACAGAACCCAAAACACCAAATGGAGGGCCTTAGCTTACAGGTCAAATTGCTGCACAAGGTGGTGTCCTCCCTGGAATCCCACCACCGCCGTCGGAACATATGCCTACAAGGTATTCCTGAAGAGATCAGCGGAGGCGCAGCCTTGCCATTTGTCCAAAGAATGGTTGCCTTTATTGGTATACAATGCGAAGCAGATGCCCGAGTTATTCTGTCCTCTTTTAGAGTAAGAAAATCAGCTGCTGCACCGGCAGGAGCATCCAGAGATGTTATTGCAACTACAAGAGACATTGCAGTGAGAACTGCTATTATGGCCAAGTCTAGATCTTTTGGGAAGGTGAACTGAATTGTTGCATTGCTTCCAGTCTTGAAATAGTCTTTACCTGTTTATTCCTCAAAAAAATAAAGGGAACACAAAAATAACACATCCTAGATCTGAATGAATTAAATATTCTTCTGAAATACTTTGTTCTTTACATAGTTGAATGTGCTGACAACAAAATCACACAAAAATGAAAAAATGGAAATCACATTTTTCAACCCACGGAGGTCTGTATTTGGAGTCACACTCAAAATTAAAGTGGAAAAACACACTACAGGCTGATCCAACTTTGATGTAATGTCCTTAAAACAAGTAAAAATGAGGCTCAGTAGTGTGTGTCCTCCACGTGCCTGTATGACCTTCCTACAACGCCTGTGCACGCTCCTGATGAGTTGGCGGATGGTCTCCTGAGGGATCTCCTCCCAGACTTGGACTAAAGCATCTGCCAACTCCTGGACAGTCTGTGGTGCAACGTGATGTTGGTGGATGGAGTGAGACATGATGTCCCAGATGTGCTCAATTGGATTCAGGTATGGGGAACGGGCGGGCCAGTCCATAGCATCAATGCCTTCGTCTTGCAGGAACTGCTGACACACTCCAGCCACATGAGGTCTAGCATTGTCTTGAATTGGGAGGAACCCAGGCCCAACCGCATCAGCATATGGTCTCACAAGGGGTCTGAGGATCTCATCTCGGTACCTAATGGCAGTCAGGCTACCTCTGGTGAGCACATGGAGGGCTGTGTGGCCCCCCAAAGAAATGCCACCCCACACCATTACTGACAAACTGACAAACTGGTCATGCTGGAGGATGTTGCAGGCAGCAGAACGCCCTCCAGACTCTGTCACGTCTGTCACATGTGCTCAGTGTGAACCTGCCTTCATCTGTGAAGAGCACAGGGCGCCAGTGGCGAATTTGCCAATCTTGGTGTTCTCTGGCAAATGGCAAACGTCCTGCATGGTGTTGGGCTGTAAGCACAACCCCCACCTGTGGACGTCGGGCCCTCATATCACCCTCATGGAGTCTGTTTCTGACCATTTGTTCAGTCACATGCACATTTGTGGCCTGCTGGAGGTCATTTTGCAGGGCTCTGGCAGTGCTCCTCCTGTTCCTCCTTGCACATGGGCGGAGGTAGTGGTCCTGCTGCTGGGTTGTTGCCCTCCTATGGCCTCCTCCATGTTTCGTGATGTACTGGCCTGTCTCCTGGTAGCGCCTTCATGCTCTGGACACTAAGCTGACAGACACAGCAAACCTTCTTGCCACAGCTCGCATTGATGTGCCATCCTGGATGAGCTGCACTACCTGAGCCACTTGTGTGGGTTGTAGACTCCATCTCATGCTACCACTAGGGTGAAAGCACTGCCAGCTTTCAAAAGTGACCAAAACATCAGCCAGGAAGCATAGGAACTGAGAAGTGGTCTGTGGTCACCATTTGCAGAAGCACACCTTTATTGGGGGTGTCTTGCTAATTGCCTATAACCTCCACCTGTTGTCTATCCCATTTGCACAACAGCATGTGAAATTGATTGTCACTCAGTGTTGCTTCCTAAGTGGACAGTTTGATTTCACAGAAGTGTGATTGACTTGTAGTTATATTGTGTTGTTTAAGTGTTCCCTTTATTTTTTTGAGCAGTGTATATTGGTTGTATGCTTTGTTTACAAAACCAAATAAAAACCAAGTTAAAAAAAAATAAGTTGGGTCTTTGTTAACACTAGAAAAAGTAATTGATATTGCCAGATGACCTGAGTTGGCCCAGACACAGCTACGTAGATCTCCAAGGATTCTCCACGTGGTGATACCATTCACAAAGTTTCATGCCATACTAGCAATGGTGCAGACTGGAGACAACATAGCATCCGTCGCAAGCAAGTATGAACAAGCTTTACAATCTCGTGCCTCTGACTACTGGGGAAATAAGCACCATTCCACCTGCTATCAAAGTCCTGAAAGGGGAAAATGTGCAATTCATGTGGAAAGCTTCGCCAAAGTGTGCCGTTTCATCTGCGGAAAAATGGTCCATTACATGTTCGTAGACTCTGTGACTAGTGATGTCCCGAACAGTTCGCCGAACGGTTCGCCACGAACGGTTCACCACGGACTCATCATTGAGTAAACTTTGACCCTGTACCTCACAGTCAGCAGACACATTCCAGCCAATCAGCAGCAGACCCTCCCTCCCAGACCCTCCCACCTCCTGGACAGCATCCATTGTGAAGCTGCATTCTTAGTGAGCGTCCAGGAGGTGGGAGAGTCTGGGAGGGAGGGTCTGCTGCTGATTGGCTGGAATGTGTCTGCTGACTGTGAGGTACAGGGTCAAAGTTTACTCAATGATGAGTGCGTGGCGAACCGTTCGCGGCAAACCGTTCGCGAACCGTTCGGCGAACCGTTCGGGACATCACTATCTGTGACCCATAACAATCACAGTGCAGAACAAGCCAAAACCAATTGAAATTCATTTTAAGATAGACACTCGATCCTCAGCTAACATTCCCCTATGCAAATACAATAAGCTGAAAACCAAATGCACTGTGTGACGGCACCTCGCCACATACAGTTGTAATCAAAATTATTCATTTCCCATTGAAAATAACTATATTGTCAAAACTACAGACTTTCAGCTGTTTGCAATGAGCAAACCAGTCTCCAAACTATTCAATCTCTTCATAGCAAGCATCTTTACTACTTATAGAGCTCAAAGTAGAGTACTTTGCTGTTATGACCTGCTGCAAACAAGGTGCATAGCCAGCTTCTGGCAGCGTTCCTGAGGAATCTTAGAACATTGCTCATGAGCAGTGGCCTCCAGTTTAGTAATATTCTTGGGTTTGCGTGCTGTAACCACCTACTGATCCATTGGGCCGAAAAGTTCCAGTTTTGTTACATCATTCCACAGAATAGAATCCTCAGACTTCTGTGGCTTCTCTATATGATTTTGGGCATACTGATTTATTTTCTTGTGCTTTTGGGTCAGTAGTGGTATGGAAACGTTCTGCATTTAGTACTGGTCTTACCATGCTCACTGAAACCTCAGTTCGCAGTCATTCTATTTTAACAACCAGTAATCTCAGAAATCTGGTTGCAGCCATTGATAGATTCCTTTTTCTGTCCAGTCAGGTAGTATAACCACTGTTCCTTCAACTTTGAACTTGTGAACTATGCTTCTAACAGTGTCTCTTCAAACATTCAGTGCATTGCTATCTTTTTGTATCCTGTTCCTTTTTTGTGAAGGGTGATGATCTCTTCTCTTAACTTTGTGGGCCATTCTTTTGACTTATCATCATATTTCTAACATGCAGTCAAACATGACATTCAAGAAAACCCCTAGCCAGTTCAGGTAGTTCAAGTGGTTCAGCTCCAGTGCACTTTGTGCAAATAATGAAGCCCTTAATTAGCTGCATTAGGGGTGTTTGAGACAACGCCTTTTTTGCATATTTGTTCTGTTGTGAGGGATTCTGTTCAGGGGGTTAAATAATTTTGAGACTGGAGAAGTTAAATTTTCAGTTGAATTAGGGGAAACCACTTGAAGCATTCATTGTTTTGAGCTATTTCAATTGCTTTTGTTTGATTTGTTCATTGCAAACAGCTAAAAGTCTGTACATTTTGACAATATACCAGATTTTCAATGGAGGTTGAATGATTTTCATTACAACTGTATATGGCTACGGTAGTGAATGCTTGGCAGTTAAAAGCAAATGTGACCTGAAATGCCAGCATAAAGACGCTCAAATGTTCCTGACATTCTATATCATCAACAAGAGAGCACCTTCTGTCATAGACCTAAAAAGCAGCATAGATTTTTGCCTCATTAAAATGTTACTATCTGTAGCAAGCATTCCTAGTGGTGTACCATGATGGAGAACTTTGCAGACATCTTCAAAGGAATCGATTTTCCCTGGAGAGTGTACCATACACTTAAACTCACAGGCAGCATCAATAGTGCACCCACCGGGACACAGCCCTCTCACATTACACAGCGCCTAAAAGAAGAACTCGAAAGCATATGAAGTCAGAGCGTCATCATGGTTATTGCTGAGAAGCCACGTACAGGAAAATTATGGGTATGTCTAGATCTAACGGATCTCAATAGGGAAATCAAATGACCTCATTATCCTTTACCTATTCTCGAATATATAACACCCAAGCTAGCAGGTGCTCAGTACTTTAGTGTCTTAGATGCTAGATATGGATATTGGGCTATTAGCTCACTGAAGTATCCTCCAAACTCACTACTTTTAAACAGTGTTCGGGCGATACAGGCTCAAACATCATCCTTTTTCACCTACGGGAAAACCAAAGCAGAGCATGATCAAAACCTTGCCACTGTGTTACAGCTTTCCAGAAAAAAGAGGTGTCAGGCTTAACCCAGAAAAAAAACATAATTTGTGCCACAGAAGTCTGTTACTTTAGGAATCTCTTCACAACTGATGGAATAAAACTTGCTCCTGCTAAAATCCCTGTGGTGAGAGACATAAAGTCACCGAAAGACTAAAGTGAACTTGAGACAGTACAAGGCATGGTCAACTACCTCTCAAAATTTGTACAGAACCTTTCTGATGTCACCCCACCTTTGCACCAACTTCTAAAGAAATCAAGTAAATTTGTGTGGGACACGCAACTAGACGAAGATTTCAACACAATTAAAAGAGCTGCTCACATGCGAGCCAGTACCAGTGTTAGGATATTTTAATCCTTAGAAAGAACAAAGACTGCAAATTGATGTTTCCAAATATGGACTTGAAGTGGTATTACTGCAAGATGGAAGACCTATTGTGTATGCATCAAAATCACTCACTGAAAATGAAATTAACTACTTGCAAATTGAAATAACTTTTTGCCATACTGTTTGGCTTCAAGAGTTTTCATCACTATATCAATGGGCGCCATATCCTCATGAAAAGTGATCATTAATCCTTAGAGTCCATAATGCACAAACCCATGACATTTAGTCCTCTACAACTGCAAAGAAGGATTCTACAGCTCCAGAGGTATAACTTCACTATCACTCACTATCCAGTCAAAGACATTCCAGCTGTAGACACGCTGTCCAGAAAGTCATTATCTGACTAAGACTCAAGCCTCAGTGACGGTATGGACATACAAGCGTACACTGTATACAGCAGTCTTCCTGTCAGTCATCCAAAGACTCAGACTGAAAGGAACCCACAGGTTCAAATACTTAAGGACAATATACAAAATTGTTGGCCCGATGACAGAAATAAATCCCCCCAAAATTTCTTGAAATCCTAGAATCACCGAGATGAACTTTCATACCTACATGGCATAATCTTTAAAGGTGAGAACATTGTCATTCCCTCAAGCCTTCGTCCTGACATGCTGTCACGCATACATAACAGCAACCAAGGCATTGATATATGCCTCACATATTGTACCTCCAACTTTAGAGAGCCCATTATTAGCGACATCAGACAGTACCGTGGCAAAAAGTGGCTACTGACTTATTCACCTGGCACAATATTGATTATCTCAAAACTGTTGATTACTACAGCAGATATGTAGAGCTTGACAAACTTCACAGCATGTCATCAGCTGCTGTAATACATAAGTTAAAGGCTGCCTTTGCCAGACATGGGATCCCAGAGACATTCATATCAGACAATGGCCCCCATTATGTATCCAGCGAATTTAAAGCATTGGCCAAAGCAAGTTGTTTTTCTAACATAACTTCAAGTCCATTATATCTGGAAAGCAATGGATTAGTTGACACTGACACTTACACTGACAATGGGGAGGGGCGTCACTCATACATATTGTACAGGACACCTGCAGGCCTAAGGCAGTCCCTTGAAGCTCCTATTCATTTCAATATCGGATGCACCTCATATGTCACACTCATTCTGTCACATCGAAAAAGTTAATGCATTTTGCAGGTAAGTACATTTTTAATTTAAAGATAAATTTATGGCATAGTACAAGATACCTTAAAGGGACATTATAGGCACCCAGACCAAATAAGTTCATTGCAGTGGTCTGGGTGAAGTGTCCCAGGTCCCTTAACCGTGCAATGGTAATTATTGCAGTTTTTGATGAACTGCAATAATTGACTTGGAGGGTAAACTCCACCTCTAGTGGCTGTCTACCAGAGAGCCACTAAAGGGAATTCCGGGTTGTTAGGCGACTTTTGGTCGCCTGACGATGGACGTCCTTACTCTATGCATGAGGATCTCCAGCATCACCCAAAAACCCATAGAAAAGCATCACCCAAAAACCCATATAATGCTTTTCCATGGGAGAAATCCTAATGTGAGCATGGCACTCGCCATGCATGCGCATTAGGTCTCCCCCACCGGCTGACGTTGGAAGGGAAGGAGCAGAGGCGGAGCCTGAACCAGCACCAAGGTGAATCTGCGTTGGAATCAGGTAGGTGGCATTAGGCACACTAACAGACACACACACACTCACAGACACACACACCCTAACAGACACACACACACTCACACTAACAGACACACACACACTCACTAACAGACACACACTAACAGACACACACTCACTCACTAACAGACACACACTCACTCACCAACAGACACACACTAACAGCCACATACTATCAGACACACACACTCACTCACATTAACACACTAATTTTTTTTTAATTTAACCCTCTCCCCTTACCTTTGGAAATGCTGGGGGGGGGGTTCTCCCTCTCCCTGGGGTCTAGTGGGGCTGCTGGGCGGTCGGGCGGCGCTGGCGAGGGAGCACTTTCCCCTGAGTGCTTTGCTCAGCTCCCTCGCGCGCCGCAGAGTGATGCCAGGAGCTGGAATATGACGTCATATTCCGGCTCCCGGCATCACTCTGCGGCGTGCAAGGGAGCTGAGCAGAGTGCTCAGGAGAAAGTGCTCCCTCGCCAGCGCCGCCCGCCTGACCGGATTGGTAGTTAACCGCAGGGCTAACAAGACATTTGCCCTGGGCATTTGGGGCAGCTTTTTTTGCCGCCCCCTGGAAAGTGCCGCCAAAGGCAAATGCCTTGTTTGCTTCGTGGCTAATACGTCCCTGGTCAGCTCCGGGCCCCAAGCAATTGCTTGGTTTGCTTGCCTTGTCGCAACAGGCCTGTCTGTATGTATACACATTTTTAGATTTCTGTGTGAGCTCCTGGTCCATAGCCAAACGTTTTATGTTTTCCTTCTCATACACTATAAACTACAAACAGTTAGCAGGTTAATTTACTTAAGTGCAAATTGTCAGGAATTCAACATTTAGACAAACATAGCCAAACTGGAAGATTAGCTGACTTGGAGAATTTTTTTTCAGATTTGCTACTTTTTCCTTAAATGTGGAATTCCATTTTAATTTATTTTGAATTTCAAACAAGTCTCATCATCAAACTGAGAAGAAGAGGATACATTGTGGCCTACATGGAAATACTAATTCTAGGAACAAATTAAACTAGATAAATACAGAGCAACACTTACTAGATTTGTGTTTGAGTTTAATGGATCCACTGTTGTAAACTGTGCTGTCATGTAGACTGTGATTTTTTTTTATATAGATGAACTTGGAAAAGGTTTGCCTAAGGTAAGACAGATCCTTTCAAGAGCTTCTGCTCACAACAGGTGTCACTGTATTTCCAACCGCACCAATGAATAGGAATGATATAGGCAAACACTAAGTTTAGTTTGTAAGTTGATACCAGTAACCTTAACAAATACCTTGTGAAATACTCTTAAGATACAATTGAATTCTCATAATTCTGCCATTTTAGGTCTTCACAGAATTCAGTACATCCCTTCTTAACAAATAAAAATGACTCAATAGACTTAATAACGACTTAATTCTTGACACTAAAAAGTAATTCTCGTCTTATAAAATATAGAGGACTATACACAAGAAGAAGTTATGTCACCCCACCCAACACCCACAACCAAAACTTTATGACTTCATTCTATTCTAACTGTAGAATTTGCCAACATATACAAATGTGGGCTTATCATGGAGTTGACTATTTAAAAACAACTTTATTCAAATTAAGATTTAGTATAATAATGTAATAGACATTTCTTATATAGCTATATAGTAACATAACATAATTTTATGTCATTGTCATTGGCACGTCAATCATGTGCAAGTGAGAGGATATCCTTTGGTCTTTATATGGAAAAACTCAACATATCAGTGTCTTTATTGTCTAGTTATAACATGGAGATGGACATAACTGTCAAATGTTCACTGTATTTAAACTCCATGTATAGGGTGGGGCCCTTGGGAAAATAGCTAATGTCCAGATGTAGTCAAGGGCTACATTGACAAATATATTATCATGGGCATAATTCTAAATTTGCTTCTTTTTTTTTTTTTTTTGTGAGCAAAAATAGACCAGAAAGATTATTTAGCACCTGATTCACCTATGCTCAAGCATGCATATCCTCACAATATGTAGAAGAAGAAATAAAGAACAGTGTGTCATCAGCCTCTGACAGGTACAACAGGACATGGTTAGAATAAAGATTGCAGACACAAAGAGGTTCATTCAATGCTCCTATTGCTAGAATAGAGACATATCAACTTTGTTCACTCTGAGGAAGACGATCCCACTATAGTATCTAAGGTGTGAAGTAAAGGGTTAAAGTTCTACCCACCCTACTTCTATATGGCTTGTCAGTCACCTCCCCTATTCAATGTGCTAACTCACCTTATCATTGAGATACTGAAGGGCTTCCTTTCCTTGTGGGCACTTGATTTCTACCTTCCTCCCGAATCCATTTGGTGTCTCTCCAGTTCTGGGACCTGGCTGTTGGGTGCCAGCCACGTCCTTCTGCTGGGCAATGATTTTACCAGACCCTCTCCCTAGCGACAGAGAATCAAAATCTATGGTTTTGTTCTCAGAAGATCCTTCCACAGGGCAGAACATTCCACAGAATTTCTGCCTGGGTTTGGGACTCCCTGAGCCCATGTTCTTGAAGAAAGCTGGGACCTCCTCCCCTTCATTCTGTCGTCCAGGTTGCTTCTTGTCAGCCATCCCGAGCCTCTAGGGATGGACTAGTTAATTCAGAGAAATAAAAGATAAAAAATAAAAAATAAAGGGGGGAAAATAAAGCTGCAGGGGGAGGACTGTGATGAGGTGGGAGGAGAAGGCACTGCAGGTTAAGAGCGAACAATAGAACTGACTGCTCCTCACACCATGCTGGGTCTTCTCTATACTCAGTTAAAGGTTGTGCTGAGACCCTCCTCACTGATCACTGGAGCACACCGCCTGCTCCTCCAACTTCACAGAATTAAAGGGCAGGGAGGGGGGTCTGCAGCAGAATGGGAGATGGATCCGGAAGTGATGTGAACAGGCATCTAGCAAATAAATCATTCAGCATGGATCCTACAAGTTGCAGGATGAATTTTGGTTATTTTGTTGGCTGCAGGTGCAGAGAGTGAGCTTCCTATGGGAAAGATTCAAATAGGGTGTGTGGGTGGGTGTGTGTGCAGGCAACGCTGTGTCAGCTGTGCCTGTCTGTGCAAGTTGCCCTTGTGTCTCTATGCAGAAAAGCAATACGGAAAAATGTTCCGGGGTGGGATTGTAAAATGCATCATCATCATTGCTTCTATCTGAATTAGGTAAATGGCTATATTGAAAGCCAATGGTAATGCTACCAGGTGTAAATATATGCATATTTTAAATTAAATTGAATAGGTGATAGACAATAAGACAGATAGAGATAGAAAGACAGACATCAGAAAGACAGATTGATAAATACATGAGAGAGAGAGAGAGAGAGAGAGAGAGAGAGAGAGAGAGAGAGAGAGAGAGAGAGAGAGAGAGAGAGAGAGAGAGATATTAATTCTATTACATTGTTGAAGACTATATATGAAATATGTGTTCTACACGGTTCTGGAATGATTGGTAGGATGTTGGGTCTGGGCTGCATGCTGGCTCTGCATTGCATGCTAGATCTGGGCTCAGCATGGGTGTGGATTGCATACTGGGTCTCGGCTGCAATGTTGGTTCTGGGCTGCATGCTGGTTCTGAGGTGCATTATGATTCAATGAATGGACATTGACAATAGAATCTTGTGAGCAGGATTGAGCAGTACCGTGGGCTGGGGCTCTTAGTATGCGGCACATAGAGGCAGGGCGGGTGGGGGATATGGTTTGCTTGCATTACCATGTAGGCGCTGTCCTTTCAGCACCACACATAGCTGCCTTTCAAAGGTGACATGTGGATCCTGCCAGGAACAGCAAGCGTAAAATCAGCATCCACTGCGAGAAGAGAGGGGGATGTGACATGGACATCAATGAGTTAAACCCTTTGTACTCCTTGACTCCTGAATGCATACCAGGCTTTCTGCCATCTATATACAATTGTTACAGACCTACTGTGTATATAACGTGACATTCCCCAAAGCTTTCTCTAAATATACATGTCAGTCTCTTCTATATTTTGGATTTGTTTGAATAAGTATTTTAGCAGGCAAATGGCACAATGCAATATGGATTCTTACTGGAAATGATCAACTATTGACTGCCAAGCATTCAGATACATTTATTAATTAGAGGAGGTTAGCCAAAGACAGAATTCTATATTGAAATAGACATAACTTTCCCCTTACAGATATATGGTATCCTCAGGAGATATGATTTTTAACTGTTGTGACTAGTTATTATGAACGTCGAACAGGGGTTTCCAAAGTAACACTATTGGTCCATAGAATCTGCAGAGTAACAAAGACCTCTGTATATCTGCTACACCGATAGTGAACAAGTGGAGCCTTTCCCTAGAAAGATATAATTTTATTCACTTGCTATGAAGTCCTATAAATGTTAGCAGATGTTCAGCTTGGACAAACTCAGTAATTATTATTATTATTGGTATTTAAATGCCAACAACGTATTCCACAGCACTTTACAATAATTTGTCTGCAAACAGGAGATTTGCTGAACACGACTCGTCTTTTTATCCAAGTTTGATAATACATCCCTTAGTATGTGCAGGCATTTTTTGTAGCTGCACCATTGCTTACATTTATTTACCTTTAACATCTATCAAAGTAATTTAGCGATTATAATAAATATTCCTTGCAAAACCATTCCCTTGTCCATCTAAGGGGATATCTAAGCACTGCACAGCTGAGTCATACTCTGTTTTATAACATTTTCTTTGTGATGATCAGTGTATAACGTGGAACATATATAAGAAATAATTATGAGGTAATGTTCCCAAAGGAACAATATAACGTTAGGAATACAAACCTGTTTTCCAAACACTGCATTGCCCCAGTTCCTAGTTATATATAGATTCACCCCCCAGCCCTTTTTTTTTCAGTAACATTAATAAAAAAAATATTTTTACTCACCTTTTTCCTGAATCTAAATTCTCTAATCACTTCTCACCTCCCCACCTCCTGTGATGTCATTAAGGAGGCATGGCTTCCACAGGTGTTAGTCCAATCCAATGCTCCTCGTAGAGGGCATTGGAAGCCTAATGTGCATGCATAGCAAGTGCTGCGCACGTGTAAAGGATCCTTCTATTCGTGCAGTGCTGATCCTAGTAGCTTCTCCCGAAATTCCGCTGAAACAGAGTGATTATAGCTTCCAATCCCCCAAACATGAGTCGAGACTTCATGAAGGAGTAAAACGATCTGATTTAATGGGGGCTACCTGCCCGGTATTTATGCAGGTCTTCCACCTGGTGGACACTCCCCTAGGGGACCAGATGGAAGACTGGGACAAAAGAATTACAGTAGGCAATCGCAGTGGCTATAACATAAGCACTCCCTCCTTTCCATCCTGGAGATAATTAATTTAAGGTAGCAAAGAGAGCCTTAATTATCTCCAGGTAGAAAGAAACATGGCTTTTCCCATAATCACAAAACAGCATAAAAATCTATAACTTATATTTTATTGAACATAAACATTAAGTTCCACATATCCCCAGATAGCTTGGATCTGAGTGCATATCCTAGGCGAATAGCGCTCAGATCCCACAAACACAGTTCTCAATAACGTCGAATGAAGTTTGGACTTCACCAGCCATTCGCGTGTTTGTATCCGACAGAGAGTTCCACACTGTAGCTATCTGGGGGCGGTCTCTTTCACATAAATCCAAGTCCCTAACGGTGCCATGTCTCCGGTATTCGTGTGTTTTCAACCGTACGAACGAGGACCTTGGTAAGTATCAGCGGTGTTCGACAGAATAAGTATCTGAAAAAGAGTTCCAGGGCATCGCCGCCATTTACCGCTGGGTGTTCGACGATTTAAAATGGCGACTGCCACGTGTTCGGCAGACGAACGCAGACCACCAAGTTGTTCCCCAATTACTCTGTGGTTAACCGCAAAGTCTGGGTGGTTAATGGGCGCCACACGACCTCAGTAGGAGGTCGGTTGATTCGGCAGTTTATTCGTTTTCTTGCTATTTGCACGAAATCACCCCACACACGTCTAAATAACCGAACAGGCTGGTTCGCATAGTTTGTTTAACAAGGGATTTTGTTACAGCACGCATCCATTGTTTCTGATAGGAAAGCTTTGAAACTAATGCTTTCTATGCGTTGCATTGTCAGCCTCCAGAGGCTGTCAGTATTACAACCAATAGAGGCATGTTTAACCACTTCAAGGTAAACATTAGCCTTTCTACAAAACAACAACAATGCTTTACATTGCAGGGTTAAAATGACAGGACCAAGGCATCCAGACCACTTTATTGAGATGGGAGGTAATGCTAGTAATGCAGTACTGGGTACCTCCCCCTAATCAATACTTCAATATGAAGTATTTACAATGGAAGGCAGAACTGATTTGCTGCACTATTAAAACTTTGATTAATAATTCTTCTCTTTACAGTACATGACCCTAATGTGTGTATCTATTTAGTTATTATAGATTTGACTTAAAGGGACACTATAGTCACCTGAACAACTTTAGCTAAACCCCTTAACGCCATTACGGCGTTCTATGCCGTCACGGCTTTAAAGGGCTTTAAAGCCGTTGTGGCGGCATAGAAGGCCGTAACGGCTTTCAGCCCTAGGGGGTCCGGCATACTCACCTCCGCTGTGATCCTCTTCTGGAGGGCTGCCTGACAGCCTAGACAGCCCTCCCCAGCAAATGAGGCCCCCGGGGGCTATGTGATCGCTCTTAAAGAGCGATCACATGGCCCCCTATAGCTGGCTGTGGATCTGCTAGCAGGGGGACTGTCTGAAATGTCAGACAGTCCCCCTGCTGGTGGGAAGTGTAAAAAAAAAAAAATTAAACGTTTTAAAATAAATTAAATGTATTTATATATATATATGTATATATATATATTATATATAATATATATACATATTATATATATGTAACGTCATACATAGTGTATTTTAATACTAATATTAGTATATATATTAATATTAAAATACATTTAGAATGACGTTACATATATATATATATGTATATATATTATATATATAATAAATATATACACATATTTTATATATATATATATATATATATATATATATACGTATAATTACAATAAGAAATAAATAAAATAATAAAATAAATAAATAAAATATTGAAACAAGATTTAATAGAAATTATATATTCATATGTAATTGCATTCCAACTGTGTTTTGTTATTAATATATATATATATATATTGGTAACAAAATACACTTAGAATGACATTCTATATAAATCTATCTATATATAAAATACAAATAACCGCAAATATATATAGAGAGATAAATACATATAATTACATAAAAGATTACATTAGTTTACACATAGAATTTAAATACCTATAAATGCATATGTATTAAAATTCTATGTGTATATTTAAGTAACCTTTTAACATAATTATGTGATTTGATTAATTAAAATTTGATTGACATGCCTGACAACACAGGGAGAAAGTGCAGAGAATTTAATTCGCAAGCACTATATTTGACCAATTCTGCCACAAAAATTTGGCAATTCTGCCACAAAAATGGAAAAAAAATCTTCATGAGTTCATAATAGCAATCAGATTTCTCCTTGGATCAATAACGTGTTCATGTATATATTAAGTATATCCTCTAGTATTTTGTCCTCCACCCGCAACCAGCCTAAAAAAAAACCAAAACACCTGGGCCCTTTTTAAAAAATAAAATATCTCCACATGTTTAAGGTTGGGATCTTACCATTGATTAGTAGAGAGGCAAAATTATATTTTGATCATGTGAATCAATACCCCTTTTTATACATGGCAGCATCTTTCTAGACTTTGCCACAGCAGACGATCATTGTTGCCTAGTTTGTTATCTATAATTGTTCCCAAGTCTTTTTCATTTAAGGTTATCCATAGCTCAACCCCATTTAAGGTATACTTTGCTTGTGGATTACTTCAAAATGCATGACTTTGATTTATGTGTATTGAATCTCATCTGCCACTTGCTTGCTCAGTCCTCAAATGTATCCAAATCCCTCTGTAGAGAATTATATCATGTTCAGACCGTATTATTCTGTCTAGTTTTATAGTATAAACAAAATGTAGAAGGTGATCAGTGCTTAAAATAAATTTATATTTTTACATACGGTACAGATGCTGCTTCTAGTATATAAAGCTATGGGTATAAGACAAGAGACAAATATTTGTGCAGTACAATTGGTGATAATTGGAAGGAGTATAGATGAGCAAATTGCACACTCACACTTTTTAGAGCTGTCTCGGCTCTATTTAGGAGGTATGGACAGAATAATCCCCATCTATGGAAATAAGTAGAGGGTCTTTAGGGCTTGGATTCAGAGTTATGCAAGAATCACGTAAAAGAAACACAAGAGAAAATCCAGTGGTGTGGTATGTACAGGTAAACGGTATATTGGAGGAAAATATCCTACTTACGTAACCCAGAGCAATGGCCTGCTCTGGTGTGAAGAGCGTGAGGTGGAACAATCCCCACCTATGGATATATGAAGGAACTGGAAGGATGATGAAGGCTGTATGAAGGATACAGGTAAGTATATAAAAAAACATATATTACTTAATTGTATAAAAAAGCTGGAAACAACAGCTATATTAATAAAAACAAATAAGTATAAAAAAAAACTGTGGGTATAGGAGTCCTTACTTGAAACTTGCCGCGTTTCGCTGTAGCTTTATCAAAAGTGGATGGTGTTCTGTTGAAAGATGGCTTTTTATATGTTCCCGGGTAGCAATATAGCAGGTTCCAGTATTCATACAGCAATGTCCATAATATATACACTATATATGGATGAAAAAATGGAATGTTGCAAATTGAAGATATTCAAGTTAGCCCTCTCTATAAATTATTTGTATGTTTTTAATAATCTAAAATATATTTAGCCTTTATTGCCAGTAGCCCCATAACTGCTGATATAATTGCACACATTCCGTTTTTTTTACCCATACAATTATCTATTTATTGAAATGATTTCTCACTGTGAGCCCAAATAACCATTTTTATTGTATGATATATGCACTAAGCATAGTTTTCTTCAATAGTCATGACTTCCCCCTTTCGGCATAATTGCATATAAAACGGACTATTGCCCTTAACCAAAATGACACTCGAAAGATTTCTGTACACATCACTTACTGCAATCTCCAATTACCTTCAATCCAGGAACCGGAACCTATGTCATCAACCTTTTGAAAACCGGAAATTGCTTATGAATACCGGAACCCGCTATATTGCTACCCGGGAACTAGGGATCGACCAATATTGAATTTTTTTTTTAGAGCTGATACCGATACCGATAATCTGTTTACTTTCAGGCCAATAGCAGATAACTTGCCGATATTCTGTGCATTTACCATTTTGAAAAAATAAACTATTTCTAAAGGTAAATGCACAAAATATACAAGCCACATGCAGTGGATGCAGTGTGTTTAGACAGTGGAGCTGTGTGTATTTGTGTAGTGTGTATATAATGAATGCAGGGTGTGTTTGTATAGTGTGTATAGTTAATGCAGTGACTGTGTAGTGTGTATATAATAAATGGAGAGTGTGTGTGTTTGTGTAGTGTGTGTATAGTGAATGTAGTGTGTGGTGTGGAAAGTGAATGCAGTGTGTGTGTGTAATGTGCATAAAGTGAGTGCAGTGAGTATAGCGAAAGCAGTGTGTGTAATGTGTGTATAGTAAATGCAGTGTGTGTAGTGTGCGTAAAGTGAATGTAGTGTGTTTGTATAGTGTGTGTATACAATGAATACAGTGTGTAGTGTGTGTATATAATGTAGTCTGTGTAGTGTGTGTATATTTGTTGCCAAGTCCTGTAGGTTCCAACTCAAAAACATAGCCCGCATTCGCCCCTTTCTTACACAAGATGCTACCAAGGAGCTTGTCCATGCTCTAGTAATTTCCCGCATGGATTACTGTAACCCTCTCCTGATTGGTCTCCCCAAAAGCCATATTGCCCCGCTACAGTCTGTAATGAATGCTGCAGCTAGACTGATTTTCCTCTCTAGTCTGTCCTCTCACACCTCACCCCTCTGCCAGTCCTTACATTGGCTCCCTGTATGCTATAGGAGTCAATTCAAAGTGTTAACCCATACATTTAAAGCACTGAACAATTCTAGCCCCTCTTATATCTCTTCACTAATCCATAGATATGCCCCTCCTCGTACCCTCCGCTCTGCCCGTGACCACCTCCTGACCACTGCTCGCACCTGTACGGCCAACTCGCACTTGCAGGACCTCTCGCGGGCGGCTCCTCTCCTATAGAATAGCTTGCCTACTGCCATTAGACTCTCCCCTAGTCTTCAATCATTTAAGAAGGGCCTTAAAATCCATCTCTTCAGGAAAGTTTATGGCCTCCCAGAGTAATCTCTACCTTACATACCTGTCTCCTGCTCTCTCCTATGGGACAGTGCTTTGCTCTCTCCTCCAGCTCTGCTTCACTCCTACTTGTTATTTCTTGTCCTAATGTTTCTAATACCCCACCTCCTATAGTCTGTAAGCTCGTTTGAGCAGGGTCCTCTTCAACCTATTGTTCCTGTAAGTTTTCTTGTAATTGTCCTATTTATCGTTACATCCCCCCTCTCAAAATATTGTAAAGCGCTACGGAATCTGTTGGCGCTATATAAATGGCAATAATAATAATAATAATATAATATAATGTAGTGTAGTGTGTGTGTAAATAATGCAGAGTGTGTAGTGTGTATATAATGCACAGTGTGTAGTTATGCATCAGGTCCCAAAGTTGTTCGAGCCGAAGGAATATTGTGCGGTTCAGTCGCCAAGCACTGTTGTCTTGCAGATGTCTGGAATTCCAATCTACTACAATGTTGGATAAACCCGGAATGTATTCCGCTTGTACAGATATGTTGCGATCCAGGCAGAAGTGCCAAAACTCTTTCTCTATGTTCGCTAGTATCGTGGATCTCGTGCCACCCAGATGGTTGACGTAGCGGACCGCCGAGATATTCTCCATGAGAAGTAGGATGGAACAATTGGTTGTGCCCCAGAGGAGGCTTCAAATGGCGAACAAACCTGCCAGGAGTTCCATACTATTGATGTGAAGCTCCTTTTCCTGTGAGGACCATTTTCCATCTGTAGAGGTGGGACCACAATGCGCACCCCAGCCTAACCTGCGCGCATCGGATTCTATGATGAAATCCTGGGTGAGTCCGACGATTGCCCTGTCGTTCCATGCTTCCATGTGTTGAAGCCACCAAGTGAATTCTTCTTTTGCCATGCAATCGAGTGGAACAGTAAGTCAGTAAGACTGACCCAAGCGTAGTTGAGCGGCCTTGAGCTGTTGTAGGGCCCTATAGTGGAGAGACCATGGAAAATTGCTTGTATGGAGGCTGATAGGAGGTTGATTATCCTCGCAAGTTGTCGCAAAGTCAAGACCGGTCATGCCAACGTCCACCGGATTTCCTTCTTGATGAGTTTCACTTTTGTGGTAGGTAAACTGAGCATCCCGTGAATCGCATCTATGTTGAATCACAAAAACAAAATGGTGTGGGAAGGATGCAGGATTGACTTGTCCCAGTTGATTAAGAAACCTAGATTTTGAAGAAAGGAAAGCACCCAGGAGAGATGTTGACTCAGCAGTAAGGCGTCGTGGGCCATTATCAGCATGTCGTTGAGATATGTGATCATATGGACCCCTCTGCTGTGATGAAGGGTGATCACCGGCTTCAGCAGTTTGGTGAAACACCACGGGGTTGAGGAGGCATTGGAAGCGCCACGGGAGGCATTGGAAGTGCCACATGGTCACTCTTGGACAACCAGAATCGTAAGGTACTCATCCTGGTGATCCTGGTGATCGAGTTTGACCATCCAATCTCCCAACCTGAGGAAGTACTGGAGTGGTAACTGGAACCTCGTAGATCGAGCCTTTCTCCTTTAATGTGCGACTCTCCTCTGATACTAGGCCTTTGTCTTGTGGGAAAAAAACAATCCAATGTGGTAGGGAGAATTAGATTGGTTGTTGTACAAATTCGATGTGATAGCCTAGAATGGTATCTAGGACTCAAACATCTGATGTTAACTTGCGCCCTGCATCAATAAAATGGGATAGTCTGCCCCCACATATGACAGAGAAAGGGCCATAGGAGGATCCCCTGGTTCCACATGGTTTCCAAGATCCGCCCCTGGTCGGGAAGAAAGGTGATGGTACCCTGGGTTCTGGAGGTTGGAATCTAGATGTGGCGGAGCTCTGATAGCCCTGGTACAAACTCCGGGAAGTGCGGCCAGACAGACGGCCCTGATGTCTATCGGCCCCACCAAAAACCTTCTGAGAGAACACACGTTTCATGTTCGTTTGTGCTTTGTCTAGTGCCATGAAGGTATTTGTCCAGGTCTTTAACAAAATCATCTCCAAACAGGAGACCTTTTGCCTGTGTGCCAGGCTCAGATATTGCCAGATTGAGGAGTTAAGGCTCAATTTTCAACAGGATGGCTTTACACCATTCAGTGGCCAACCCGATGTTAGCGTTGCCTATCAAACATATGGAACATTGGATCCATACTCTGATGGCCAAAAGGTCTATTGATGCCCCCTCAGTCAAGGCTGCTTCGACCATGTCGAAGATCTTGACTACAGGCCCTAACACATCTAAGTCTTTGTCCTGACAGTGTCGCAGGGAATAGTCCAATCCCTTTTTGGCCTTACAACTGGATTTTCCCAGGAATTGGGCAAGCTTAGGATCCACGTCCAGCGTAACACTGGCCATGTCAGGGACCGTAGGGCATGAGGACTCCGCTGTAAGTTTATTTCACGTGGCGTTATCTAGGGGCTTTCTAACTCTAGTTGCAATGTATTTGACCACATGGCCAGTGGGGTACCATTCAACTGAACGAGGTTTATGCAGGGCATCAGGATCCAAAGGGGTTCCCCTTGAGAGTCTAAGATAGCAGAGTCTTCCGCCTTCTACTTAGCTTCGATAACTGGGGTCGCAGTCACACTGCGTTCAGGAGATGAGTCCTTAGAGTAAACAGGGTCGATCGCATCGGACCCGTCAGAAACCTCCTCTAAGTTCGAATCAGAGTCGGACGAATGAGACAGGGCTTTAGCCCTCTTCCAAGTCCGAACCCCTTTTGCCCGGTGGGTGGCTCTTTTATGTGGGATCCTGTAATACTTCAGCCCCATTCGTCGAAACTTGACTTGGGTCTCTCAGGCGTTCTTCCACCCGGCCAGGCTACAACTCTCTCCTTCCAGGCATGTATGGTCCCTTCTGCCTTTTCCTCTTCAGCTCTTTTCCCAGGCAGGTATCCACACCTCTGCATATACTGTTATCACCTGATGCCTTTACAAAGGCAGTTGTGGCTCTCAGGCCTAGCTCTTACTTGTCCCGGGCTACAGGGACCAAGCAGCCAGCCAACAGGTCCAACAATTGTTCCTGGCATCCATGAACATCAACCAGGAAAACACAGTTCCTAGAGGAACACACAAAGCTTAATTTTTTTCCCCAGAACTAGCCTGTATGCACATTACATTAAACTTACTGTGACAACTCAAAAATATATAAATAACAAATTCATATGAGGAAACATACAGGAACTCATAATAACGACAAAAACTAACAAGAAATATCTCTTTGAAGATATTTGAAAGCCTATGCAACCGAGACAATGTGCCTGTGGCAAAAGCCACTTTGCCACTGGTTTTTGGAGAGGACTCATGGCCAGCCTTTTACCTCGGGATTATGGTCCCTGTGACTTATTTGGTTTTAAGGCACTGTTTCTGCCTCTTTAAATACTGTTGGAATAGATCAACATTTTCGAAGTGGTACTTCAGAAACAACCGAAGTGTCGAAGTAGTTTAAGTGGCCGCCATTCGACATTCAAACATGTGGCAGTGGCCATTTTATTTAGTCGAACTAGGCCAGCTGTGTTTTGTCATCAAGTTCATGGAACTCAAATTGGACACGTGACAGCACGAACACCGCTGAAACTTTGCCTTCTCTGGACTTTGACTCTTCAACTGGAGTCGAACACCGTTCGATTATTCAAACGGCACTTCATCATGAACTTTGTGCACGAACGGCACCCGTTCGTGCATTCGAAGTGTACTTAGCCATTGGAAATAGACCGGCTGCACAGCCAAATTCTCTGGAACTGTTTTGGGCATGAAACCCTGCGTGCGGTCCGTCAAAAGAAACTTGCATGAAATGTTTGAACCCCTGCTCTGATGTGGGTGATTTTTTGATATGTTGTTCACCCAGATCAGGGCTATCCAAGGATGTAATTTATAGGGATATGTTGGAGTTTTGGGGTGTTTCTGTACTTTGGGTAACAATTTGTTTTCTGCCTTAGTACATTAGCTACCTTAATTATATCACAGGCATAGGGGAGAGTTGCTGATTGGATGTGGGAGTATTACAGTGCTAATTATTGTTCCCATTGGTATATATTCCTTTTGTCCCTGTTTTCCATCAGGTCCAGGGGGTGTGCCTCTGGCCTGAAAAACTGTATTCCAGGCTGTGGCAATAAACCTTCTGTTCTACTTCACCCTCAATACTGATTTCTGTCTCTTATTGGGGAAAACTGCTACAAGGGATTGCTATGCTCTTCATACTCCCTTGAATAATCACTAGCTCTTCTGAGAGCTGTTCCTGCTTCGCCCTCTGGAGGAAGAGAGGTTCACCCACTGCAACCTGGAGCCTTGTCGTAGGTCCAGAGGGGGTAGGAGACGGCAATACCCCAACCAAGCTGCGGCGGTTTGTGGGGTCTGCAGTGCTTATGGTGTCTGGTGCGGTGCTGATGGTCCTTGGTGAGCACTAGGAGCATCCGTCGGTGGAGGTACCCAACCAAGGTACAAGAAGCTCAATAACAGTGCCAATAGGGTTTATATCTTCTACATATAATTATATCTCTTCTAAACCTCAAGTGTGGAGAGACTTGACATACACTAAGCAGTAGGAGGACGACCTGTGGGAGGTGTTGGAGGGAGAAATGTGGGAACACATTATGACACTACAACGTCCACCTCTATTTCATATACCACACAGGAACAAATGCACAAAATAGTACTTTGCTGATATACAGCCCTAATCAAACTATTCAGAAAGGGCAAAACGTCTACTGTTGGCTGCTGAAGACGGTGTGGACAAAAAGGACTTACATTTTTTTTTCTTCTGTATTCCGATCAGTGATGTGAGAACCTATGGACTCAAAAGATGCATTATGAATATACATTTTTGCTCACTATGGTACAGTGTTCACATATTTGGTTCCTGCAGCTAAAATCTTTCATGCATAATATTTTAGGATGAAGGACAATATAATACAACCTGTTATTTGCTTTTTTATACTTTTCTTCTATTAATGTTTGTTTTTGTAACATGATTATAAAATATGTAGGCTGGATCAATCTCTTGTTCTGATATGTGCAAACAATGGTATATCTGTCCTATCTTAAATAAAGAATAGGGAAAAAAGAACTAAGAATGATACGCCTGTGTTACTGTGTTGGAAAGAAATGTGTTATGTTTGTCATGATTAGTTCTGCAGTCCCCCTACTGGAGTTGCTGTTCAGAGTCTAAGCAATTATACATGTCAAGATTTGTGGAATAATTTAAAAAATCGCCCAGTTCTATTAATATAGAATCATCAGGCATATCTAGTCTACTTTTAAGGTATTTCTGGCATCAGTCATTTAATTTTAATTGGGCTATCAGATACTGGACTACCTAAAGGACAGGCCTGTATGTTGTTCTGTCTTTCCGGGCTGTCATTGGTTAACAGTGATAATAGATGCAAGCGGATCTTTTAAATACATAAATCCATAGATTCAGAGTCATAGATCATAGATACAGAGTCAGATTCCAGGGGTAGAGTATAATGTCCCACCATCATTAAATGTCAGGAGTTGTCACTGTCTGTAAGTGAAAGGTAAAGCTATGAGATATGTTATACTTGCCTATTAGACATAATTCAGAGAACAATCCTGTAGAGCTTTTTAGATGAGAACCAATATTAAAATTAGAATCCTAAACTTTACAGGAAACCAGTATAAGGCATAACAGAGAAATAAAGTGCTAAAGGAGTGATGGTAATGAAGGTAAGTGAGTCAGCAGCTGGAGTTCTGACTGGGAGATCTCGTAACCCCAACTCATCTTCCACCAGTGAGATCTCATCAACCATGGAAGAGGAGCAAAATCCCTCTTGCAGAATATCCACGTAGAAAATTAAAGTAAGGAAAATAGAGATAAGACAGAGATACATTCATGGTTAAAATAAATAGGGTTCTTCAAATAATAACAAAGATATTATCTAGTTTACAAAAACATCTTGGGATGTTATTAATACCCAATTTATTTTTACTCCTTTTATCTATCTCAGAAGGATGAAGGGCTGAGTCAACTGTGCTGGGAATAGAACCTGCAAACCTCCAGGGATCAAACTAATTCTACTGATGATGCATTAGCCCACTGAGTAATCCTTGCAAGCCTTGCACTTCTCTAAAGAGTAACATACTTTAAATGTAATATTAAGTTAGTGGTGTATTTAATAACTTGTACCTTTTGTGGGGTAGAATACTTGGGCAAAACCTAAAGATCATATTACAGAATACCTAATTTACGTTAAAACGGGACACCAGCTTACCACAGTGAGCAGGCATTTTAGGGAAGCACGGGAAAATGTTTTTTACGGCACTTTGTATTTTAGGATATCGAGAGGATTGTGAGGCCCCTGAGGGGTGGTGACTTGTTCCATATTCTCTCCAAAAGGGAAATGTCCTGGATTTGCCATCTTGGAACCAGGGCTCACCACAGATTGGATGTGGAATGGGATATTTCCCTTTTATATTAAATTTCCCTTTTTAAATAAATTAATCTTTTTGATCAATTTAGCTGTTTTCCCATTGTATGATTCTCAGCTTTCACATAATAGTGTTATAGTGAGTTTATAATTTGATATTGGTTACTATAGTAACAACTAAACTGTTATTGTCACCTTGTTTACCAACCTTAACAAAATTCTCTCAGCATGGAGCTATTAAATTTGTACAAAGTTTGCCTTTTATGTTGTCAGTTTAAAATAAGCATAATAAGAACAGTGGACTACACTTGTATATCATTAGCCAGTGAATATTGATTTTGCTGTATAAAAAATCAAATGATATAGTGGAGTTAAGCCATATTGTCTTTTAAGGGATATATCACAGATTACCGGTAGGTATTTTGTTACAGTTTCTTTAATATATTACATATGTTACTTTAAATTGCCATGGTAAAAGAGTACCATTTTTCCAAAACACACAATTGTGCCTCATTTTTATACAGTTCTGTTGTTTTTATTTATGTATGATTATGCACATTATGGATTGGGTTGCACTCTTTACTTTTCTTTGTGTATGTATACTTAATTTTTTATTTAGGTTTTTTTTTTCCTGTAAAGTTTGTGTATTTGATTATCTTATATCGATTTAGTGGATCTACCCACAGCTTTTGTAGCTGATATTGACATCTTTCCCAACCTTGCTGAAGTACCAGGTACATCCCACACATATTCAGGTGCTCCTCATTATTTATTTAGTGAAAGGCATTGTGGGGCTAGAAGAGAGACAGAGGTTTTACACTAAAATGGTGTCTAGTTAATGTACAGAGGTATAAAGCGCATGACTGCTGCTAATAAATCAAGAAAAAAAGATTGGAAGCTTTGTATTGCATCACAGTTTTGCTGTCTGGCATTTATG